CCCATGGAAGCACTCTGGGTGCGGTGCTGCAGGTGAGGCAGGCCTATCTTTTAGGGTTACGGCCCCTTCCACAGAAGCATCAGGTGACAGGGTGCAGGCAGGTGGCTGTTTGCGCCGAGATAAACCTGCAGTGCTGCTATTGAGCGGCGGCTGGGAAACGGCTCTTCCTCTTTCTGGAAAGGTGAGTCACTGTTTGAGCAGATCCTGCCAGGTGGCCATAAAGCTAGAGGCACGGGAAAGGCTGCCGGGCTGCCGCAGGGCCGCTTAGGAAGAGCGTGGCAGCGCAATCCTGGGGGCTGCTGCCCAACACGCCTCTGGCTGGCCGTGGGGAGCCTGCTGCTGCTGCTGGGCTCGGGCACTGGGCAGTTGCTGCAGCTGCTGCCTTTGGTGGCAGGGATGGCCAAACCTGTGCTGTCTGCTGGCCCCTGGCCTCCTCGCCTGGTGGGCACTGTGTCCCTCTGTGGCAGGGGGGTGACAGGAGGGTGGCAGGGGGCTGGCAGGGGGCGCAGCGGCAGCTCAGGGCCGGGAGACGCAACTGAAAGCGGCCGCGGAGCTGCTGAGTGCGTGACGTGGGGGCGGGGAGGAGGTTACAGGAACCAGCGGTGAATCGGCAGCTTCTTACTCAAGGCATTCTTGGAACTGCTCTGGGGTTGAGTTAGGAAACCTGCTTCTATTTTAAGGACTAGGTGGTTTTTTGGCTACGGGTTCTTTGTTGTAGTCCTTGTGTGACTTGCAGTAGGGATAGGGCATCTGGCAGGGACCTGCTGGGGGCCTTGCTGAGCGCTGGTGCGCTCCAGGGGACAGCAAATGCTGCCTGGATCTGTCTGTGGGCTGTGGAGCTGGCCCTTGGCACCCTCAGCTGCTGTTTGCTGCCACGCTCAGCTCTGTGCTTGACAAACCGTCCTGGGCTGTCTCACGCTTGCGCTGCCTTTGTGCTGGTGAAGCTGTGTGTGAGCTGCAGGGGTGGGTGGACCTGGGAGGCTTCATCCTGGCAAGAACCGAATTCATCTTCTGGTTGCTCCTCAGGAAGTGAGTGGGCGTAATAATCTGCACTTCTCTTACTAGTGTTTATTTCATGTGAATTCACCTGGCGGAGCGGCGAGATGCCTCCTCACACCACTGTCTTGTGAGGTCTCAGGAAAGGAGTTACTCACTGCAGCCGCTCTGTTTCGCTCCGAGCTGACAGCTGCAGTGCCGTGTCTGCCTGGTGCTGCTTTTCCTTTCCCTGCTGCAGAGAACACACAAATTGTTTGCCTTATTTCAGTGTTACTGAGATGTTGTGGTGCAAAACGACCTCGGACGTAACAATGGTGACTCATTCTGAATTATTTTTGGGCCCCCCTTGCAGTGCATTTATGTTCCTAAGAACGGGTCCCTGGGGTGGCACTGCGGGTGCCGCAGCCCCTGCAAAGGGCACGCAAGGCTGGGCAGTGCGAGCTCTGCAGGTGTCCCCCAGGGTCTGCACCGAGCTCTGCAAGAGCTCTGCACACTTCACTGGCCAGAAGGAAGCGTGTTTTTGACAACTTGCTTTGTGTCGTGGTCATTTATGGTTACTGTAAATCCAACATGTTTAATTCATTTCTTTTAAGTGAAGCAATTGTTTGAGGCTACCCCAGTCATTTCCTTTGTCTGCCACACTTCCTTTCTTCTCCTGTTTTTCCTGCAGGCCTCTGGCTGTACCTGGCGGGAAGCAACCTTCCCTGCCTAACGCTGATTGGCTCTCCTAATTTTGGGTATCGATCGGTGCATCGTGATTTGGAAGCCCAGGTCGCGATAGTGACAGAAAATAAAGCTTTGCAGCAGCAGCTCCACCAGGTAAGTGGCTGCTCAGGGGAGACGATGTGCATGCCGTGCTTCTTGGTCACGGAGGGAATGCTGATGACGCAGTCGCAATAAAAACCTACAGCCACAATCATTCAAACCCTTCTTGAGCATAGGAAGTCTCAAGGAGCTGTCAGTTAAGTGACTATTGATGAGATGCCTGCTACAAGTGCCTGTTTCTGGGAAATGGAGGCCATAAATGGGCAGGAACATGTGTCCCCAGTGAACTCGAGTATCAGCGCTCAGGCGCTGGATGCTGAGACACGGCGTTCGGAGAGGATCATGCAGCACGTTCTTGGGCCTCATCCCCCGATATTTGGGCATTGCCAAGGCAGCACCGTGCTCTGGGGTGATGAGGTCGGGCCCTCTTAACCACCAATCTCACACCCGTGGAGGACTTTGCTCCTCAGGCATTCGGGAAATCCTCTGTAGGACCATAAATGCCAAGCAGGTAGCTTTTGGGTGGCTGCCCGCAGGCGGTGGAGGTGAACAAGGGCAGGGGATCTTAGTGGAGTGTCTGCAGTAAGAGCATTGCTGGGCTGGTTGTGCTGCCCCTGAAGTTACGTGCTGCAGCTCCCAGTGTTGACACAAGCATTTTTCAGTGGCTTAGTGTTCAGTGTCCCAGGTTTTTCTGTTTTCATTAGGCAGCTCAGTCCGTTAAGCACTCTTCACTCAGTCTTGACTCTGAATCTGCTGCTGGAGCTGACATTGTCCCACGCAGTTCCTCGTGTAGTACTCTGCTACAAAGCATATTGGCTTTTGTTGCCTTTGTGTGTGACTTAAGGATCTGAAAAATGTATTGTAATAAGCTGAGTCTTGGCATAAGAAGGCACGGTTGTCTTCAAGATCAATGGGAATTGCCCTATTGCATCAGGGCTCTTCCACAGAATGAGTCAGAGTATATCTAATCAAAAACAATTCTATTACTGGAAGAGTTGCCTGAATATTTCAATTCATATCTTGCCTCTACTTGTTTCTAATGGAAGGAGAGAATCAATGAAAATATGACAAAGGAATTTTTCTCAACCAGTGCTGCTGCAATGATCTAATTTAAAGGGCTTTAAATGATTCCCGTTTGCTGGAAGCTGATTTTGAGATTGGCTGTCTGTTTACTGTTCTGTGATCGTTGTTTAGAAGACTTAATTTTATGCCAAGGTGATAAAGCCTCTAATGGAGTGTTGTGTTTCTTTCTCTGTGCAAATTGTAACTGTTCAGCACCCTAGCTGAAGTGACATTTCAGCTGTATGAACAACCTGAACACCTAGCTTTTCCAGTGTCTGGTTTCCAAGGAATCTTGACATGTAAAAAAGTGTGTTCTGGGCTTTTCTATTTGACATTTCTTTTTTGAGCGTGTAAGCTTTCAGTCTTCTTAATAATAACCTTCTGAATAATAACTGAGCTTTTAATATTGCAGCTGATGTGCACTAGCTGCTTCTGAATACTTAACGTGTTTGTGCCATGAAATCACTTTGGCTATGTAGCGTTCAGTTCCAAACCTCACCAAGGATTTTTAAAATGGGGAAAAACTGAGTGGTTTGGGTATCTCACTGAGTGAACCGAGTATCCTGGTAAAGTCTCTGAATTTCAGTTCATATAACTGGTCTCATTTCAGTGGTCGGATTACCTCACTGTATCAGATGGCCATGGCAAAGGTTCTTCATTGCAGGGTTGATCATAGCATTTTGAGCGTTTTGGGTTTCTAAAATTAAACTGATTTGGCACACAAATGTCTGCTGCCTGTTACTGTTTCATCTTCCTGGTGCTCCTTTCCAATGCTTAGTTCCTGCTTCCGTGTTCCACTCTGAATTTTAACAGCACAGTGTTCTTTCTGTTGTTTGTGACAGTTTAACTAGTTAAAAAAAAAAAAAGATTAAGAACAGATTTACAGGAGCTGGTCTGCTCTTGTTTGCCTGCAAATCTAGAAACCTAACTACCTTTGATAAGAAAACCACTTCTACCTTTGATCAAGCAGCTGCTTTCACGTGCAATTCGAGCATGTATCATCATCACGATGGTTCATTTCCTTCTTCAGCAGTATTGTGTACACACTGAAGAAGCCTAAGTGTTTCTGGTAATTTAGTTGAAATCATGACTGCATATTCATTTGAAAACACAGAGCTTGAGCTGTGTCTAGAAAGAGCTGCGTAAGCCAGTCTCTTGAGATTATGATAGTTTCCTTTTCTGGCAATTACAGCAAGGGATTTAGGATTCTTCTGAAACTGAAGGTTAGCTCTCTTGAAACTGTAGGGCACAAAAAGGCAAAACGTTCTCTCTTTGCTCTTTGTAGAGTTTAAATTGCTGATTCTCGATGGTCAGTTACTTAGCTCGATGGTAGTCATCAGGAGGAGGAGTAACGTGGCAGGCGGGTATGAAGGACGGATCCTGTGCTAACTCCTTGGTGGTTTGCTTGCTCTGTGAGTTGTACTGCATGGAATGAGACTCCCATGTTCAGGCTTGTGGGAGAAATGATGCATCCTTTTGGCAGGATCAGTGGCCAGTTTTACCTGAGAACTGCCTTTTCTTAAAGGTCATTATATTAGAAAAACTGAACCCTTAGAATTGACTGGGATGGTGTTTCTTTCCCTGTACAGGAGCAGGAGCAGCTTTACCTCTGCTCAGGTGTAGTCTCATCATCAACATTTGAGCAGCCAAATCGGTATGTGAAGCTGTGGGTGAAGCTAGTAACGCCTCTGATCAAGAATTTCTTTTGAAAGAAGAAAAGTTGCTGCTTTGGGTGAGTTTTCTGCCATTTTCACGGGGAATTTAAATGATACTGACTGTGGTTTATTAGTGGGGTAGACTTTTTCATGTGGAAGAAATGGATGATGGAAATACACAGATGTGGAAAAAAAAAATCAGGTGTCTCTCTTCTCCTGAGTTACTCATCACTTTGACTAGAATCACCTACTAACATTTCTGGAAGCTTTGTGCAACTGTATTTTAGAACCAGTCGCTCAGATATTTAACGGGATGGAGGGTAAAGTTTAATGGGTGATCAAACAAGTAGCTGTGAAGAGAGAGAGCTCCGAGAAGGAAAGGAGTCTAGATGGTTGCAAGCCGTTGTTCCATTTGGCTTGCTTCAGTGCCCTGGCTGCCAACCAGCCCTTTATCAAAAACCACCAATTGACTGGTATCTGTCATGAGAAACTACGGGTTGTAAGAGTAGTCTCCACATGACAGCAGTTCCAGCACTATTTTTATTGATACTTTGCTAAAGTAGTATTGGTACAATCAAACTCAGTTACACAACTTTGTTGTTATTTTTGGCAAGTAAAAGCATCTGCTCTTTTCCATAGTCACTCAGTTTTAGATCTGCAAGAGCAGGGCAACAGCAGCAAGGATCCACTTGGCAGCTTTTTCTTTTGTCTTTAGGTTAAAGGTCCAGACATAGGTGGGACCTCGCATCCGTGTCTTATAGACAGGACATTCGTAGACGTTCTTGGTGTCCATGCGGTCCACAGGGATGGCTCTGATGAAGATGACTGGCATCATAGGCGTCAACTCCTTCAGCCGAGCATCTGCGATAGCCCCAGACTGGATGTCCCATCGAGCGCCTGCAATATTACAAAATTGTTGTGGTACCAGCTACCCAAAGGCCTCTTCACGTAGAGGTGGCTGTTTTTGTAACTGTTAATGGGTGGGAAGGAATTTTTCTAGCAGCACAGTCCAGGGATAAAGTGTGCAGGTTGGGGAGCTCTGGCTTAGTAGTCATTAGGGCTAAAGTTATCCTCTCGCTGTGACTCATGAATGCATTTTGCCTTGCTGGGTGTGGGATGTCTAAATAAGTTGTGCCCCTGCTCATCCCTTCAGCACAGGTTTGCATGGAAGGTGCATAGCTGAAGGTAGAACTTGGCCATGGGGGGGAACTACAACAAGCTGTCTGGTGTGCTCCGTGCCCTTGTTTAAGTCGGCCCTTTTGGTGCTCAGCTAATGCTACCATCTCATTCCCTCTCATTTTTTTTTAACAGTAATTACTTTAGGTTCTGAGTTTCCTGGTTTGTCTTATTCACACATTAAATAGCAGGGTCATATGTTTGTTCACTAGAAACATGTGGCTTCAAACAACCCAGTGCTCAGGTTCACAAAATGCAGTCTGCATTTCCAGAAAATAAATCTGGTTTGTGAAACTCCACTCGTAAACTGGATGGGTGCTGCCCTCAGCTGGCGTGTCTGACACTAGCACGGATCAAGGCTCTGCTGCTTGGAGCTTTTGCGAAAGCTGTACAAATCAAAATTGAGTAAGTTGTAGAGTATTAACACCTGCTCTGTTTGCAGTAATTTTTTAGGCTGACCTGGGATTTCTCAGTGCCTGAAACATCTCACAAAGGATGCAGTCTTTTACCTTCCATGAATAATCCATGTACATAGGAGCCTTCTCTGGGTGGAGCTGTCATATCCTCACGGTTTTTCTTGGTCACTTCCACTGAAAGGCACATCTTGTCCAGTGGCCATTCATTTTTTCTGGCCATGGACTGCATGATAGCAGTGAGGAAAGACTGGGGATTGAAGAATCCTGCCAGCCACACTGTCGCAGGCAGCACAAAGTCCGTTGTCCAGACTTCTAGTTCCTGGAAAATAAAACAGCAAAGTCCTTTAGAGTGAAGCGTGGCCTTTGGACAGTGGAGTGCTGCTTTGCTGTAACAAGGATGTGCCTAACGCACAAGCTTCGGGTAATGGGTGGACGGGGATGGAGTGGTCTTCGATGAGTAAATATCAGATTGCAGTGCAGCAATTAAACTTCAGCTATTAATTTGGATTGCAGTAGATACTGCTGCTATTTCTTTTTAACAAAGCCACTCTTTAAATACATGGTTTTATTAAATATTTTTTCTTCTGGGACTTGAAGTTACTATTGGGATATTTAATGTTCTTTTAAAGCAGCAATATATGCTAAGGGTGGGCCTTTTCAAACTTCTGCTCTCATTCTTGGGGTTACAGTCCATTTCAGATACTTCAAACTGCTTAAATTAATATTGAAAAATAAAACAGTTAACCACTGTGTACGCTGATGGAAGTGATTCCTGGCCTTCTGTGGTATCTGCTTGCTCCACAAGATCTAACGTTCAAAAGAAATCTGCTCACCCTGATGCGAAGGAGCAGGTCTGCGTACCAGGCTCCTAAGCTAAGAAGAGAGGGGTAGGCGTAACGTGTCCACGACTCGGGCACGTTGTCGTAGAAGAGAGCAGTTTGCCAGCTCTTCCATATCTGATGTAATCGTTAGTTCTCCCTTTAAAAAAGAGAAAAGGCAGGGCAGTTTTATCTGGAAAAAGCAAGACTGGTGGAAGTATCTGATTCCAGACCCAGTACAAAGCACAGGGCTGGTACTGCCGGGCTGTACCTCACGGGGTGGGGTGTGTAAGGGGGTGAGCAATGGTAGCCAACAGCTTTGTACAAGACAGGGTGTGAAACAAGCAACGGCCACGGGCAAGTCATGAGAAATTATTTGGGAGGGAGAGGTGCTTTCTAGCCAGCTACCTGAACACTTACCTTTAGTCCCAGATCTAATTCTTTCAGAGAGCGCCTGATTTCGTGGGTCAAGATGTTCATCCTTTCACATTCCTGGAAGGCAACCACCACGTAGGGCGTCTTGTCCTCGGCTTTAGCCATGATCTCCATCATGTTGAATGGCTCTGGCAGCTTCTCAATGATCTCGTCTAGCACTGACTTCACCTGGAAAGAAGAGACCATAAAACTCCTCTTATCTAGGGAAAAAATGCTGCAAGTTAACAGTTTAAGCTAGTAAGATTTTTCTTTTTCTGCCTTTGCCCTTTCCTGTGCTTCCTCCTTAGTAATTCTCTACACTTTTACTAACACCTCTTTAATCTTAAGAAGTGGCAGCTCTTTGTTGAGAGCTAGGAAGATAAGATTTCAAGCTAAGACATCTGAAATTCAACTGTAAAATCCAAGGAGTCAGAAGGAAGACTTTAAAAAAAATAAAGTCTGTATTTTTAGTAGTTGTCGTCATGCACAGAAATTACTAGGCATGCTCAGGCTGTGGAGGATGCTGCGTGTGAGCCACGCTTTGCCTTTGGCACGTCTCTACCTATCCGAGTAACCTCCCTGACCACTGCTGCCTCTTGTAACTGCACCGTGTGCTCACGTATATGGTCACACAAACCCAGTGCAAACACACTCAAATAAAACCTTGGAGGAGCGTGCAGCTTGTGAGCGCTGAGCTGGCCGCTCCCCGGTGCCAGGCTGGCAGCGTGCAGCCTGTGGCTGTGCTGGCCTTGCAGCTCTGCTCTCCTGCGCTGCAGGGAGCGGGGGTGTCCCTGCCCCTTGCATTCCCTGGGGGGTTGTGCGGGGCCTGGCCCTGCCCTCCCCGGGCACCCCCCTTGTGGCCTCTGCAGCGCCGTGTTCGCTGTGCAGAAGCAGAAGCTGCACTTGCCTTTTCCTCTCGGGAGACACCAGCACCTCCTCCAGCGTCTGACTCTTTGGGCTGCATTTCTAAAACTGTCCGAAAAAGCCTCTCCGAGGTGACGGTCAGGAAGCCGATCTCTGCGTTGGGGTGAAGGCCGTACAAGTAGGGGCTCTCTGGGGGCAGGTTGTCATCGATGTACTCGTGGTAGCCCTGAGCACGAGGCAGTTGATGTCACCTCAGCGGGTACTTACGTCTGAGCAGAGTTTCACTTCAGCCTTGAAAGTGCATCATTGCTTTCCTGCTGATGGTGCTTTACAGCTAGTTGGCCTTGCTTATTTAAGATGATTTTCCACTCGTGTCTTAAATAAGCCTTTACCTTACCACACCAGCCACAAGAATTATTTTTCCAGTAATTCTGCCTGTTTCCACTGGATTGAAAAGGCACAACTTTTTTCCTACACTCCCTCTTGGTTTGCACGAGGGAACTTTGGTTTTCCACAGCCAATAGTAATGCTAATTACCACAGCCTATGGTGAGTGAGATCCGTCTTACCTTGTAATCCAAGCTGGGAGGGATCTGAAAGCCCGGCGCTAAGTACAGTTCTCCAGTCCAGCATCTCTACGCTGATGTATTCACTCAGGTAAGTCCGACACAGCCGGCGGTCCCAGTCGTCTGTGATGTGCCCACCGTACATGATTTCACCGAAGAGGTACCGGAGATCATCCCAGGGGACCTACAAGGAGACAGATGCTCCCCGTGAGCTTCCTGCTGCCTCTGGGGCTCCAAGAAGCCCCTTGCAGGAGGTGAGGGTGGCTGCACACATCACTGTGGAGCCACACGAGCTCTGTTTGACCCACAGAGGTAACAGTGCCCCAGGACCTGCAGAAGCAAAGGGGAGGGGGACACGGGGCTGTGGCCATGGATGTGTCCTGTGCTCGCCCACCGATTGCCCCTGTCCCCATCTGGGCTCCTGCACCCTGCCCTCCGGCTTTGCTCGGGTCAGCAGTGTGTGGCTGAAGGGCAGGGCTGGGCAGGACACTGCTCGGGGGGGAAGCCCAAGCCTGCTCCTTGCACTCCTGTTCTTGGGGCACGCATTGTGTTTGGGGCAGAAAGGCGTGTTAAAAAAACAGCACAACCCAGCCAGGGGCTGAGCCAGCGTGTGCTCTGCTCCCAGCCCGTGCTCAATGTGTGTGTGCCACAGCCCTGCTGCACAGGCTCCCACACGAGCAGGCGTCTGTGCAGCAAACCTGGGCTTTGTCCCTTCCCCTCCCGAGGTACTGGTTGTTTGTAAGGCCCTTACCTTTGGGTTCGCCTCCAGGTAGTTGTACAGGACGTTAATGGATATGGTCAGGTCACCGTTATTGAAGGGGTAAGACCTGTTCCAGCCCTGAGCACCAAACTTGCGCCGCTCTGCCACCACGGCGTGGAAGTAGCAGAGTGCAAACAGGATGCATTTGAACTCAATCTCTTTGCTGCACATCTCTAACGTGTCCTGCAGTGGAAGAAAAGAGAGTGGGCTTGCAAGTGAAAAAGTGAATATCACCATCAGCCCCCTGGCTGTTGAAGAAAATTTACAGGAGATGGCAAAGTAGAACTGAAGATGGTATATTTAAAAAGAAAAAAAAAACAACACATAAACTTATCTTTTAAAGCCTTGCTGGGTGGTTAATTATTGCACTTGATTGTTTACTAAAAAAATGAGCAATCTATACACACAGACACGCTCGGGCTCACACCCCCGGCATGCTTGGCTGGGGCAGCGCGGTGCCGCCCGGCTCTGGGGTGAGCCAGCAGCCTCCCAGCACCCACCCTGCCCAGACAGCCCCGGGGGGCTCCGGCTCTCCCCAATGCCCCTGTGAAGGTGCCTGGGTCTGGCTCCTGGTGCAGCACTGCGGGGGCTCGGCGGGGACCAGGGGAGCCAGGCAGCACTGGGGGGGGCAGCACGGGGGGAGCAGGGTGCGGGTACCTGGGAGAAGAGGTCGAGGGCTTTGTGCAGGTTGGCGTACATGCCGGTGGGCGGCTCGTTGGTGATTTTGATGGCGTTCTCCAGCAGGCCCTGCGGGATGATGTGCGCCTCGGGGCTGGGGGCCGGCTCGGCACTCATGAAGACGCGGTAGTCGGCGTGGCTGCCCATGCCGTGCTGCTCCACACGCTTCTCCAGCGTGCCCAGCCAGCGTGCCACCAGGTGGATGTTCTGCAACACAGAGCCCTGCTGTACGGCGTGCTCTGAAATCCAACCTCGGCAATTTGCCATGGGGCCGGGCAGCCCCCACCCACCTGCAGGATGACCCAGTGCCCCTGCTCGGCCGCCACCTCCAGCGCGCGTTCTGCCACCACCTCCTGGCCCTGCCCCAGCGAGACGTTGTGGATCCTCCCGTTGTCGATGGTGAAGTTCAGCTTCTTGCCTGGGGAGGGGAGGAGACGGCCACGATGCGTATTTTGTTAGGAAGATGGGGCTGTGCTGTATCCTGCCCAGAGCCTCTGTGAGCTGGTGCTGGCTGGGGACCACATTACCCAGAGCTTCCACATCCTTCAGAGGGTCGACGCCAGGGGAGAGAATGAAAAACACGGGGGTGGAGGGGCTGCTCTCCTCGTATGACTTGGAGAACTCAACGCTTCTTCCTTCCACAAACTTGCTGCCCATCTTCTCTTCCACGAAGTTCCTACAGAAAGGCAAAGCCCCGCGTGTGAGCCGGGAACAAAGATGCTTGCTGGGGTCTCTCGCTGGGCAGCAGCCGAGCTGCATGTGCCAGGCGGGTTTTGGGCACCTGACGGCGTAGGTCATCCTGTCCGGCCGCATGCAGCGCAGCATGCACAGCTTCTGCAGCGCCGTTTTGTTCTTCCACTCCTTCGGGAACACCTCCTTCTCGGGCACCTCAGACTCGACAAATTTTTTCCATCGCTTTGCTGAGCCCTCGATGTCACTATCCAAGTTCTTGAACTCGTCCATTTCCGAGAGGGCCTGGGGGTCGGGCAGACAAAGACCAGACCCTCGCTGGGCGCTGCTCCACCCAGCCCAGGGGTCACCGCAGTGCCGGGTGCGTGGTGCCACAGATGGGTCCTGGCAGCTGTGAGACCAGCCCGGTGCTGGGCACGGCTGTTTCAGGGTGAGGAGGGGAATGGCCCCCCCAGGATGTGCAGGGTGCCACTGGAAAGGGGATGCTGAATGTGGGGGCATGGCTGGGACATCCCCTCATGGGGCAAGAAGCCGGGCACACGGGGGACACGCTGCTACCGATGACAGCACAAACAGCAGCACAACACAACTTGGCCATAAGCATCGTTTTGCTGTTGAGAGCAACCTTTTGTCCATTTTCCCTTACGCCCTCCCCTAGCATGAGCAGGAAAGGCACAGCGAGCACAGAGGGAGGTGCTGCCCCTGGAGCCCCTCGGGCAGTGGCTGTGCTCAGCACCCACCCTCAGCACCTGCTGCCCCTGCTCCTTCCCGGTCTCATGGGGCCGAGAGGAGCCGCCTCTCACCACCTGCAGCCGGTGCTGGCTTCTGTGCTCCCTCCCTGGGTGCCACAGCTCAGCCTGACCCCGCTGCCTGCACCGCGCTTGGGAACTCGGGACCCACCTTGATGCCTCCCCAGCCCTGGGACTGCAGGAAATCCACAGGGGACGCAATGCCGGTCTTGAAAGGGAAGCGCAAGAGGAAGTCTAGCTCCAGCGGGCTCACTTCTTTCTTGATGGTCAGGATCTGGTGAGGAGGGAGCGCGTTGCTGTGGCTGCCGCACAGTTGCCTGCAGCCCTGCGGCACGGCGTGCACCGGGCAAGGAGCTCCTAAGCCCCCAGTGGCAGCACAGCAGTAGGAAAATGTGTCTAAAATAACACAGATTCAGAAAAGATACTAAAATACAGCAGCCTGATGCATTTGCTCGTATTACCTGGAAGGCAACCTGGGCCAGGAAAATGAGTTTGTCTCTCTCAAAGAGTCCCCGTGCAGTGTACATGAAGACGGAGTAGGTGATCTCGTCTGTCAGGTTGATCACCCTTTGCTTGACGTCCTCGGCCGGAGCCGTTCGCTGAATGGCTTTCTCAAAGACCACGTTGAAGGCCTAAAGGAGAGCCAGGGTGGGCTCAGCACCTGTGCTCCTGGGTGCTTTATTGGAAGCAAAAAGCCAGAACACCGAACCTCCCGCATCCCCCAAACACCCGCCCCATACGCATCAATCACCGCCTCGCTTTATGCTCACCTTTAGGGAGAACTGGTAGATGGGGTTGATTTTGTTGAGGTCGCTCAGGATGAAGTACAGCAGGGATGCTCTTTCTGCCGCTGGCCTGTAGTTCTCCCTAGCAATGTTTATTTCTCCCTCCGTGACTTTCGCTTCTTTCACCTGGAGGCCCAGGAGCGCGGTGTTACTGCTGCATCCCGAGGCAGCGCCCGATCCCCCGCTGCTCCCGGCATGGGAGCCGCTCGCCTACTTTCTCCTCGATTTCCATGGCCGTGCGCTTCGTTGTCTCCAGGTTCTCCACCAGCGCGGTGTCCCCCAGGAAGTTCCCTGATGCGGCGGAGAGCCGGGCGAGCAGGGAGTCCTCCAGCTCCTTCAGGTTGATCTTGAACTCGTTCTGGCTTTTTGTGAGATTTGCCTGCAACAACAACACCCAGGGAAGCTGCGACTCCTTCAAGAGCCTGCGGTGACCCCCCCGGCATTGCTGGCCAGCATCTGCACTGGGGGCTCCCCAACAAAGAGCGTGCAGTGGAGTGCAGATCACTGGCAGCTTTGCTGGCTTTATCTTCTTTTGCATTAATTATAAATTCTGTGTTCACAAGCACAATCTGGACAAGGGGACGCGCTGGCTGGCTGAGCGATGGGTCCCCGAGAGAACAACCCCAGCTCATGAGACCCCCGAAGTGCAGCTGCAGGGCGCAGCAGCGAGCGCACCGAGGGCAGCAGGCACAGGGAGAACAAAACCCACAAACGATAAATAAACAGAGCAATAGGTCAATAAATAAGCAAAAGCAACCACAAAAAGGAACGAGCCAACCCCCAGAACACACAAAGGGCTCGGTCAGCAGACAGAAGCCGTCTCCCCACCACCGCAGCCCCCGCACCTTCAGGTCCTCCAGGTCCGGGCGCTCCTTGGCCACCACGGCGGCCAGCAGCTGGTCCTCCAGCCCCTCGCGGGTCACCAAGAAGTTGATCAGGGTGCACTGCGCCTGCATCTCGGGCTTGTAGTGGGGGTTGAAGTACTTGGTGTGCAGGATCAGGCGGAAGCGCGGGTGATATTCCACTTCTTTATCGCCTATCTTAATGTATCTGTGCAGGCAGTGAGATTGATCTCTGGATTTTGGCAGCGACTCCTCACAGAGAGGAGCCCTCCACCCGCGTGCTGCTTCCAGCCCCTCGAGATGTTTTTCTCTGCTTGGGAAGTGGCACAGCAAGAGCAGAAGAGCCAAAACAGCCCGGGCAGGGAAAAGCACTGAGGAGCAGAGGGAATCTGAGGCTGCTTCTGGGCTCCTGATGTTGTGGGCGCTGCACCATGAGCCCAGGGAGGGCCACCAGGGGTGCAGCTCCCCATGGCTGCAGCTGGTGGGGGCAGAGCTCCTGCGTCAGGGCTGGGAGCACCAACGCGGTGCAGGACATGGGGCAGGAGCCCCATCACTGACCACGCGCCTGTGTCTGCCAGGAAAAAACCTCCTGGTTGATCAGGCTTTATCCTGCAGGTGCACTGGGGAACATGGTCTTCTTAAATCACTGAATGAACTCAGCAGACCAGAACAGCCCCAAAGTCCCATGGACTACAAGCGTAAACCATGAGAAAAGTGAGGGATGTGGCCAGGGGCTCCCGTGTGAAGGGGGCATGGATGTGGCCCCAGCTGCTGTCATGCAAATGGGGCATAAAGGGACATTTTAGGGCAGCAGTGGGTCTCCCAGCAGGTACAAGTCCTCAGCCACCAGAGACAAGTGTGCGTGCCAACCTGCCCTTCTTGATGGTGTTCCTGCCCAGCAGGTGGTCCAGCACCGGCTCCACGGTCTCACCGATGTCCTCGATCAGCAGTGTGTGTCCCTCAGAAACCGCCTGCTCGATGGTGTCCAGGTAGCTGCAGCCGGGCAGGGAGGGGGGGGCTTGTGGTGAGCTTGGGCAAACGCCCCCCAGCCAGACCCTGCAGCACACCCTGGCCCCCGTTGCTCTCAGGTGCCTTGGCTCTGATGGGTGTGCAGAGCCTGTAGGGCACAGGGGGTGGGCAGCTGCCCCCCCTGACCCACCTCCTCTGGCCCAGCCGGATGGCTTTCAGCTCCCCCCCGTATTTGTTCTTGATCCACTTGATGCCCTGCAGCTGGGCGTCCACGACCAGCGGCCACCGCTGGGTGTTGCAGAGGATGGTGGCGTTCTCGGTGGACGTGCGGTCGCTGGGCAGCCCCTGGTTGCTCCACGCAGCCACGTCGGCAGCATCGGTGAGGAGGCTGAGGGGGTCCAGCCCCGGGGTGGTGGGGATGGGCACCTGCCATGGGGGGACATTGGGTGCCCGGCCCCCGAGCAGCGCGGGCCCCTCGGTGCTGGGGCAGGGGGCAGAAGTGCCTGGGGGGGCTCCGCAGCTGCTCACCTTCAGCGCCTCGAGGTAGGGGATCCAGTACTTCTCCATCAGCTCGGCCCTGTACTTCTTGGTGAAGTAGCCGACGTAGGACACGAAGGCGGAGATGAGCAGCACGTCCCCGCACAGCGTCTTCTCCTGCTCTCTGAACATCTCCACCGACTCAGCCCAGCGAACGTTTTCGGACGCCAGCCCCCCAATGAGCCTGCAGGGACGGAGCAGAAGGTGCAGGGACCCAGCCGGGACACACGGCGCAGCCCTCGCCAAACGCCCGGTTCGATGAACCCAGCTCTGCTTGTGAATTTGGCAGAGGGGCAGCTCGGGCATGTGCCTCAGGGCCCGCAGCTCTGTGACTGCACCATCCTGCCCCACCGCATCGCTGTGAGTTTCCAGCCCAATTCACATGTGGGAATTTTTAATCTGGGGGAAGCGAGGAGCCTGAATCTGGCCTGACCTTTGTGTCGGAGGGAGCGAGGCAAGGCGGGGAGCAGCAGCAGTGCCGGCTGCTTGTCCCCAGCCCCGCGCTGCTGGAGCCCTGCTTGCACAGTACCTGTTGGCCAGCGTGATGACTCTGTTAGTTGCATCAGCCTCTTGCTGACATTTGATTTTCTCGGCCGTAGCTTTCTCAAATTGTGCAGTGAGAGTTGCCAAGTTGGCATTCAGGTCCTTCAAAAGACAACACATTTACAGTTAGCTCCCACACATCCCAAATGCAACTGCAGCAAGCTTGCCGGCCAGGAGAAAGCTTTGCAGGACGCTAATGAGCTTGCAGTCCCTGTTGAGAAGACAGCACCTGGACTCCGGGCTGCCCAAATGGTAAGAATCTTTCTAATTCATTGTTGGCATCTCTCCGCGGCCCGCAGCTGAATGGTTAGCGGCTGATCCGGAGCCACGGTGGATGCCGGCCAAGGCAAACAGCCGCGGGCTGCAGCAGCCAGCCCTGGCCGGGGACTGCCCGGGAGGCAGCGCGCACTTACTGCGATCTTGTGCTTAATGCGACTGAGTTTTTCTTGCGCCTCTGCCAGCTCTGCGTTTGCTTCCTCGAGCGCCTGCCGCTTGGGCTCCACGTCACAGTACACCTCGTAGAAGCGGACGATGTTTAAACACCAGGAGCACAGCCCTGCCGCGGCCGTCGACTTTGACATTATGAACTCCGGGTCAAAGCTGGGGTCCGACTGGTAGGGCCTGGAGAGGGAGAACAACACGCCGTGCTGAGCCTCCCCGCCGAGGCCAGCGGTGGCTCCTGTCCCGCTCTGCTTTGTGCAGCTCACGGGCGCAGTTTTGGAGGGCAGAGCCCGTGTCTGGGTTTGGTGCTCGGAGCTGAGCTGCCCCCAGCCCCCCGCCGGTCCTTCCCGGGTGGCACTCACTGGAACGCCTTGAGGCACGCCTCCGGGATGTGCTCCTTGTCAAACTTCTTCAAGGCATCAAGGAAGGTGTCCACCTTTCCCATCATGACCTTTGCCGCCTTCCAGCTCTTATCCTTGGGTATCTTGCCGTTGGGCGCTGTCAGGATCATCACGGCTGCCGTGACATTCACCACCGCTTGTGGTGGGGACCCGAAGGACTTCAGCTCTGTCAGGTTGTTCTGGGGAGGGACCAGGGGCTGCTGAGCATCGCCTGGCACCGGGCAGGGCTGGGGCCCCAGAGCCGTGCCGGCACCCCCAGGGAGCCGCACCCCACCGGGGGCTCTCGCACCTTGTTGAGGGTGTTGAGCGCCTCCTGGGCGGCGATGAGCGCGGGCTCTGCCTTCGCCAGGTCGGTCTCGCAGGCTCGCTGCTTTTCAGCCACGTTCTGGGGAGGCGAGGGGATGGGACAGGGTGAGAGCCGTGCCCGGTGCTGGCTACGGCCACAGCACCACGGTGCTGACAGAGCTCGTGCTGCCCCAGCCTCGTACCGTGTTGATGGCCTGGACCTTCAGCTCCTCCTCATCAGCGATGGCTTTCTCCTTGCTGACCTTCTCTGTTTCAACGCCCACCACGTGGATCAGTTTGTCTGCGTCCTCATTCTTCTGCTTCAGTTCTGCCTCCTGGATCGCCAGTGTGGCTTTCAGGTCATCCACCTGGATGGGGGAGGATGGGAGGTGGTGGGATGCCTACCAAGCCCTGCCAGGCCTCACAGCAGCAGCTTGGCATGGCTCGGATCCCTGCACACTGTGACCACCCTGTGTGGGGCAAGCTCTGAGAGCCCGGCTCTGGCTGCCCAGCTCGCTCCCCCCATCCCACCCCAGGAGGGGGGCAGGCACCTGTGATGCTGTGCTCTGCAGCTTCGTCAAGCCGTTCTCCAGCCGCTCGATCTTGGCAATGAGCTCACTCCTCTTTTTAGCGAGCAGGTTTTGGTAGAGCTTGATCTGCTCCAGGAAGGTTTTTGGCGTGGTGTAATTGTAGCGCCTCTCGGTGGCCAGGTAGATCTGGGACATCTCCTTGACGCTTGTGTGGACGTAGGACATGAACTGGCTGATGGAGACCTTGACCTCGGGCTGCAGCAGAACAACACAGTGAGCCGCCCTGTGGCACTGCTGCAGCACACACACGAGGGGTAATCCAAGTGTTTGTGCAGTGTTAGCAACACATTTAGAGGCAGAAGCCAGCAGTCAGAGCGCTGCTTCACGACACCAGCAGCAGCTGAGAGCTCGTCCCCGCTCCCATCCCTGGGGTCCCATGAGCAGGGAGCAGGGAGTAGGATGCAGCTGCTGCTCCCCTCGCAGTGTGCTGTGCCCTGACCCGGGGCCCCTGCAGCACTCACCTCGATGTCCCCCGTTTCCTCCAGGAACCTGCTGCTGACGGACACCAGGGCATCCTCGGGCCACTCGTGGAACCAGTCGATGGCTGTGCAGTTGACCACGGCCGGGAACCTCCTCGCCCGCACCCGCAGTGTGGAGCCCACGGGGGAGAAGCACAGGATCACCTGGGCAGGCGGTGCTGCTGAGTGGGGCAGCCGCTGGCACAGTGCTGCCTGCTCCCCACTGCTGCACGCGGCGCTGCTGAACACTGAGGCTTTGCCTCCCACCCATTCAAGTCCTTCCCTGCTCCCAGGGCCGCTGTGCAGCTGCGTGCCCTGCTCTGCTCAGCAGGGGCTGGGCCAGCGCTGCTGCTGGTGCCGGGCTCCCTGTGAGTGCCGCTCGCACCCCTCTGCCGGAGAGGTAAGGACGTGGGCGTCAGCAGCTGCAGCCCTGGGGCCGCGGGGCTTGCAGTTGGCTGAGGATGCTTTGAAAATGTCTTTCACTCAGACTCATTACAGCATAATGAAACCACAGCATTCTGTGTCATGTTTGCAAACAGATTTTGGATTAAGCACGTCAGAGCACTTGCAAAACACCCTTGGTGGGGGCACACCTACCTTTAACTGACGCCTGACTTTTTCTATAAATAATTTCCAGCAGTTTTCCCTTGAGTCTTGCAATCCGAGAAACTTCACTTGCGGCCTCATGGCACTGATAATGTTTTCCAGTTCATCGTCCTGAAAAAGCCCCGGCACCTCCCCGGATGCCAAGAAGTCATTGATTAGGACCAAGAACGATTCCTCGGCAACTTGGGAGTCCGTCATCAGGAACACGGTGGGGATGTTCTTCACAGCTGCCTTGATGTACTGGGAGGCGAGGTCCAGCTGGGCAGGGGAGAGGAGCCGTCAGACCCACGGCCGTTCTGGAGCAGAACCAGGCACGGTGCCCGGTGTCGTGCAGGGGCAGCACCACACCAGGTGCCCTGCGACCAGCCTGGCACCCCTCGGAGATGCAGGGGCTGTGTTCGGGAAGGTGCAGGGTGCCCGATGCTGTGTGCTCAGATGGAGCTGCCCACGGTGCACCCGCCCTATGGGCTGCTCCTGCCTGTCCCCTGGATGGGGAATGCTGTGTGGAGCAGGACCCGAGGGTGTTCAGCAGACACCTTTGTGCAGTGCAGACATGCACAGGGCAGAGCAGGGTGCTGCGTGTGCCCACCTCAGACACAGGGCTGGCTGCAGAGCGTTTGCATCCTCTGTCCCCGCCAGCGGGCTGCACCACCCAAGGAGGTGTGGGAGGAAAGCCACACTCACCTTAAGGTCTGGGATGCCGTATCCCTTCCTCAGCGTTATCTGAAACACATCTAGAGAGCTAATGTAAGCTGCTAGCCGCGAAAGGCTTTGCTTCCCGCTGCCTCCTACTCCCACCAGCAGCGCATTCCCTCGGGGAGACTCTAAGATCCGACTAATTCTGCAAATATGAGACACCGCGTCTTCAAAGAGCACCTAAAGAAAACACGGGAGAAGGATTAATATTCTGAATCACAGCACCAAACGCTGTGAACGCCCCTGATCGCACAGAGCTGACTGAGAGCGGTGTCACAGCGGTGCCCACACGCTGCCTCGGCGCAGGCGTCCCGCGGCAGGGCGCTCACCAAATTCATCACGGCGTTGACCTCGTTGTAGTTGTCCAGGGCTTCTCCCAGCAGCTTGTTCAGCGACGGCCAGCTTGGCACCGGCAGGTACTTGGGCTCCCCGATGCCCTGGGCGAAGTGGCAGTAGATGTTGGGCTTGGCGAACACCAGATCCTCGCTGAGGTCCTGGGAGAGGCAGGGGCAGCGCTGGGCACGAGGCGCAGGGACGCCGCCTGCCCCCGCGCAGCGCTCCCGGCACGGCCACGCTGAGCTCAGCCTGCCACGCAGCCCTGTTGGGCTGGGGCCCTCCCTTGTTTTCCAGCACAACTTACATCAAAGAATTTTTTACAGGTGTCGGTTAGCATTTTTCCAAAGGTTTTTTGATCCTTTTCATCAATGAGCTTGTCTCCATAGACCCGCTCGGCTTCGTGGAGCCAGAGCCGCACCAGGTCAATGGGGCTCTTCAGGCATTCGGGGGTGGAGAACAGCAAGCCCTGGCAAACACACAAATCCTCAAGGTTTATTTTGCTGCTACTCAGAGCAGAGTTAAGAAGTTGGCTTTGGGAAAAGGTCGGGGTACTTACAAGGACATACAGCAAAGGAAAGCATGGACTAAGTGTGTTTTAAAGGGAACAGCCCCACCGGTACCTGGAATATGTTGGAGAGGTCCCGAAGGTTGAAGAGGTAGTGGAACTTGATGGCCGTGGGCAGGAAGGTGGAGGTGACCCGCTGGTGCAGGGCTGTGGGCAGGACACGGGGTGAGCGGGCGGGCAGCACCCCGGGACCATCGGGTGGCTGCACCTCGCTCCGTGCTACCCCCACCCTGTGATCCCTGAGACTTCAGCAGCACAACTCCTAGGGACCCAGTGCTGCATTTGGAACGTAAACTGGAGAGAGGGGGGAGGCCAGGCTTTCACTGCAGGTGCTGCCCACTCCCTGCTGCCGGGACCCTGGCACAGGGCACATGCGACAGGGGCTGCCGCGCGCTGCCCTCCCCACCCGAGGAGGCAGGGGCTCACCCAGCGCTGCCGCCACCAGCTGGGTCTGCAGCCTCTGCACCGCCAGCGGCACCTTCTGCAGGGCCAGGTGCTGCGTGAGGATGGCGCTGTAAATGGTCAGCAGCGCTTCGTGGCCGGGGAAGCTCACAGCGAAGACGCAGAAGTGTCGCTGCAGCAGGAAGCAGAGACTCAGGGGGGAGCATTGCCCTGCAGGGGCCAACGGAGCCAGCCGGCACCCCGGGGCTCTCCAACCCCGCCTGGGCTCTGGCCCCGGGCTGGGACCCCGGCACTGTGAGCCCTGCAGTACCTGCAGCCTGGAGTCGATGGTAAAGGACCCCGCGGTGGGGTTCATGCAGGCCACGTACTGGCAGTTGTGGATGTCCTTCAGGGTCAGTTTGTTCCTGTCGTACCTGTGCCAGGGCCCTCACGGTGATGTTTCCCCTGGGGCACATTCCTCCAGCCCCACCAGCCCCTCTGCGCTCTGCTCTAGGGGTGCCCAGATCCCTGGTGCTCGGTGAAGCCTGGCAGCGCTCCTGGCAGTGCTCTGTGCCAAGACCTCCCTGCTCCCCAGGGCCAGCCCTGGCCCCGCGCACACCCTGCAGCAGTTGGCACTTGTCACCCCCTCCTCGCTTCCCAGCAAACCCTACGTGCCACACGGGGGGTCCCAGCTAGGGGTTATTTGCTTTGGATGGGTCTGTGGGGTTTGGGATAGCTGCCAGCTTTCCTAATTCCTCTGCCAAAGCCTTCCCAGCAGCTGCTGAGCAGGGGCTGCGGGGCTCTGCTGGCTGTGTGACGCCAGAGGCAGCGTGAGCAGGGACACGGCTGCAGGGTCCTCCACCAGGACGGGAGGGATCAGCCTGACGGCCGTGCCACGGCACACATCCTCTGTGCCGAGCATCACCGAGCTGCAGTGGCCGTGCCACCAGCCGGCCACCTACCAGTGCCCGTGGTCCATGTGCTGCCGGATGAGCGTGTGCGGTGCCACGGTGCCGTACTTGTCTACCTCGGGCATGTTCATGTCATCGATGAAGTAGATGAGCCTCTTGGTCCCCGGCGGACCGTAGTTCCTCCCCGATTTTTTCTCCAGGGGCTTCTCCAGGATGGCTGCAGAGGGAGGAGAGGGTTTGTGGTGGGGCAGTGCTGCGGGGCCCCCCCAGCACAGGGCTGGCTGTGACCAGCTCTTACCCTGCAGCATGGCCGAGGTGGTGTAGAAGTTAAAGGGCACGGACTGCACGAGGTACTCGTCTGTGCTGAGTGCCTCCAGCTTGTCCCACATCAGCACCGATTTCCCCGTCCCCGCGTTCCCCACCAGCATCACCGGCCACTGCTTCTCCATCAGCATGTCCATGAAGTACCGAATGCGAATGGTCTCCGTCGTGTGCACCATGGAGGCCTGGGGAAAAGAAGCTCTTGGTCCCGCAGAGCTCACCCCGCGCTGCCGAGCTCTGAGTCTGCCTGCAGATCTTCCCTCCGACCCGCTGCCCGGTTCTCCTGGCACTACCAGCTGCTCTAACCAAGATTCCATCCTGCTGTACTAATCTGGTCCCTCTCTACAGCAAAAGGTCTCAGGTGCTTGGTTATTGTAAAAACTTTCTGACCCAGAATAGGAGCTGCTGGAAAAACATGCCATCAGAACAAAACAACACAGCACAGCCGAAACCTGCCCATGTCCCTGCCCAGTTCGGCTGTAACATTTCCCCTTTTCCCTGACATCTTTGATGCAACCACCCCTCCCTCATCACAGCATTTCAAAAGATATATGCAAATACTTTTTTACGTGCATTTTGCATTCAGGTAATAGTTATAATTATTTCATGAAAATCTGTAAAGCCACATGTTAGAGTGAAATTGAAGAAGCAGCGTTGCAACTTGCAGCTCGCACTGAGGTTTCCATGGAAGTAAAGCAAAGCGCAGCGAGCCCCAGGGGGGTGCCTGATGCCGTCCTGCACAGCGCCGCGGCAGGGGCAGCCCAGGTACCTGCGCTGCTGCAGATGCTCTGGCCCACGGTTGCTTGGGGGAAACACCACGGGGTAATAAACAAATCAAGGATGCAAATGCAGACAGTTTGTGGGAATTACCTGCAGAGGGACTTCAGGATCGAGTCTGAACGTTGGCACTTTTTCAGTCCACGGCATGAATTTCTTTGTTTCCGAATCAATGTAATAGTCAAAAATTGTCCCCTGAGAAGGAAACTTGATGGTTTTGAACTCGTTCACCCACCACTTGCTGAACTCCACACGGTAATCCACGAGCTGGAAGGAACCAAACAGAGAAAAGCTCCGAAGGCGGCCACCGCGGCTTCCTCCTTCCTGCAGGGACGTGGCCGCAGGGAGGAAGCGGGCGCGAGGCTCTCACCAGCGGGCACAGCGGGGCCGTACCTGGTCCTGGAACATGGCCCCGCCGAAGGCCCAGGTGCAGGCGAAAACAAAGTAGAGCTCGTACAGCTCCCGGGGAGAGTCCGGCGGGGTGTTCTGCGGCGTCAGGAGGCACTCCAGCAGGTACAGGATCATCTGTATCACCGTGATCTCAGGGATGGGGGTGATCTTCTTGAACCCAAACTTGAGCTTTTCGAGACACACGGGCAGGTACTTGTCGAACAGGATGGTCAGATTGGCCTTCTCGGACTGCACGGTCCTCTTCTCGATCCAGCTGGTCACAACGCTGTGGAAGGGATGGGCAGGGCTGCAGGCGAGCGCAGGGACTGTGCCCACCCGTCCCATCCCTGTCCCCATCCCCATCCCATCCCTGCCCTTGCCCCCATCCCATCCCATGCTCACGGGTTCCAGCCCAGGTCCGCGGGGTTGATGTAGAGGATTCCTGCCCGGGACACCGTGGCCGGCGTGGCGGTGCGCAGGTGGCTGATCTCAAAGAGCAGCCGCATGGTGGGGTTGAGGGGGATGCGCTCATTGCTGGCCAAGGTGAGAACCTGAGGGAAGTGGCCCATCGTGAGGGGGGGCAGCTCCAATTTTGGGGAGCAGGCATGAATGCAAGCTGACTTCACAAGCAAAGCTCCCCAGGTGCGATGGCACCAACCTTATTGTCATCCATGACCGTGTTCAGGGACTCGATCCACATGGGGTCGATGTCTCCATCGAGGATGATCCACTTGGGCCCCTTATGCGTGATGTTGGCCAGGTCACGCATCGTGGAAGAGAAGAGCCCTGCCCGCAAAGAGACGCGTGGGTCATTGCAGTGCGCTCACTGGGGGGGACACACTGCACTGGTGCCTCCCCTGCACACGCCGCCCTCCCTGCTCTCCCCATTGCTCCAGCAAAGAGCCCCAAGGAGAGGCCTTCCCGCTGCTGTCACCGCTCACAGAGGTGTTCTCAGAGATGCATCTCAGGGGGTGTTTGTGCACCCGCCGCTTGCTTGCTGGCTGTATGTGCCAGGTGCCACCCTGGGACCGCCCGTGCCAGCCTTGGTGTCTCACCGTCCTTCCACTCCCGTGTAGCTGGGTGAATAATCCCAAACAGCTCATCGCAGGTCACAGCTTTTGGGTCGAGGTCCACAGTGACCGGCTTCTGCTTCATGTTGCGGTAAGTCTTGTTGAGCGACCTCAGCACCTGCAGGAGAGGGGAACTTGTGCAGCGGCGACGGCTGCTCCTGCAAGGGCGCCCACAGCCCTCGATCTCCTTCTCGCTGCCAGTCTGCTGCAGCGTGCCCAGGCCTGGGCAGCCCCAGGTGGGATTGCTGCAGACCTCGGGGCTGCGTGTGGCCGCTACCTGGGACTTGCCGCAGCCGGCGTTGCCGATGACGAAGACGGAGTGCCTCACTTGCAGCAGCTCCTCCAGCTGCACCACCTTCAGCACGAAGCTCTCCTCCGCCTGCAGCTTCAGCTCCAGCACGGACTGCTTAATGATCTGGGGGGGGGAGCAGGCGCCGACCACGCGGAGCTGGATCAGCCCCAGCAAGACCCCAGGGAGCTGCCAGCACCCGGCGGTGCCAGGGCCGGGCTCATGCCCCAGCCCCGCGCACGCCTCCACCTCTCCCACCCTCCCGGCTGTGCCTGCGCCCAAACCTTCTCAAAGTTCAGATCCCTCTTCCTGGGGACGTCCAGAGCAGGGAACAGGTCTCCGATCAGCCCCATGAACACGGGCAGGTCGTCCGTTACGATCTTGGGGATGTTGAAGTCTCGCAAAGCTCTCATCAGAACCTGGTCCTCAGCGCGGCCGGGGTCCCCCCTCTTCAAGGAGCCCGCTACCACCAGCACGGACTTGATAGCCCGCAGGCCCCAGTCGTAGTGGTCCTGCCGGGCGGGTGGCCAAAATGTGAGGATTTCATTTTCATTTCGCCCCACGCCCAGGTCATCTACACGGTGCCCGTCCGGCTGCCCTGAAGTGAGCTTGTTTGCAAGGCCAGCCCCAGTCAGCCCAGGAACGAATGTCAGTCTGTCACACATCCAGCCTGTAAATCACTTCTGCTGGGATGCAGAACATCTGGATGCTCGTGCCTCAACGGGCTACGCTCTATTCTATTTTTGAACGTCTTGATTTCTTCCATAAGGCAGAAATATGCCATATGACACACTAGCGTGGAGTGGAACTCGTCCAGCCATAGACATGAACTTCACAGAGCACACGCCAGCACATCACTGCCAGCTGAGAAACTTCTGAACTGTCTCTCAGGGTTGAAATTCGGATTAACTCTTTCACTTAAAGAACCGTGGATATGGTTAAATTACCTGCTTAGAGAGCAGCTCCTTGCAGAGTGTGTACAAAGTAATGAACTTTCTTGCTAGAAGCTTGGCGTCCATAAAACCTTCTGCAACCAGCATGATTTCGCAGATAAGCTCAAAGTCTGGGACAACCATGGCACAGGGTCTGGAGGAGAGCAGTGCTGGGTCAGCAGAGCTGTGCACGCAGCCACAAGCCCCCGCGCCCTCCCGCAGCCAGCAAAAATCTGCACCCCTGTTTTCCATTTAAACCCTTCAGTGCTGCTGTCAGCGTTACAGAATTAGGCAGTAAATTAGGCTGGGGGGGGGTCTCTGGGGGTCACTGGTCCAGCCTCCTGGGGCTGCTCTGGCTGAGGTCTGGGTTCCTCCAAGGACAGAGGTCCCACAGCACCCCTGGGCCACCCCCTCCTGTGCTTGACCACCCCCACGGGGAGCTTTTTTTCATTATTGTTGAATTTTTCTCTTGCTGCAGCTTGTTCCAGCCATCTCCTGTCCTTCCACAGAGCACCTCCAAGGGCCTGGCTCTGTCCTCTCTGCAATCCCTGCTGCTAACGGTGGCAATGAGCAGCCCCGAGCCTCCCCTGCATGCTGAGCAGCCAAACCCCGCAGCCTCTGACTGCCCCCAGCCACGGGGAGCCAAGGTCTCACACCAGGCTCAGGACACACGGCTGTCCTCATGTGCTCTAGTAAAGGCTTTGTCCATGTCATCGATGTGCTACGACACAGGCAAACGCTGTGGAGGTTGCTGGTTAGCGGTGCCTCATCTGCCCGCAGGTACCTGAACAGAGCTTTTAAGTTCTCAGGCAGTTCTGTGCGCCCCGCGTAGCCAGGGTTCATCGTGATGAACAGTCCGACCGACGGCACCAGCGCTATTGTCTCTCCAAGAAAATTGAATGTTTTCTTTTTGGCACGAATCGCATCTTGGACGCATTTCACCTGGGCAGGCGAGCAGACGTGTTAGTGCGGACGGCCCCGCGGGTCCCTGCTGCCAGTGCTCGCTGGGGCTGGCTGCTCGTAACCGTGCCCAGAGACCCCGCATCGCCACGCTCCCCACCGCGACACGGCACAGGCAGTGGCTGCAAAGGGTCCCTCTGGAAGCTGGGTTTAACCTGGGGCAAGCTCAGTGCATGGGCTGGGAATTCAGACTGGAGAGTCCGATGGACTCATCCCATACCGGGAGGCACTGCGGTGTGGCTTTGTACGGAGGGCACCTACCTGCACAGCAATCACCGACAGCACCTCCACCGCGATGCGATTGAATTCATCGAAACAGCCCCAGGCTCCGGTCTGAGCCAGCCCTTTGTAGATGTTGCCACAGGACTGGAGATCAAAGCAAAGGGAAGAGGCTTCAGAGACACGGAGCCTCCCCAGGAAGGCTGCAGCTTGGGGATTTGTTACGAAGCTCAACTGTTGGGAGCCGCTCGGCTCTTGTGCTTCGTGAAATGGCCCCCAGCTCCCCCGGGACAGCCCGGCAGCAGCTGCCTGGACCCAAATCCCTCGCTGGCAGCTGAGCCGGGGGAGAGGAGACCAAGAGCCCAGCCTGGCTTCAGGCATCAGCGCGGGGCGCTGCAGCTGGAGGCGGGGGGCATGCTGCAGGGGTGCCTCCCAAAAGTCTCCCCTCAGTCCTGGAGGACGGCTCTCACCTGCCTGGCACCACCGCCTGCTCCCTGCAGGCCCTACCTTGTAGTCCATCTGCTCGGAGCAGTTGAAGACGTAGACCATCATGCCCACCGCCCGGCCCAGGTCCTTGGTGGTCTCTGTTTTCCCAGTGCCCGCGGGGCCGGCGGGGGCCCCCCCCATGTAGAGGTGCAGGGACTGCGTCAGGGTGATGTAGCACCTGGGGCGAGGCCAGGGGGGCTCAGCGCTGCCCATGCCCCCTGCGGAGCTGAGCCCACGGGGCGCGGGGAGCCGAGCCCTACCGGTCGGTCAGCGGGGTGATGACCAGCCGCGGGGTGTTCCCCAGGTACTCGTAGGAGTACTGCAGCTGCGCGTCGCAGATGTTGGCGTAGCAGTGCATCCTGCCCTCGTCCCAGCGGTGCCGCAGCTGCGACTGCCAGGTGAACGCCTGCGCGCTCTCCACCTGCGGGGCATCCACCACCTTCTGATGGGGAGTGTGTGCGCACAGCCCGCCCACCCCAGGGACCCGGGCTCCTTTGGGTAAGGAATGCCCGCAGTGACTCCACCGGGGCTCAGGGTCCCTGCCTGAGCCTGTGCCACCAGCAGGTCCCAGGCAGCAGCCGCGTGGCCGGGACCCCGCCACCCCCGGAGCTTTGCACTCCCGGCATGGCTCAGACCCAGCCCGGTGTGAGCCCTGCTGTGCTGCTCCCCCTGCTCCCAGGTACCCCAACCTCTGCACCTTTTTACCTTCTTTGCGCTTTCTCACACTTTGGATACTTTGAAAGTATCAGAAAATAAAAGAATAACAAGAAAAACATTGCTCAGAAGTGCCAAGAAAGGAAGCAGTGAAAACACCATGGTGTAACTTCTACCTTCGCGACGATCATTTTGGCCACCACGTCCCTGGCGTGCACGTCTATGGTACAGATCGTCATGATCTTCATTCTGTCTCCTGCAGTCAGGTTTCCAATGAGGAGTGAAATCAGTGCATTCAGCTGAGTGATCTGAGGGAGGAAAGAAAGGATAATCAGAAAACGGCGTTGTACTTCCCTACCCGTCTGAGACGCCTCAGCCTGCTGAGAGCCGGGGGGGGCTGCAGGACAAGGTCCCAGGGATGCAAACCTGCTTTTTGTTATAATCCTTAATTGCATTTTCATAGCCTTCCTCCAGCCTTGCAAAGGCAATGCCAACTTCTGTGGTCCACCAGATCTGGGTGCATGTCAGAGCAACCTGCAACAAATCACAGCGACAAAATGCGGCAATAAGGGGAAACGAGCCCTCCCCACCACGGCCTGGGACAGGCTTTGTCCTTGCTGCCCCAACCAGATTTTCCTGTAAATTACTGCCTGTTCCCACTCTCGGCCAGAATTTTAAAGGAGCCGGGCTGCAGCAGCTCTGCACTGATGTGCAACATCTGGCTTCCCCTGCCCTGCAATCTGCTGCCTGCGCAGAACCAGATTGTTGGATTGTCGCTGTCCCGTTTTGGGGACCCGTGCCGCAGGCAGCAGCAGCCCCGGTTCCTGCATTGCGCCCACCCCTGTGGCGGCTGCCCTGAGCCCCTCAGCTCGGCCCCGGCCCCCCCAGCTCCCCACCTGTGCCGGGTAGTCGAACACCCACTGCTCCCGCGGCTTCTCCTCGTAGGTCACCACGGCCTCGGGGATCAGGTGCCGCAGCGTGGAGCGCATGCTCGCCAGCACGCGGTTCAGCCACACCTCAACCTGGTGCGAGCAGCAAACTCTGAGCGAGCCCTCGGCAGCCCTTTGCTGTCCCGGCTGCGTGCGGCTCCCACCGCCCGCTGCTGTCATGGAGCTGCCCGGCCACAGCTCCTCAGCAGCTGGCACACTGCAAGTGGCAAGTGGCCTCTTGCTCCAGATGGGGATGCGGGGATGGGAGCCTCCATCCTGTGCCCCAGCTGCCCCAAGAAGGGGCACGGGGACATCACAGACGGGGAGTGGTACAGAACGGGACCGTCCCCCATGGCCCTGGGGACCGCACACCAGGGGAGCCCCCCCTGGCTGAGGGCTGCAAGGCAGCTTGTTTCTGTGTTCGCTTACATTGCTGCAGCTGTTCTATACCTGTAACGTGGGTCCTATTCCTGGTTGTTTGTTTGTTTGTTTTTGTTTGTTTGTTTTCATGGAAACCTTTATGAAAGCATTTTAAAACTGCTGCCAGTCTGCTACTGCACAAGCAGCAGGTTTGTCTCGGTCCTGAGCCTGCACAGCTCCAACCCCCAGAGCCCTGCCCGAGACCTCGCTGACCTGCCCGGATAAGTCGCACTCCTGGTCCAGAGGCACGTACTCCTCTTCCTTGCTGAACATCCCCAGGGCAGCCTTCAGGGGCTTCTTGTCAGGGCTCATCTTGAACTTCAGTTTAGCAAGACTGTCAAACAGCTTCGACAGGTGACGGGACACCTGCAGACAGAGGCACGACAGCAGAGTCATGAAAAAGGACTCGGCTGTACCTGACCAGTGCACAGAGGCTGTTTTACAGCTTTGGTTCACTCCTGTACTGCTCAGGGTGCTGCAGCCCTGAGAAGCGGCGTACCAGGGATGCAGTTTTGTCTTTTAGAGTATTTTAAAACTGCCGTAAGAAGTCAGCACGTCAGAGGTGCCGGACTTGTCTCCAGGCTTTGCATTCAACCCGTACCTCAACGGGCTCGTTTCCGTTAGACAAAATGTCAAGCAGGTCTGCAGAGGAAACGAAGTAGAATCTAGGGAAGGCCAGGCGTTTTGTCTCCAGGTACTCAGCCAAAGCCTTCTCACAGATGGCCAGTCTAACAGGAAACCAGGAAGAGAAAAAAATACAGTTAAAAATGTCCTGGTTTTTAATCTCTGCAAAGTTATTGTTCTGTTGAAGTTGACGTCACTGCTGGAGAAATTAAACGCCTCTTTGGGCTTAGACTGGTCGGTGGAGGCTTCTCCACGATGCTTCATCAGGGTGACTCAAACCTCACCTTTTCTGCAGTGCTTCCAGCTTGTTGTAGAGCCCAGGTTTGTTGGTAGCTTCAATCACGTTGGGAGTTTTTACATGCATCGGCCATTAATTCCTGTGAGACAAAAAAGGATTCAGCCGTACCTGAACCAGCGACAAGCTCGCGGGGGCGCAGGAGGGGAAGTTCCTCACTTTGAAATCCTGATCGATAGAATCGAACTGCTTGGAGTCCTCTGGCAGCTGGCTGCGGATGTCTTCAGAGCCAATGAAGATGCTCTCCAGGTGACACCACGTCCGCTGCACCTCGAACCAGATGCTGATAACGGAGTCGGTGGTCGACAGCTTCTGCTGCCAGCCCGACACCTCCTGAAGGAAGAAGGCCAGGTACTTGGACGTCATCAGGTTCTGCAGCTGCACTTGGTTGTCCTCCAGCGTCTCGATGAGCGCCTCGTCTGACTTGAGCAGCATGACGCCGGTCCTGGGGTGGGGCTCGTGTTCGAACTGCATCGTGGCCCAGGTGGTGTTCAGGGTGCTCAGCACCTTTAGAGCAAGCGTGAGAATGAGCCGAGCTCCGCGCACCGAGGGCAAACCCTGGCAGGGGCCCCGCGGGAAGGCAGGGCAGCCACACAAAAACCTCCTCCAGAGCACGAGCTGCCGGGGCCACGCTGTGCAAGAGCCCCCAGCTGCAGAGCCGCGCTCGAGCACGGGGCTCTCAGCAAACTGGGAACGAACCGAGCCGTGATTGCCGTACCTTCTCCATCCCTGATTCTTTCACAGCTTTGTCCACGATGCCACGAACCTCATCCTCGAACTTGTGCAGGTTCAGCTGCAGCAGATCCGCGAGGGTTGTGTCCTCAGACATGGTGAAGTTCACCTGCGGCAGAACCGGCACCGTTGGGCACCGACACCCCCCCGCAGGCTCCCCAGAGCAGCTTCCTAACAAACGTTTAACGAGCCTGCACAAACATTTGTGCACAGCCACCCCTGATGCAGCCTGCGTGCTTGTCCTGGGGGTGCAGAGCTGGGGACCCCCTGGGGCACACCTTGGTTGCCTGCATCAGCTCGTGCCAGTGCCGGTCCCTGATGGCCGGGTTCTGCAGCTCGTTCACGGCGCGCAGGGATGTGATCATGTTCTTCATGCTGCTGTCCAGCCCTGTGAACGCGTCCCAGCTTCTCATCTCCTTATCCAGGCTCCGAATGTCTTTAGAGAACTTCTTGCAGTCAATATCCATCTGCTCAACGTTGATATCCTTCCACTTGGTGGTCTTCCAGTCATCAATGCTGGTGTTAACCTGAGGTTGGGAACACCCCGTTACAGGACGCGCTCAGCAGGAGCAGCCCTGCCTGGGACAAAGAGCCGTGCTGCCAGCACCCGCACACCCCCCGCACGAGCAGAAATGCACTGGCTGAAAAACTGCCCTGTGCCCACCCCACCCCTCCGAGCAGCGAGTGCTCCCCGGAGTGCGAGGCCGTCGGTGGCTGCGGGGTGGCTCAGCCCTGTGATGGGGCTGGTCCCGCACGCACACGGAGCTTGCTTTGCCCGTCCCTGTGCCCCTGCTCCTCCGGCTCACAGCACGTACCAGGACGATCATGTCCCAGAGCTGCTTCAGCAAACGCACTTCCCTGTGGCAAGCTTTGAGCTGTTTGTACTCCGGCACTGCCACTTCAAACAGCCCGGCTGACTTGGACAGGGCAGCCAGCTCGCTCTCCATGGCGGCGATGCTTTTCTGTTGCTAGTGGAGAGGAAGAAAAGGGCTCAGCCGGAGGCCGTGTGTCCTGCCCTGGGGACGTGTGTCCTTCCCGGGGGCAGCACCATCCTGCGGCACTCACTGTCAGGGGACAGAACCTGCTGCAGGGCTGAGCAGCGTGGCACGGGCAGGCATCGCCCTCCACAGGGCCCAGTCCCTGCCCCGACATCCTCACCCTCCCTACCTTGTTCAGGGATTTGTAGGGGTTCGGGTCAGTGTACAAAAACGGGGCTTTTTCCCGGAACTTCTCCCTGAAGGCCTGCTGCTGGACCTGCGGGGGACACAGCGTCTTGGGGGAGCCGGGGCCGTGGGGCTGGTGGCCCATGGAGAGCACAGGGGTGTTCCCGAGCAGCTGCAGGTTTGCCCCCACCCCTTTCCCAGACCCGTGTGGGCACCTCGAATTGCTGGCACTTCCTGCGGATGATGTTGACCTCGTTTGTCTGCAGGGGTGCCACGTTCTGCTTCACGCGGAAGGAGAGCTTCTTGGTGTTGTCCCAGTGCTCGGGGAGCTCCTGCAGCGAGCGCCGTGTCACAGCCCGGCCCCGGGGAGCCCCTGCCCAGCCCTGGACGCCTCGAGCACCTCACCTGGAGCTGCAGGTGGATCTCCTCGGGCATCTCCTCTCCGTAGGTGCTGAGCAGCGCAATCGTCTCCTTCAGGGGCTCGAACATGCCGTCGGTGGTGGCCTGCCTGTCCTTTACCCTCATCAAGTGCCCCATCACCTCCACCAGCCCATCGTAGTCTCCCTCTTCCACAGGCTTAGTCAGGCCAGCAGTGGCTTCTTTGATGAAGCCTTCGAGCTCCTGCAGGCTGTGCAGAAGGCAGGGGAGCTCGGCAGGGCTCCCCGCCAGCTCCGTCCCCACGGGGCCAGCCCTGCCCCTGGCCGCAGTGCCCTTGGGTGCCCAGGAGCACCCTGTCCCCATGCCCTGTGCCCTACCTGGTTGTGACGAGGTTGGTGAGGTACTGCTTGAGCACCAGCTCACGTCTCCTGATAGCGCTCAGCAGCGCCTGCTTGAAGGGGCGGCAGTCGCTCTGCAGCCACCCCCCGAACACGCAGGTGTTGGCGAACCCCGACACCTCCTCACACAGCGCCTCGCACGAATCAATCTGGGGATGAGAGATGGTTGCAGCCCACGGCTGGTGGTCACCGGGCATCCAGAACCTCCATGGGCACTGCGTGCCCCCTGGAGACCCCCCCGGTACCTCCTGCTTGAAGAGCTGCAGGGGCGGGGGCCCGTGGGGAGGGGGCTCCTCTGGCTCCCCAGGGCTGGAGGCACGGCGAGAGGTGAGGAAGCGCTGCAGGAACTCCTCGGGGTCCTCCAGCCACAGCTGGGAGTGCTCCTCAAAGCTGGCACTGTACTCCTCGCCTTCCTTCATGGCGTTGACCACCAGCGTCACCACCTCCTCCCGCATCCTGCTGAGCTCCCCATGCTCCTCCAGCTCGGTCTGCAGGGACGGGCAGAGCTCCTGGGGACCGGCCGGGGGACACCGCAGCATCCTCGCTCACCTGCCAGGCACCCACCTTGTAGCTCAGTTTGCCCTCCAGCAGGAGGGGCATGCACTCTGCGGCTCCGTAGATGTCGCTGAGAAGGTTTTCCACCAGCTCCAAGAAGCTGTTGTCATCTAACATCTCCAGGGACGGACGGAACCCCACTCTGCTGTCACACAGATCCATGTGCACCTCGAACAACGGGGCCACGTTGTCCTGAAAGAGGTCAGCACCCTGCGTGGCCGCTGTCCCCGTTCCCATCCCACCCCTGGCCCCAGGATTCCCCCCAGGGAGCCCTGAGCTGGGCACCGAACAGAACACCCCAGAAAGGAAAGGCACGCAGGGGTGCACCCAAAGCACACAGAGCACGGGCGTGGAGCAAACCTGGACGTACATCAGGGACCATGTTGGTGAGCAGCAGCTCTAAGGATTTGTGAGTAAGTCTGTTGAATCCATCCAACACTATTTTGTGTATATATTCTACGTAGTTCTGCCATATCTGCGATGATGTATCGGCCTTGAACAGGTCTGCATTCTCCTGCAAGCCAAGGAAAACCAACCTAATGTTTGCTGATAAATTCCCAGCAAATGTACCAGTTCCCAACACCCTGGAAGTGAGCCCTCTCGGGACCGATCACAGCTTTATCTCGTGAGGCTGCTCTTCAGATCCTTCTCTCCGCTACACACCACCAGAAGCTGTGGCCGAAGCCCTTCCCGTGAGGAGGCAGCGGATTTCTGCGTGCGGTATTTCACGGTCTCTCCAGGAGTTTTGACTCAGCAGAGACCAGAGGGTTGCACCCAAATTTGCGCCCAACTCTCAGTTACAAAACGTGGGAAGACGCCGGCGTCAGGGTGCGCAGCGCTCCACGCAGGATGTGCCTCACCTTCACCATGGCCTCGATCCTGTTGCCTGCTGCCCGAATGGCAGCGTAGCGCTTGCTCACGTTGCTCGCCCTCCCGTCCAGGTCCAGGAGCGCCGTCTCCTTGTGGTCTTTCCTTTCAAACATGGGAGTGGCTGAGCACTCCTGCAAGGGAAGGAGGACGGTGTGACTTCTCCGAAGCTCACCAGGAAAGGCGTTTGTAAAGCAACCAGCAAAATCCTGCTACCTCCATCAGCTGCTTGACACTTTCCACGTTTAACTTTGTTCTCTGGACTCGGCTGTTTAAGGCATACAAGATATCTCTCATCTCCTGAATGTATTCCATGACACCTGGGAGGAAAGCGCAGCTGGCGGTGTGGGGCTGATGCTGGCACCGCCTGGTCAGTGAGCCTCTGGGGGCACTTTACCACAGCGGGGACACGCTGCCTGCCCCCCACCTGCCCTTGCCTGGGGGCTGGGAACCTGCATTTCAGGTGCAAAGGTGGTGAAAGGCCCTGCTGGGACCCGGTGCGAGGCAGGACGGTGCTGTCCCCTGGGGCGCACGGCTCCCGTCTGCAGGGACCCCCGGATCCTGCCCTGGGGGGCTTTGTACCTTCGTGGTGCCAAAACAGGGTTTGCTCCGCAGTGCTCAGACGCCTGTCGATGTCCTCCAGCTCCTCTGTCACCAGCGGGATCTCCACCGGCAGCACTGTCAGCTTCACCTGGGGAGCAGAGGCAGCTGCAGGAGGGAGCTGCGGGCAGGAGGGAACCCGCTCTGCCCTTTGGGATGCGCTCCTCGGGTCAGGCTGGGGGTCTCTGGCCACCAACACAGGGCTGGCAGGAGCCGGTGCCTGGGGTCAGCCACCCCGACATGCCGGTGCCGTGCTGGGGTCCCCCGACCACCCTGGGCTCTTGGGACCTATCTCATTGGACCCCCCTTTGCTGTGAGGCTCTGCCAGGCTCTCAGCGAGGCTCAGGGCATGGGACAGCAGCAAAACCGCAGCAGGTTGCCTCCTGCATTGCAACTTGCCTTGTTGTACCAGCCAGTGATGAGCTCCAGATTATCCACAAACTTTTGGAAAGTCTTATTCTGAGCGAAGAGGCTCTCGGCACTGCCTGGAATATCCTTCTGCTGCTGGAAGTTCAGGTACTTCACCTCCCGCAGGATGGCGGCGAGCTGCAAGACACCACGGTGGAGACAGCACCCATTAGGAAAACCCAAAATGTTTCCCAACAGCCCCGAGAGAGTCAGGTGTGCATTTGGGCGAGCTGATGCTGGCGTTACCACAGCACGCAGCGGAGGACTGTGAGGGCTCTGCGGGCAGGGGCTGCGCACCAGCACCCACCTTCCTGCTGAAGTTGACGCTGATGAGGGAGCTGGAGGGGTCCCTGAAGATCAGGGGCTGCTCCAGGTTGAAGCGGCAGCCCTCGTCCACGCCGCTCATCCACCGCCCGTAGGTCTCCTCCCGGTAGCCCTGCAGCAGCGCGATCATTTCCTCGAACTTCCTGGACACCAGCTCGGCTTCGGCACTGCTCAAGGCGCTGTGGGGGCACCGCAAAGCACCGGCTGCCGCAGCAGGCTGCAGGAGGGGCACCGGGGCTGCGCCCTGCCCGGCCCCGCACAGAGCCCGTGGAGCAGTGCCGAGCCTCACGCACGGGTGGTTGATGGCGAAGAGCTCCCGGTGCGGCCCCTCCAGCCTCTGCTGCAGCTCCAGGGACCACTGCAGCTGCCCGGCCACCGGCGGCATGTTGGTGTGCGCGGGGAGGGCGCCGCCACCAGCCCGTGCCAGAGCGATCTGGGTGTCATACAGAACCTTCACCGCGTCCAGCTCGGCGCTGAACGCGGCCAGCAGGGATGAGTAGTAGGGGGAAACCTCAGCCTTTATCAGGGGCCGGTCCAGCAGGGAGGAGAACATGTGCACCAGCTGCAAAGGGAAGAGAGGTGCTCGCTGCTGGCCAGCCCGTGCGCTGGTGAAGGCGATGAGGTGGAAGGATGGAAACTTCAGGGGGAATTCCAGGGAAATTTGCCAGTTTCAGGGAACTGGTGAATTTCTCGTTTTCTCCCAGAAGCCGTTTTGTGCAGGGGATCTTCCAGTGTGGAGGTGAATGCAGCATCACTGAGAAGCTCCAAAATGTGGATTTTTCTTGTTAAACGGAAGAAAACATCACCCACAGCGTTTCCATTGAATAAATTGTTTGGAATTTAACAATCGAACCCGTAACCTTTATGAATTAAAACCATTTGTTTTTTTTTGTCAATTGGTTTTGCTCCTGACAGAGAACTATTTCACGGGCCTGTTCCAGCCCACGCCAGCACCCCCCCCCCCCCAGGCTGCAGGGGTCCCCAGACCCCAGCTTTGTTCCCTTGTTTGAGCCTGATGCCAGTCCCTGAAATGCTGCTCAGGGCAGGAGCTCGTGCTGGGGCACTCAGCCTCTCCCACAGCTTTAGCCCGTTGTTCGTGGGTTTAATCTCTGCCCCGTTCACCTCCTCCAGCTCATTCATACAGAGCCACCCCCCCAGGTGGGGGGTCCCTCCCACCGAGCTGGCCGCACGGCGCAGGTACCTTCACTGCTGAGGCCAGGCTGTTGCAGTCATCAAACCCCTGGCAGAGGATGGTGGCCAGCCGCCTATCCAAGTCCTGGATCTTGCTCTGGAACTCTGCAAAATCCTTGTCCAATTGCTGTCAGAAAGAGCACAGCGCTCAGGGGGGCGCAGCCTCCAGCCCTCATTCCCCAGCCCCTACAGGAGGATTTGCTTAATCTGATCGGCCAAGAGAACCCACGACTGTCCCCAAAGCAAGCACGTGGGTTGCCGTGGTGACAATTTTACACGCAGGTCTTCCAGCATGTTCCGTCAAGAGATTTTTTTTTTTCATTTAGCAAACGCATACGTTCCGTACCAGCATTCACTCACCTCTTCTGCAGGATCTAAGGGATCATACTTGCAGTCGGCAAATCCCCTCACGAGCTCAGAGACCTCTTCGTAGATCTGAAACACTTGGCTCCCAAGGATGTTCCCTCTCGCTCCACCCATCTCTGCTTTCTCCAGCTTCAGGAACTCGATGGATATCTCGTACAGCTCCTGGTGGGCACCAACAGCCTCCAGATCTGGCTCGGCTGCGTGCCCAGCCCCGGCTCCCCACTCCCTGGCACTGCTGGTGCCCAAGCTGCGGCACCGGGGCCGGGCTGTGCCCCGTGAGCCAATGTTCCCAAAAACATCATCCCTGGGACCAGCCCAGCCGGGGGCACCGCCGTGCTGCTGGGTTCCTCCAGCAGCCAGGGCGGTGTTTGCCCCCCCGTCTGCCCTGGTGCCCCCAGCCCCATGCCCTGTGCTGTGCTGTCACCTCGATGGTCTTCAGCCTGTGCAGGAAGGAGTCCATTCTCCTGAAGACGAGGGAGGGGGGGAACTCCCAGAGCCGGGGCTCCTTGTCCTGGGGGCGGATGGGGCCGTTGGCACAGCGGAGCTGGCGCAGGGAGACCCGCACCCAGCCCAGCACCTACCGTGAACAGGGTGGGCAGCAGGTCAGAGCAGCAGCTGCTGTAGGACTGGAAGAGCTTCTCGATGGTGGCAATGCTCAGTTTGATCCCTCCCAAGGTCTCTTCAAGCTCTCCTTGCAGCCCCTTCATCACCTCCTCAGGGCTCAGGAAGTTTCGGGTCTAGAAAAGACAAAATCTGCTGTAGGCAGAGGGACCCCTCATGCCCCTTGGCCTCCCCAGGCTCCCTGCAGCCCCCGCCTGCCCCAAGCCCCCCACCCTGCTGGGGGTGTTAGGGGGGCCTCCCGCTGCCCTGGCTGGGTTCCCCCCCGATCCACGCCACCTCCCCTGGCTCAGGGGTGGCTCGGCACGGCGCAGCCCCGGCAGTACCATCTCAATGAGGAGGTTGCAGATCTCCTGCAGGATGACGATGACCCGGGAGGGAGTGTTGTAGTGCTCCGAGTGCACCCAGGTGAGGCAGACGGTGTACAGGACCCTGTCGATGTAGGACTGGAGCTGCCGGAGCAGGGTCCCCGTTAGCGTGCAGGCCTTGAGCTGACGATGGGCTGGCAGAACCGGGCTGCGCCCCTGCCTGCACCCAGCCTCCGGGGTAATCCCAGCAGCTGTAACCCACCTGGGCGTACTCCGCTTGCTCCATCTCTTCCAGCAGGGTCTGCAGTGGCTGCAGGTAGAGGCTGATGTTGTCGGCTTCCTGCAAGCCTGGCGCAGGTGAGAAGCAGCGTGGGCGGCCGGGAACCCTCGCTGGCGAGGCAAGGGGCAGGAGCCCGCGGCCGCCCAGAGCCCTACCCGCACTGACGTCCCGGAACATGGCCTGCAGCGCCGGCCAGTAGCAGCTGTCGGCCTTCTCCAGGATCTCGGCCAGGGCGCTCACCCGTGGCGAGAGGAGCTGTGGGAGAGGCACCGCGGTGGGTTTGGCTGTGGGGGTGCGGTGCCGGCCCCCCCCCGGGCGAGGCGTTACCTGCTCGTTGATGCACTGCAGGTTGCTCGTCCTGGTGCGCCAGAAGTCAAACTCTGTCCTGGGCAAGGGGTGCAGCCCCTCCAGCAGCAGCTGCGCCGAGTCCTTGCTCAGGATGTCCCTGATCTGGTGGGACCAGTCGATGACGATGGTCTCGATGGAGTGCAGCACAGACCCCTCCACCGGCCCCGCCAGGCTGGAAGGCAGCCGGGTCAGGGAGCAGCGCCACGACCTGCCCCAATCCATCCAGGGAGCCCCGAACCCCCCCGGGGAGCCCCACGTGCCCCTCCAGAGCCACCTCCACCCAGCACGGGCCGCTCAGAGCTGCTGTGCTGCTGAGGAGCTGCTGCACCCGGGGACCTGGGGTAACACCCCCAGATTTCTCCCGTTAACCTGAGCCGAGGTCAGCCTTTGGTGCAGCTCAGCACAGGCGGCCCAAGGCTGGTGCCGGGACGCGGGAGCGGAGCCAACGCGTGGCCGCGGGCTGTGCAGGGAAGGAGCCAGTGTCCTCCCAGGGGGATTCCTGCTGGCGGCACCCACCAGTCCAGGACGGTGCTGGAGCCGTCCCGGCTGTCCAGGTGCTCCGGCAGCGGCAGCAGCGGCTTCCCCTGGATCTTGCCCCCCATCACGAACATCTCGTTCCTCAGCCTGCGGGCTTGTCGCACCACGTCCTCCACCACCACCCGGGGCCAGCCCAACACATTCTCCTTGCTCAGGAGCAGAGAGGACAAGACCTGGAGGACAGGAGCAGGGCTGGGCACGCCGGCTCTCCGTGCCAGCAGCCTTGGCAGCAGCAGCAGCTGCGTTCCTCACGAGCCTGGCTCTGGGACCGGTGCTTCCAGGCTCCGCTCACCCTGCGTGGGGTTTTTCGTGGTTTGGGAGCTCTTGGTGAGCTGCAGCGAGTGCCCGTGGGGGGAACGGGCTGGTGCACAGCCAAAGGCACCGACATTTGGGAAGGGGAGCCCTGTGGCTCCCAGTGCCCCCGCTGGGCACTTCTCTAAGCAGGGACTATTCACAGCACGTCTGGGAGGAATCCGCTCTGACATCCCCCGGTGATGGGGTGTGATGGAGGGGGAATTGAGGCATTTCTACAACCACACAGGGGAAGGGATCCGGCTGTGCCAGGAGAACACCAGCCCTGTGACCGGCACCAGCGAGGCTTGGGCAGCCCCATGGGTGGCAAGGTCAGGGTGAGCACTGGGGAAAATGTCAGCTCATTTCCTTCGGCTGCTTTTCGAGCCCCCCCTCGAGTGTTGGCTACAGCAGCCCCACGGCAAGGGAGCCCGGGCAGCCGTGTCCCGTGGGGCCGACCCACCTCCTCCACCACCACGATGAGCTGCTCCACCGGCCAGGAGCTGATGTCTCCCACCAGCAGCGCAGCCCGGCAGTTCTCCCGGGTGATGTTCTCCTTCTTCCTCTTCACGAAGTAAATGCCCTTGCCCTTGAGGGTGGGCAGGAAGCAGGTGGAGGGCTGGAGCTGCCCGGCGGGGTTCAGCGACAGCAGCAGCTCCAGCACGTCCGGCTGCCTGAAGAACTCGTCCAGCACGGCCCTGGCATCCTCGCTGCCCTCAAACTTGCTCCACTTGTCCGGCCGCAGCCGCAGCAGCAGCATGGCGAAGCTCTCCAGGAAGCCGTGCCGCTCATCCGGGGCTGCCGACAGCCTGCGGGCACCGGGCTCGGCCATGGAGCCCCAGCGCCTGCTGGGGGGGGGGGTCAGAGCCCGGCTTAGTGGGGGCTGCACCGAGCCCCCCTCCCCTGCCTGCCCTCAGCCTCCTCTTGCTGCACGCTGCAGCCCTGCAGGGGGCTGCCAGGCCCAGCCCCAGCTCCGTTGCCCCCCAACCTTCCCCATCCCTGCCCGGCCCCACCGCCCCCTGGCTCCGCAGCCCCCCCATCCTACCCCATCCCTGCCCCCCAGCCCCCAGCCTGCCCCATCCCTGCCCCACAGCCCCCAGCCTGCCCCATCCCTGCCCAGCCCTATTGCTCCCCACCTTGTCGCACCCCCAGCCCCTCAGCAGCCTCCGACCACCTTCCGCAGCCCAACTGGTCCCAGCACCGGCCCCAACTGGTCCCAGCACCGGCCCCAACCGACACCGGCTGCAGCCCAACGGTCTCGGAACCCCGGGGCTCCCCCCAGCTCCCCATCAAATAAGGGGCCAAGGCCTCGGATGGGATCAGGTGGGGGCTCAGCCCAGCACCGTGCTGCCCGCAGAGCCTCCTCCAAGCACCCCCCACCCTCCCACAGCCCCCAGACCCCCCCCTGCCCCCTACCAAGCCCCCCTTGCCCGGCCAGGGCTGCCAGCACCCCCTCGCTGCCAGGCTCTCCCCAGCAGCCACACGACATCGCTGCGGGGCTGGGCACCAAAATTTTGGGGTGGGAGAAGCGCAAGCCTGGTGGCAAAGGTGGGGGGCGAGGGCTGGGGGCAGGGGGGCCCAGGCCAGACCCGCACACAGAGCACAGGAGCCGAGATGAGCGCAGTTCGGTGTTTATTTGCTGCAGATCCTCAGCACTACTTTACAAGGCCGTGGCAAAAAAAAAAAAAAAAAAAAAAAAAAAAAGTTAGAATAAAAAATGCTGCCACACCCCACCCTCCGGAGAGGCCTCTGCACGGAACGACCCCAACATACAAAATAATCTAAAAGGAGAAAACTATACAGGAATATTTACACCTCTGATAAATAGACTAATACTGATCCGGGCGTCTCCCTCCAGACCCTGTGCGAGGGGAGCAGGACAGGGCACGGCGCTTGTGGGGCAGAGGCGGGGGCACAGCCCCGATGGGCACAGCCCCAATGGGCACAGCCCCGTGCTCGGTGCAGCCCCCGGGCACGTCGCCCCCCTGCTCAGGAGCCACCCCTGGCGCAGGGCTCGTGGCTGTGAGCTGTGGCAGGGCAGGGCCAGGTCCGCGGCACCGTGACAGCGACAACCTCCCTGCGCCCACGGGGCACGGCCGGGGGGCTCCAAGGCAGCAGCGTGGGGGAGCTCAGCACAGACCCAGGCCCGCTACAACGAGGGCCACGAGTCCTGCCTCCGCGGGGCTGTGCCCACCACCCTGGGGCTGCCACCCGGCACCCCAGTGCCTGCAGCACCCCAAAACCGCCAGCTGCTCACCCGCACCGTGGGGCACCCCAAGTGCTTCAGGAGACACGAGTGCTGGGGGGACCCAAAAGCACGTCCCCAGCACTGGGTCCCCCCGGGGCCCTCCCCCGAGCCAGGCTCCCCTCCCTCCTGTCCAGTTGCCCCCTCAGCAGTGCCCAGGGCTGGAAGTTGCCACCTGGGGGAACCTGGAGCAGGAAGGGTGCCCGATGGCCCCGCTGCCCAGCCCGGTGCCCGCAGGCAGCATTACCACCCCGCGGCCCACCGGGGAGCAAGCACCGGGGACTCCCCGCGCACAGGGGTGTCCCACCTCGAGCCCAGCACTGCCTGGAGGTGAGACGGTGGCACTGGGGCCAGAGCCACCGGAACGCCCTTGCCCCTTCCCTCCCCCCACGGTAAAGAAACTGCGAAGCTGAAGCTGGGTCCTGGCACCGCGGGCCGGGCTGCAGCCCTCCGGGAAGGGGAGATGCTCGCGCTGACGGGGGCACGGCGGTCCCGCAGGGCCAGCGGGGGCTGCTAGTGTCTCTTGGTGGAGGACACCTTCTTCTTCCTGGCGGCCAGCATCTCATAGAAAGGGTCCCGGCTGATCGCTGCCCTGGCAGAGGGAACAGGGCTGGGGTCAGCCACGCAGCCGTCCTGCCCCGAAGGGTCTCAGGAAGGCCCCTTTGTGCCCCTGGGGGAGCCCGCTGCCCCCCTGCCTTGTGGGGTTTCCCAGGACGTGCTGCCCCCACCCCAAATCCAGGGGACGGTCCCCACCACGTCCCTGCCCAGCGCTGTGCCCCCCCGAGCACTCACTTGATGCACTTGATCCACTCCTCCTTCTCCTCGGGCGTGGGGGCCGAGATGCGGTACACGGTGTGGTTCCCCTCCACCACCCGCCCGTCTGCCTCCGTCTTGCAGGCCTTGATCACCTGGTCCTTGTTGTCGGGGATGTAGAGCTCGAAGCAGTTCTGGGGTGGAAGAGACCCCTCAGGGACAGCCCCCAGGGCAGCGGGGACCCCCGGGCACCCCGAGGCAGGAGGGACGAGGCAGAGCACTGGGGCTGTGGGTGCTCCCTGGCACCCCCCTGCAGCAGGACAGGGACACCCTGACACCCCCAGGCGTCCCCTGCCACCAGCCCCAGATGCTGCCCCAATGGGCAGCAACCCCATGGGGCCCTCCTGCCTCTCCCTGCCTGCTCCTGACCCCCCAAAGCACCGGGATGCTCCTTCCAGCCCCAGGGGACCCTGCCGGGCACTCACGGGCTTCTTGGAGTCCTCCACCTCACGGATGCTCAGGTTCTCCAGGGGGATGATGCCACGGGGCTCTTTATCCTGGGGGGGCCAAGCAGAGGCTTCAGTCGCAGGCCGGACACCTCCAACCCCTCCGTGTGCACCACGAGGAAGGGCTGGGAGCTGCCAACACCCCCGTGCACCGGCACCGAGTGCTGCCCGCCCCCGGCCCCCCGGCCCCCTGGCGCAGCACCCTCCCTGCCCCAGCTCAGCACCCCACACGAAGGCCACTGACCGTGGTGTACTCGAAGTAGTAAAGGCAGTTGTCGGTCAGGATGAACCAGCGCCGCTTCCACGTCTTCACCCTGCCTCCTGGGAGCAGAGAGAGCCGTGTTGGGCACCGCCGGGCTGCGGCACGGCGAGGCCGGGCCCGCGCGGACACACACAGGCAAGCAGCGGGCGCCGGGGCGCAAGCAGAGCCAGGCAGCCCCGTGGTGCCGGGGCGCAGCAGCAGCAGGCAGCACACAGCACGCCGGGCAGCGCACGAGCAAGAGCAGAAAGCAGGCGGATGGGGATGGAGGCGGAGGGTGGCGGGAGGGCAGAGCTGGGCAGGGAGTGCGGTGCCCGGTCACACCGATGGCACCGAGCTGTGCCAGGCGCCGGCTGCAGCGGGGGGCTCCGGGGGCGCACGGGGCTCCCGCCTGCACCAGCTGCGCTCCCTGCTGCCATCCCAGCCCAACGCTGGGCAAAGCAGGAGCCCAGCGTGCAGGTCGCAGAGGCTGGGCTGCGGGGAGCTCCACAGCCAGCGCTGCCAAGGAGGAGCTGCTCCCCTGCGCTCGGGGACTGCTCCCAGCGGAGCCCGGCTCCCCTCCGCCACGCTCCGGCCGGCACAGCGGCACCGGCTGCTCTGCTCAGCGCCGCGGGCTGGGCACCCAGGCCATGCTGCTCAGGGTGGGCACAGGCGCAAAGCAGCAGGGTGTGCACAATGGGCTCGTCTCCCCCACCCCGTCCGTGTCTGCAGGACAGCCCTGCCTCGCTGCCCCTCCGTGCCACCTTACCTCCCAGCCCTTCACCTGGCCCAGCCAGAGCCCCTTGCTGGGGAAGGTTCACCCCAGTCCCTGCCCTACAGCCAGGCTGAGACCAGGCTTTCCTAGAAGGACGAGGCTCCCTGCCCTCCTCCAGCCAAGCCCACCCCCCAAACCCCTGGGCTCGATGCCCCCCAGCCCCCAGCCCTCCTAAGGAGCTCCAGCTCCCCCAGGCCCTCCTCCAGGCTGCATCCTCAGCAGGGCTGTGGGTGGAAGAGCCGCATCACAGCAGCTCTGGAGGAGGAACCGTATGGCACCGAGAGGCAGCGCAGCCCCAGATTCAGCACTCCCAGCACCTCGGGGCTGCAGGCGGCCGAGCCGGGGCCGTGCCCAGCTCTGGGACAGCCGCACGGGGCACCGCGCGTGGCTCCTACCTGCTCCCTGCACCCAGCCAGCTCCAGGTGCTCCGTGTCCCAGGCTGGGCCCTTCCTGGGCGCCCCCCAAACACCCCAAACCCGGCCCCATCCCGTGTGGTGCCGGAGACGCAGACCCGCTGCGGCAGGGCCGAGCCACCCACAGGCGCAGGGAATCGCCAGGGGTGGGTGGCCCGGGCAGCACCCGGGCGAGGAGCGGCCGTGGCCCCGTCTGTCCCCGGGCTCTGGCGTTTGCCCTGCGGGACCGGGGCAGGGGAAGGGCCCGGCAGGCCTCGGGGAGCGTTCGGCATCGGCGGGGACCGGCAGCCCGGCACCCTGCCACGGCGGTGGTGGCGGGCATGGGGCTGTCCCCTCGGCAGGCAGGGTCCCCCGGGCAGCGCGGTGGTTAGCAGCAGCAGCAATGAGACTAATCGCCAGCAATTAAAAACGAAAAGGAAACGAAGCCCCAGAGGCATGAGCAGAGCAGGGGATAGGGGTACGTACCTCCTGGAGTTGGGGGCAAGGAAAGGAAGAGCCAAAATCATGGAAACATACAAATGAGGGAGAAAAGAAAATTAAAAAAAAAGGAAAAAAAAATAAAAAGAGGAAACCCCGAAGAACCCCCCTCACCCCGCGCAGGGCCACGCATGGCAGCGGGGCAGGGCTGCAGCAGGGAAGCCCAAGGGGCCGGGCCGCTGAGTTCCCTGGCTCTCTGTGGCTGTGTGGGATGGGGGGGCCCAGCCCCTGCCCCACGGCCTCCCCAGGGGCTCTCAACCCGCCCACAGCCTCACCACCCCCTTACTGGGCTCGGAGGGGCTGGGGCCTGCTCAGGGACAGAAGGGACAGGGGCCTGGGGCTCTCCAGGGCCCCCCAACTTGTAGCTGGGGCATGGGTGATGCCTCGTCTGGCACCGGGGCTGGCACGGGGCAGGGCTCCGTGCTGGGCAGGGATAAGGCCCCATTCCCATCACGAGGGGTGGCGGTAAGGTGAAAACACCCCCTGGTGAGAGGACAGAGCCCCCACCCCAGCAGGAGCCCCGGGAAACGCCGCCTCCAGCCCCTGCTCCTGCCAGCACCCCCGGTCCCCTCTCCTTGCTCGACCCGGGCAGAGATCCCTAAGGAGGTGCTGAGATGAGAAGCCACGGGAGCCAGGGCGTGGGGCAGGCTCGTGGTCTGCGAGAGCTGGGCTGTGCCGCGGGGATGCCATGCACGCTGCCTGCATGTGGAGCTGGGATGCGGAGGTGATAATGCCGTGGGAAGGTGAGGCAGGGACCGGCCGCTGGCATGGAGGGGACGCAGCCTGGGGGCAGCTCGCCGTTCGCTCCCTGGGGCCTGCTCCGGCAGGACCCTGCTGTGCCTCGGTGCCGACAGGAGCCTCACCAGCCCCCTGCTCCCACACCAGGCCCTGGCACCAGCTCTCCACCCCAGGGCTTGCTCTGAGAGGCAGAGCCCCCCAGGAACCCACCCGGCTGCGGCTCTGCTCCTGCTGCCCAGCCCAGGGAGAGCTGCGGGTGGGAGCTCTCCCCTGCCGGCCCGCAGCCTCTCGCCCCTCTCGGGGCCGTGCTCCAAGGAGCCCATCCCGTGGGCAAGGTGAGCCGGGAGCATCGCGCCCCCACCCAGCCCCGTCCCCCAGCTGCACCCACCCGGCTGCCAGCACTCACCCAGCTTCAGGAGCCAGCCCTCCCGGTCGGGGTTGAAGAAGGTGTGGGTGAGGTCGTTGCCATCGTCCTCGGGGATTTTGAAGGGTTCGTTCTTGATGCTCTCATAGAGATTCTGGCACAAGGACACATGGGGTCACCTCTGCTCCCCCCCCCGAGCCCCGCGACAGCCCCGCTGCGCACCCCGGCCCTGAGCCCCTCACCCGCAGGAGCTCCTCGGGCAGGTCCCCCCCGTCGTTGATGCCGCGGTTCATGGCGATGAAGCGCTCCGCCGTGGGTTTGTCCTTGACGTTGGGGTTGTGCAGGCTGGTGTTCAGCATGATGATAGCAAAGGAGAGCACGTAGCAGGTGTCTACAGGGACAGAGGAGAAAATCAGCCTCAAGGCCGGGGGGGGCTGGGGAGTGGGGCCGGGCAGCTGCCCACCTGTGGACTGGAAGACGCCGGGGTTGCACTGGCAGTAGCGCTGGGCAAAGGCCTCCATCATCCGGTCGATCTTCTGCGCCTCCCCAGGCAGCCGAAAGCTCCAGAGGAACTGCCTGCAGAGCGAGGTGCTGCGCTGCTCCTGGGGCCCCCACACCCCCTGGCCACGCTCCCATCTTGCAGCCCCTGCGAGCCCCCTGCCCGCAGGGCCCCACTCCCGGCCCCAGCCCAGCCCCTGGCTCACCGCAGCGCCTGCACGAGGTTGAGGTCGGTGAACTCGTGCAGCTCCACGAAGGCGTGCAGGACTTGGATGTTGAACTCATCCCTGCGGAAACAAAGCCGCAGCACGAGGGGCACACGATCAGCCAGTCCTGTGACTGCCCGGCGGCCCCACGGCTCCCTGCTCTGCTCCAGACCCTGCGGCTCTGCCCTGCACATGGCCCGCCTGGTTTGCACACACCGGCCTCTTCCCAGTGCCAGCCACAGCTCCAACCACCCCACTGCCGGCCCCAGTGCTCAGCGAGGTGCTGGCACAAGCTACTGGTGCTGCAGCCAGCCCAGACTCCATGTCCTGCCAGTGGTGCCTTCCCCAGCCCGCTGGGACTGTGCCGGGGGCTGCCCAGAGAACCCCAGGGGCTGCCACATCCCCGAGCTGCCCAAAGCCCCGCGCACCTCTCGCCCAGGTAGTCCCCGATGGCCGTCTTGTTGAGGCCCTCCCCCTTGTAGAGGAACTGCGCGATGTCCTCGCACGTGTTCTTCAGCAAGTCGTTCTCGATCAGGAACTGGATGCCCTGCAGTGGTGCGAGAGGCGCGGCTCAGCCAGGGGGCACCCGGTGCACGGGGTGGCAGAGCTGCAGCGCTGCCCTTGCTGCCCGGAGCCCGGTGCCAGACCCCGATACCTTCTTAGGATCCATGTTGAACTTCTTCCTGCCCATGGCCACCTGCTTGTTCCTCTGCATGTTCTTCCTGCGGAACAGCACAGCCCTGAGCGCTGCGCACAGACCGGGCTCCCCCTGCCCAGCCCCTTGCCCTGCGTGGACTCAAATGGGAGCCGAGCTCTGTGGGCCAGGCCAGGCCCCCAGCCTCAAATTGGGCACAGCCTGCCCGGCGGGGATGCAGTGTAGGGCTCCGGCTCTGCCCCACCCCACAGCTGAGTGGCTGGGGCTGGTCCCAGTCTGCCAGGAGGAGCTGCCACAGCCTGTTTGTGGGGTCACCCCATGCAGGGCATCCCAATGGGTCCCCTTTGCACGGGGAGAGGCTGGAGCGAGCCTGGTGGGGCTCTGAGGACTGCAGCCTTCGTGCCCCAGTGGGGCCGGTGTGAGGGGGATTGGGAACGGTGCCACGAGACAGCTCCCACAAGGACCCCTAATCCCAGAGCGGCACCGCCTGCACCAGCCCAGAACAACAACGTCTCTGCGGCCAGACAGGGGGATGAGGCTTGGACAAACAGACTTTCGGAGGAACAATTCAGGCTGGAATCCTGCTGCTGCTCCACGGCATTAATAGTGCCTGGGAAAGCCACCGGCACCGGCACCCACGGGACGGGGCCACGCCGCTCAGCAGCTCCCAGGCCAAGGGGGTGAGCTCAGGGCTGGGCACGCTGCGGGAAGGGGCCCCGCCAGCTCCGTGCCAGCAGGGGACTCACCTCTCCTCCGTGGAGCCGAGGTTCTCGATCTCATTCGTCACTTCTGCTATCTCATCTTTCAGCCGCTGAGGGGAGAGAGCGTGCGCTGAGCCAGGAGCTGCCTCCCGGCCTCCCCGACCCCAGGCACCCCGGCAGCAGGCGGGGGGTCCCCACAGAACGGGGCTCGGCGGAGGCAGGTGCCAGCCCTGGGCCCCCCCAGCCCCCCACGTGCTGCCCCAGGCTGAACCCCCTCGCAGGGCACTTGGCAGAGGGGGGCTGGCTGTGCCCTGCTGCTAATTCCCTTGCTGCGTCTCTGTGCATGCAGGAAGGAAGAGATTCGGAGGTTAACGACATTACCCCCTAATCCCTTCAGATGGTGCTCAGCATATGGCAGTAATTAGCCTCTGCTGCCCTAATCACAGACGTGACTGACGAGTGTCCCAGATGAGCACTGACCTCGCAGCCACCGGCCAGGGCAGAAACACGGCCCCGAAACACGGCCCCTGCCCGTGCCACGGAGAGATCGACGCCCCGGGCCGCAGGGAACGGCGCAGGCGAGGGCTCAGCCCGGGCCTCTGCAGAGCACGAGGAAGGGCTGGGGCTGCCTCTGCCCTGCGGGACCCCCCCGTGCCCCCACACGGCTCCTGTCCCCTCCCAGGGCCCTCAGGAGGCAGTGCTATCGGGGTGGCAGATGACGGGCTCCCTGCAGCAGCTGCTCGTCGCGTGTGCCCGGCCCTCCCTGCCCTGCGCTTCCAGCAGCTCCAATTTTCTGCCCCAGAAATTCCAGGGGAGCCTGCACAGGCTGCAAGGAGTGGGGCTGGCGGGGAAGGGGATGGGGGCACGATCCCGATCCCAGCCCGGCACGGCTCTGGCATGGGCACTGTGGATCCCAGGCACTGCAGCCTGCTGGGCAGCCCCGGCCAAGGCAGCCTCTCCTTCTGCCTTGTCCCCATGCCCAGGAGCGGGGTAGGGGACTCGGGACACAGGGACGAGCCTGCGCAAGAGGCCACCTTGCCCAGGACAGCCAGGGATGGGGGAGCACGCACGGCAGCCCTGAGCACCGCACCTGAATGTCAGCCAGCAGCTCCTGCTTGCGGCGGCGGATGTTCTCCAGCTCCTGGCACTCCTCTGGGGTTAGGTCGCTGGGCACTGCGAGGGGACAGGGACAGGGACAGGTCAGCGCACACGGACCGTGGGAACCGTCCCCGTGCCGGGCTCCAGACCCGCACCCGTGCGCAGCTCCCAGTGCCCGCCCGGGGCTGGGAGGCTCCGTCAGCAGCGCCCCCGGCCGAGTGCCCCTGACGGCACGCCAGGAATGCGACGGGCACCACGCTCCCCGGGCCGGGCAGCGGCTGCAGCGGGGGAGCCTGGCCCGGCCGAGCCCTGCTGATTCAGCCAGCAGCAGCCGGCAGCGAGCCCCGGCCCCCGCTCCTCCCCGCAGCCCACCCCTGCTCAGCCTCCGTCCCAGCCCTGCAGGGACCTGGAGCTGCACCGGGCGAGCCCCAGAGAAAACCGGCTCCCAGCCGGCCCCTCCATGCTGAACCCCCCCTCCTGAGCTGGGGGCTGGAGGCAGAGCCCCCCACCAGGCGCTGCCTGCACGTGGTGACACCGCTGCCTTGCTGTGCCCCTCGGGAGCCGGACACCCCACAGCCCCTGCAGCCCCCGCAGCCCCCACAGCCGTGCGCTCCCGTCCCCTGTCTCACGCCGCAGCCCACGGGTGACATTCCTGGTGCTCCGCAGCGCGTGACCTCCTGCTTCAGCTGCTCCCGTCCCCAAGGTCACCCTGCTCCTCTGGCAGCCCCCGCCTGCCCCCCACCCTGCCAGCACGCTCCAGCAGCTTGCTCGTGCCCCGTGCCAAGGCCACAGGCAGGGCCCTGGTGTGCCACTGAGCTCCTCGCGCCCTCCTTCCCCCAGCTGCTGCGTTCCGCCAAGGCACCGGGTGCCACCGCAGTCTCCAGGCCCCCTCTGCCCCGTTTGCTCTGTCCCCGTGTCACCACCAGGCCCCGGCTCACCCCAGTGCTCTCCGGGGGTCCGCTGCTGGGGCCCCGTCCCTGTCCCTGCACCCTTGGGTGCTGTCCGCAGCCGCGCGTCACCCCCGAGCCGCTTCCCTCCCCGCGGGTGCCTCTGGGGCGGCCGCGCTCACGCAAAGCGAATCTGTGAGCTCAGCACTTTCCTCGCTCCGCTCGTGTTTTCTGCCGAGCTTCCTCCTTCGCAGAAATCCCCCGCTGCCGAGGTCAGCAACAGCCTCAGCTTGCGACACGACCCCCCCGGACTCGAGAACACTTCCCGATATTTTCGGTCCTCAACACATGGAAGCGTGACCCTGACAGCCCCCAGCCCTGGGTTCTGAGCTACCCACGTCCAAAACGCCGCGGGCTCTGCCCTGCCGCACACCCGGAGCCTCCAGCACAGCCCCCACCAGCGCCGGGGCGCGGAGCCGGTCCCACCGGGGCCCAGCCTCTGCTGCACGGCTGCAGCCGGCACCGACAAGCCGCAGCGTGCCGCGACGGGCCGGGACGGGCCCTGCTCGGAGCCACCCGCACAGCCCCGAGCCCTGCGCGGCCGCGTGGGAAGAGAAATTCGGTGCCAGACTGAGCCCCCCCCGAGCCCGCAGCGGGTGGGTGGGGGTGGGAGGGAGGCTGCAGCAGTGCAGGGACGTGCTGGCACGCGGCGGGCGCGGGGGAGCTGGGGCTGGAGCTGTGCTGCCTCCCTGCCCCCCCCTCCCTCCCCGCCGAGGGGCTGCGTGGGTCCCCTGCAGGACCCAGCCCCCCCCCCCCATGGGGACAAGCACTCGTGACCCTGGGCCAGCCGTGTCAGCAGCAGCAGCAGGAGGAAGAGAAACCCCAGGCACAGCTTCAGCTTCTCTGGGGAAGGAAGAGGGCGGCACCCCCTCCCCGCACCCCGTCCCCGCAGTGCCAGCAGGGTTCTGGGGGGCTCCTGAGCCTCACCCCCCAGCAGCCCAGCGGGGGGCTGCGGGGTGCGAGGGGACCCCACGTGCCAGACTGTCACACACAGGCAGGAGGCTTCCCAGCATGACACGGGGGGGCTGTGTGCCATCCCCCCACCCTCTGCTGCCTCAGCCCCCTGGCCCCCGGTGGTGAGGGGCCCACCAGGCTCCGAGCACAGCGCCTGCGAGCAGCAGCAGCGCACCCACCGCCCCCCCTGTGCCCAGCACCGGGCGCAGCCCCACCACCACCACCACCACCACCACCACCACCACCATGTGGGGGTCCCCGTGGCCTCCTTCCAGCCCCTCCCCACCCTGTGGCCGTGCTCACCGCTGCCCTGTGCGCTCAGGACCATGGTGGGGGGGACGCCTGGGGCCGGCTGTGCCGCCGCAGCTCGGAGCAGCTCCCAGGGGTGCGGGCACCTGCCCGCCCCGCGCCGCCCGGGCTGAGTCAGGGCCGCGCCGCGCCAATGAGCTCGGGGCCGCGCCGGGCGTCACCGCGGCACCGCCGCCACCGCCACCGCCCTGCTCCTGCCATGGCCGGCCCAGGGCCCCGCACGGCTCCGCCACCCCTTGGGTTGCTGCTGCCCACAGGCACCCGGAGCCAGCCCGGCCCTTCCTTCCTTGGGGGCCGCCAGGACGTGTGCGCCTTGGCACGTCTTGAGCTCGCTGTGGTCACGCTGGGGACCCCGCGCAGTGGGACCAGCACAGGACCGGGGGCAGGACCAGCAGCCCTGGGAGCGGTGTCGGTCCCCCTGGGGTGCCACCGCCGTCTCTCTGTCACCCCCAGCTCAGGGCAGATCCCCGCTCAGACTGCGCTGCTGCCCGCAGGACGGTGCCGAGGCAGGGGCTGGGGGCCCACAGGGCTGTGCCTGCAGCAGCAGAGCCCCCGGCACGTCGCTGTCCCGCTGTCAGCTGCCTGGAGAGGCCGCGTGAGCCTCAGCCACCTTGACTCAGCTAAATCCTGCTCCACAGCGTGAGATGGAAAAACAGCACCCGGAACACCGGCTACGGAGATCTCCCCGGAAAGCCTGGGAAGGAAGGGCCTAAAAAAAGGCTCCTGAGGCCTTTCAGCCCCAGCTGCGGAGCCACCCAGTCTCCTGCCGGCCGAGGGCACAGCTCTCACCCATGTCACGTCTGTCGAGCAGCCCCACGTCTCGGACAGACCACGGGGACACCCTGCGGGAAGGGGCTGCCCGTGGGGCCGGCCCCGGTGCAGCGGGGTGTCACCAGTGGGCTCGGCCGTGGCTGTGCTGGGGGGCTCCCGCTGCACCCCACTGCTGGGGGGGGGGCTGCGGGGCCCCAAGAAACTTCCTGCCCCCGCCTCGGCGCACCACATCCTGTTTTCACCGTGCTCTGTGCACATCCTGGGTTGCGTCAGCCCCGTCCTTCCCCAGACAGCCGAGGTGCGTCAGGAGAAGGGCTCGGGGTCAGGGGGCTCCACAAAGACCCTCCCAGGCAGCCAGGTCCAGCGCCGAGGGCTGGCCAGGGCCCTGCCCCCCCCAGCACCCAGCTCCTGCACCCCACAGCCGCTGCCTCGCTCCCCACTAGTTCCAGGCTTGGGGGCCCAGCCATGGGGCTGGAGCACCACCAGGGCACACGACGTGGCCCACGAGCAGCAGCTTGGCCATGTCCACTCTCACTGAGCCACTGACACAGCCACGGCCTGGTCCTGCAGCCACGGTCCTGCAGCCCCGCATCGTGTGCTGCTCGCCCTGCCATGCACCTCACTCCCCCTCCACTCCCGCACCTCTCACCGTGCTCAGCCTCAGCGCAGGCAGCGCTGCCGCAGGGCTGCCGGGAGCTGCTCTCAGCCTGCGAGCAGGAGCCCAGGGACAGCAGCAGCAGCTCCCAGGCGCTGACAGCCCGCAGTGACAGCCCCGACCTGGGCAGGTTTCCTTTGGAGAGGGCAGCCACGCACGCTCCCCCCTGCTCTCAAGCGGGGCTGCAGCAAGGGCATCGCTCCGGCAGGGCTGGAGGCAGGAGGGGTGAGGGGCTGGGGCAGGATGGGGTTCGGTCCCACCGTGCTGTGTGCACCCCCTGGCTCTGCCGAGGGCTCCCCGGCTCTACCAGCACCGTGGGGAGCGCCCCGCACCCAGCTGTCCCTTGCGGGGGCCTGAGGCCGGCAGCGCGCGGGGGCGGCGAGACAAGCGGGACGCTCCGTGCCGCCGATGGCAGGAGCCATATGGAGCCGGAGCCACGGGCCCTGCCGTGGGGACGGGGTCACTGCGGGAAGCAGAGGGCACGGGGCACCTACCTGCCTTGGTGGCCACTGAGGGGCACAGGAAGGCCTGGAAGCTGGAGGCGCAGAGCTCGCTGACCGTCCCCATGGCGCGCAGACCCCGAGTGGGGCAGGGGGAGCCCGGCGGGCACTGTGCGGCGCGGCGGCAGCTCCCTGCGGCCGGGACCCCGGGCAGCCCGAGGTGTCCCCGCTCTGTCTGGAGCAGGGGAAGGCGGCTCTGGCAGCGGGAGGCTCCAGCGGCAGGAGCCCACGCGCCCGCCGCAGCCAATCCCCGCTCCCTGCCCGCACAGGGGCCCGCTGGGGCGCACGGGCAGCGGCCGGCGGCTCAAAGCCACTTGGAGGACACGGAGCTGGGGAAGTTCATGGCAGCAGCCCCTGGGCCTGGGCTGCCTGCCCCCTGCCAGCCCCCGACCCCCACGGCGGCTGCCGGCGGGGTATTTTTAGAGCGGTTTTATCCCTCCGTATTAGAGCTTTAAGCATCCAGAGCCGCTGGTTGCGTAGCAACCTCCCCTGCATAAAAGGAAGGTGCATAAAGAGACACAACAGGCTGCAGCGAGGCGTGGGGAGCGGGGTGCTGCCAGGCCCCCGGCCACGGGGTGCTGGGTGCTGCCTGCTCCCGGCACAGCCCCGCGGGGCCGAGCCATCCCGCTCCGTGCTTGGGCTGTAACCCAGCGATGGGGCCGGGGCAGCGCGATGCCGGTGCTCCCCGGCAGTGCTGGAGCCGGTTCCCTGCTCCTGGGGTGCTGCTGCAGTAAGATCTGGGGCCCTGCCCCGAGCTCCCAGCCTCTGTGTCCTGGCAGAGCTGGGGGGCACCCTGCCGGCCCTGCTGCACCCCAACCCGTCGGCCCCACGGGCACCGAGCAGACCCAGCCCGGACAGCCAGCTCCTCCCTTCGCTCCGAGCAGAATTGATGCCCCGGCGGGGGCACGGCTGTGAGTAACAAACCCCAGCGCCTGGAGGGGCACGAGGCAGCGCCCTGCAGACACCCAGCAGCTGGCTGCCAGGCACAGGGAGCGCTGGGACGCGCTGAACCGGGAGGAACCTAAGCAGGACGGGATGGGACGGGTGGCGGGGGACGTGCAGGACACTGATCAGTGCCCCGGGAGGACACAGCACCCAGGCAGGGGGACCCCAGGCGCCAGGAGTGGCACGTGGCTGCGGATGGGTGGGGAGGGAGAACGCTGCTGCTGGGGCACGAGGGCAGCGAGGCGTTCACTGCGAGCAGCCTGCGCTGCTTCCCCTTCCCTGGGGCCGAGGCAGCCGCTGCCACAAGCCGAGGAAGGAAAAGGACGCGAGGAGCCGGAGGGACTCGGGCTGAGCCGGGCACGGGGGCAGCAGCTGGGGAAAGCCCCGCGGTCAGGGCAGCTGTGGGTGCCCAGCACATTTGGGGCAGGGCCGGGCTGTTTCCAGGCTGTGTGAGCTGGGTACCCAGCTCGTTCCTCAAGCCCTGCCCCAGGAAAGCCCCCAGCCTGCACCTGCCCCAAAACAGGGCTTGGGCAGAGCCCCCCTGCTGCCCCCCACACATCGCCCCAGGTGCCCCATGCAGCCCCCAGAGCTCAGCAGCGGGCACCGTGCTGCGTGCCCCAGGCATCGGGGCTGGAACAACGGCTCTGTGGGGCACTACGTGCACCCCAATGTGTGATTGCTGCGTGCCAGCACCGTGGCTCGGTGCGCTCTGCCCCCAAACACCTCAATCATCGCCTTCCCCACGGCGTTACCACCTTCGGAGCCCCGATGGCCCCAGCGCTGCGCTCTGGTCCCTGTGCTGCTGTCCCTGTGTTGTCCCCCTGCCTCCAGCCCAGACCCCACGGCTCTGCTGGGCTCTGCTGGGCTCGGGGGCTCCACGGGCCCCGGGTTTCACCAGCAGCGTCCCCGCTGCACCCTGCGAAGGGCCCCGCTGAGCCCGTGCCGGGGCACCTGCAGGGGAACGGGGCCAGGGAGGGTGGCAGCGGGTGAGGACCCCCCCCAGGAGGCACCGTGCAGCCGCCCCCCCAGCTCGGCCCCCAGCTGGGCATTGGCTGCGCGCAGCAATCCCTTAATTCCCTTAATCCCCGCCGCCCGTAATCCCCCGGGGGTGCGGGATTACCCCGGGGCCGGGCCCCAGCCGCACCAGGGCGCTGGGTGGGGGGAGAACGGAGCCCGCGGGGCCGCCACCGGGGCCGGGTCCCGGCCCTGACACCGGGGGGGGGGGGGCACCGGCCCCGAGCCCCTCACTGTGCCCCCGGTGCCCCCGCAGGGAGGGGACCCGCCGGGAGCCGTCCGGCCCCCCCGGTGCCCCGGGCACAGCCCCGCGGTGGGAGCCTCCCGGGGCTCGCTGCAGGCCCCGGGGAAGCTCCGGGAGCCGCTCCCGGGGCCGCTCCCGCTGCAGGGCCGCGGCCGGCAACGCCCGCGCAGGGCCGGGCCCGGCGCTTATCGCGGCCGGCAGCTCCCGGGCGGCACCGGGCGGGGCCCGGCCCGGAACCGACCGGGACCGAGCGGGGCCGGGGTCCCCCGGTGCCGTCCCCGCACCGCCGGGCTCCGGTCGCTGCCCCCCCCCAGCACCGATCCCGGTGCTACCGGGAGAACGGCGCCCCCCGCCCCGACACCGCCCCGCGCCCGGAGCCGCCCCGGGCGAATCCCGGCCGCAACCGGTGCCCCCCGCCCGGTTCCCCCCCCCTCTGACCGTAGCCCCCCGGCTCCCTCCTCCCGGTGCCCCCCCCCAGCCCGGTGCCCCCTCCCGGCCCCCCCTCTGACCGTAGCCGCCCTCCTCCTCCATTGCCGCCGCCGCCGCCGCTCCGGCCCCGCCCGCGTGACGGCGGCACCGAGGCCGCGCCGGGCGGCAGCGCGTGACGTCAGAAGGGGCGGAGCCACCCCGCACCAGGCCCCGCCCCTCCCTCCCCAAACCCCGCCCCCTCCCTCCAGGCCCCGCCCCCTCCCTACAGGCCCCGCCCCCAGCACTCTCTCGCTCTCAGTCGCGGTTTTATTGCGGGGGGGGGGCGGCTCCACGGGGGGGGGGGGGGGGGGGGGGGCACGGTCCGGGGGCTCGGGCTGCGCCCCCCCCTCCCCCCAAAAAAAGCCCCACGGGATAGGGGAGGACGGGAGGGGGCAGACCCCCCCCCACACAGCCCCAGGGCACACGGGGGGGCGCAGGCTGCCTGCAGCGGGCACGGCCCCGGGGTCCCGGGGGGCGGCAGGAGGGGGCTCGGGGGGCCCAGCAAGGACAGCTGGAGGGGGAGGCCCGGGGGGGGTCCCAGGCTTGGGGCTGGGGAAGGCACAGCAGGGCCAGGGCCCCCCCTGCCCACCAGCAAGGCAGAGCCCCCCCCCCCAGAGGTCCTGGACAGAAGCCCCCCCAGCCCCCAGGGCTGCAGGGACCCCCAACCGGGGGGGGGGGGGGGGGGACGACTCAGGAGCTGCCCAGGGCTGGGGCTGCACCGAGCCCCCCTGCAGCAGCACCCACCCGGGGGGGGGCCCTCACTGCAGGCCAGACCCCCCCGGCCCCCCCCCCAGCCCCAGGGGGGGGGCAGCAGTTCCAGGACCCCCCCACGCTGCTCCTCAGGGCCGGACCCGGCGCTGCTCCATCGGCACCTGGGGGGAAGCAGCAGCAGCGTTAGCACCCCTGGGGGCAGAGCTGCCCCCCCCCAGCCCCCCCAGCAGCCCCCCCAGCAGCCCCCCCAGCCCACCTCAGAGCCGGTAGCTGAGGCTGGCCACCTTGGCCGGGTGCGTCACGGCCCAGAAGTTGCGCCTGCTCTGCAGCTGCTGGAAGGGGTTGAGGTGGCGCCGCCGCTCCCGCCTCAGCTTCTTCACCTTCTTCACCTGTGCAGGGGGAGGAAGGCTCTGGGGTCAGGACTGGGGGTGGGGGGGGGGTCCTGCAGCCCCCCACCACCCCCGGGGGCACAGCCAGTGCTCACCTTCCCTCGGTCGAACTCCTCGTCCCACTCATCGATGACGGTCTCGCTGCGGGCCCAGGCCGCGTCCCGGATGGCGTCCTGGCTGACAGCCGACAGCTCGCCCCCCCACGTCAGCACTGCAAAGAGACCCCCCCTCAGCACGGGCAGGGCCCCGGGCTCCTCGCTGCCACCTCCCCCCCCATGAACACACAGCACCTGGCTCCAGGAGCCCCCCCATGGCCGCTCTGCCCCCATCTGGGGCAGGACCTGGGGGCTGCGTGCCCCCCCCCAGACCCCCCAGGTGCGGTACCTTGCTTGCCGTACGCCTTGTCCAAGGAGTTCCTGAGCAGCTCCTGCACCACGCTGCGCTCCTGGCTGCGGGGGGGGCTGCCAGGGCCAGGGCTGCCCCAGGCACCCGCTGCTGCTGCAGGAAGAGCAGGGGGTGAGGACCAGCTGGGGGGGGACACCCTGCATCACCCCCCCCCCAAGGACCATTCCCATGGGGCAGGGGCACGGGGCCGTACCTGGGGTGCTGGGGGCAGCCGCCAGCTCCGCGGGGGGGCTGCCCAGGCTTTCCCTGTGTTTGCGCTTGCGATGCTCGCTCTCTGCAGGGCCGGGGCCTGGGCTCTGCTGCTTCGGCTGCCAGGGCTCTGCCTCGGCCCTCCTGGAGCTGGGGAGGGCAGCAAGGCTTAGCTGGGCCTGGGACAGCCGCGGGGAGGGGGCAAGAGGAGCAAGGAGCCCCTGCCTATGTGCTCAGCGCCCCCCGACCCCCCGTCCCCTCACCTGCCCGAGGGCAGCGTCCCGAGGCAGCGCTCCTCCATCTCCTGCAGCCGCCTCTTCTTCTTCTTCTTCTTGGGCGGGGGCACAGGCTCCGTGCCCGGGAAGCAGCTGGGGGCTGATGTTTGCTGCTTGGGGCGGCTCTGCTGCTCCTCCCGGCCCCCACCACCATCCACAGCGGCCGCCCCCCTCCCCGCAGGGGACAGCGAGCCCTCCTGAGCCACGTTCCTCCTCTTCTTGGGGGGGCTGCAGGCTTCGTCCTTGCCGTTCACAGCCAGAGCGCAGGGGCTGCCGCCTGCTCCAGGGTGCTGCTTGCGATGCTTCTTCTTGAGGGGAGCGGGGGGGCTGTGGCCGGGCCCGTGCTCCCCGCCGCAGGCAGGACGGGGGTGCGAGGAGGGGGCCGTGGAACCGTTGGTCAGGGGGGAGGCCGGGAGCCGAGGGGCTGAGCTGGGGGCGAAGCTGAAGGTGGGCTTTTCGGGGGTTGGCAGTTTGAGAGCAGATGAGGACAGCCTGAGGGACAGAAAGAGAGGCTGACGTGTTCGGAAAGCCAAGGCAGGAGCAGGAGCCCCCCGCTGCCTCCCCACCCGAGGTGCACAGGCACCCAGCGGACACCACCTGAGCCATGAAGCCAAGAAACCCGAGGCAGAGCTGCTCCGGGGCAGCTGCAAGCGCAATTAGGAAGGAGAGAGCGCTGCCATGGCACAGGGTGCAAGGGAGCCCCAGAACAAGATCCAGACCGGGCTGGTGCCTCCCGATGCCATGGGACAGTGACACACGGGCAGAACCTGCGGAGAGCCTGCCTGCCTTGTGCCAAATCAGAGAAACCGCCCCGCTCCTGGGGCTCAGAACGAGCCCAAAAACAGCCCGGGGACGAGCGGCGCGGGTGCCAAGGTGCCCCCGGCCAGCTGCAACACGGGACCAGCACTGCAGGACCAGCTCCAGGACCAGCTCCAGGGCTGCCGCTGGCTTCGGTGTCGTGGGGGAGTCCGAGAGCCTCCCCGTGCGCTTACCTGGGCTTGCCGAGAGGCCAGGGAGAGGAGTCGGGGTGGGTGGTGGTCGTGGGGAAGGAGAGGCCGGCGGGTGGCGGGTGAGGCTGCGCGCGGCGGTCACTTCCGCTCGCCCTCCGCGGGGTGCTGCCCTGCAGTTATCGACATAAATAAAAACTTGGTGGTCTAACGAAAAAGGTTTCCGAGAGCCAAGAGGAGAAAATAAAAAGGGGAGCCCAGAGAAAGGGGAGGGGAACAGACACAGACGGGGGGAGGAAAGTGGGGGGTGGTAGAAGAAGAATCAGAAGTGTTCTCAGTTAGAAGCACAAAGGAAAAAAGGAAGGAAGGAAATTTAAAAAGCACAAAAACCCCAGCACGACGCCCCGGGCTGCAGGGCAGCACCCAGGGACCCCCCCCCACGCCATCGGCCGGGCAGGGGCAGCCCTGCAGCTGGAGAGCCGCAGGTCCCCCCCACCCCGCCGAGATGCGCCCGGCAGCGGGACGCGCTCCCTCGAGCGAGGAAGGAGGGAAGGAAGGAGCTGCTTCCCTGGGGGGCTCGGGGACACCAACCCTCCGTCAACAGCAGCAGGGGCCTGGCCCCGCGCCCTGCCCCAGCAGGGGGGCAGGAGCCAGCCCTGGGACCGGGGGCTCTCCCACACCAACCCTGGCTTCATGGCCCCACGCCTCCCTGAGCACGCGCACCCAACGCAGGGAGCACCCGGCACCCGCTGACACCCCCAGGCCCGGACTCACCTTTTTGGCAGAGAGTGCCAGCTTCTTGGCCGGGGGCGGTGACATGGTGCTGCCCGGCTCCCCCGCCGCGCTGCCCAGCTGCGAGGATTTCGGTTTCACCACCTTGGAGTCTTCGGGGCCGGCGGGCTCGGCGGGGAGCTCCGCGCCACAGTCCGTGTCCTCAGAGGGGCAGAAGCCTCCTCCCGCTGCGGTTTTGGCTTTCTGGGGCGCCTTGGCCGGGTCCCCCGCCGCGCTGTGTGCCGGGCTGGTGGTGCCGCTCCTGCAGGAGCCCCGCTCCGGAGTGCCAGGGCCGGGCTGTGGCGAGGCGGGTGGCTGCTTGCTGTCCCCAGAGCTCTGCCGGGGCAGATCCGCCGCAGGCCTGGCCGTGCTGCCGGGGCCCTGAGCTGCCCTGGGTGCCTGAGGCTGCTGCGGGGAGGACGGCGGCTTCTTGGGTCTCCGGGTCACATCCTCGGTGGGCGCTGCGGCTGCCTGGGTGGCTCTGAGGGGCAGCTTGGGTGACGGGGACGCAGCGGGTGGCCTCGATGGGGTGCATCCGTTCAGCAGCTTCGGCCCCGTGCCCGGCGCACCGCGGGCCACCGGGACCCCGATCTCCTCTGGCCCCGGCAGCTTCTTGCCCGGCAGCACCTCCGGTCTCTGGGCGAGGAGGAACGGGGAAGTTCAGTGGGGACAGGCTCCGGGGACATGGCGACGCTGCCCCCGCTCCCTTGGCAGGCTGGGTGCCACGGGACCCTCCCCAGGGCCTGCTCCTCGGCCCCTGGGACTCACCCGGCCCAGCAGCGGTGACGGCAGGGGCCCGTTGGTTGAGCTTTTCCTGATCTGGTCAGAGACGGAGGCTGGGCGGCTGGGCAGGCTGCAGCTGGCTTTGGCAACGGCTCCGTCTGAGCCCTTCCTGGGGCTGGGGATTCTGGAGAAGGCAGAGCACAGGGGTTAAAAACCAGGGGGCTCGTCTCAGAGGCGTACAGCAGCAGCAGGAGGCAGCAGCTCAGAGGCACTGACATGCTCCTCATCCACACAGGACCCCTGACCAGCCCCAGACCTCTCCCCCCACGCCTGTCCCAGCCCGTGCACCCCACAACACGGGGCACACGCTGCCGGCCTGGCCCCACAACACAGGAGAGCCGCCGAAGGGCAGGGTGCGGGGCCAGGCGGCGCAGGGCACCTCACCTCAGGTAGAAGAGCACGTAGGCCTGCTGGTTGAGGACCACCTTGATGTTGCTGCAGTGGACCAGGGAGTCGTTCATCTGATACCACTGCCCGTTGCTGGCCTGAGGGAGAGCAGGGGGGGGTCAGGCCCTGCCCAGGGCCCCCCCGGGCCATGTACACCCGCTGAGCACCCGCAGGGACCCAGGAGCGGAGCCAGAGGGGTGCCGGGGAGCAGCCCGGGCTCACCTTCACGTAGCAGTAGTAGTGCCCGGCGTGGCAGCTGTAGCCCGAGTGCACCAGCACCGCGTACAGCCCGTACATGACGGGGTCCCCGTTGTTCTGAGACATGTAGGGCCGGATGTTCAGGAACTCGGGGTACCCCACGTCCTGCGGGGAGAGGGCATCTCAGCAATCTTCCTTGCCAGAGCAAAAGCAGCTCCGGCTGCCCTACGGGCTCATCTCTCGAAGGAGGGGACCCAGCACCGCTGGGGAAAGGCTGCTGGGCTGCGGCTCAGCTCAAGCTGTGCACGGGACCCCTCACAGGACCCCTCACAGGACCCCTCACGGGACCCCTCATGGGACCCCTCACGCCGCTCTGGCCAGCAGGGCCTCGGGCTGGGGGCCCGCCGAGCTCTCACCTTTGTGATTTTGCCTCCGCTGAAGTTAGCAAAGCGTTTCAGCGAGAGCGTGAGGACGTTGGAAGCCCGGTGGATGGTGAAACGTTTGCTGGCTGGGACCTTCTTCTTGCACCTGTAGGGAAAGGGCTCGGGCTACACAAACTACTCCATCCTGACCGCTAGCCAGGGCCAAGGGGAAAACCCCATGGAAGTGGCCACGCTGACACCAGCTCACGGCCGTGAGGGGAGGCAGTGGGAGCAGGGACAGCTCCATCGCAGGCTCTGGGGCCTCATGTCCTGTGCCTCAGCCAGGGCTGCCCCCGCTCTGCAGCAGCCTCCCCCTGCTCCCCCCCGCAGGCTCCGTCCCCCCCGCAGCCCTGGCTCACCGGGCACACATGTAGGCGTTCTCCCCGCTCAGCACGTCTGACTTCACAAACAGCTCCAGCGCCCGCACGATGTTTGCAGCTTGCTGCAGGGACAGAGCAGAGCTCAGGGAACGGGAGGGCTGTCCCGCAGCCCCTCCAAGAGCAGAGCTCGTCCCACCCCACTGACGTACCCGGATCTCCAGCGCCACGTCCAGGTAGGGGTCGTAGGTGTCCGAGACGCTCTTGCACACTGAGCACTTCACTGCAAAGGAAGCAGCAGGGAGCACTCAGCTCTGCGCCCACAGCAGCTGCAGGGCTCCCCCCTCCTGGGCTGCAGGAATTCAGCGCCAGGCCCCCGCTGCGTGCCCGCAGCTGGCGGGGAGGCAGGCTGGCAGTGCCACCACTCGCTGGCACAGCGTCACCAGCCAGCTGCAAGCACTGGCTCCTCTGCTGGGTAACAACGAGCCAGGGGCCCGCAGCCAGCGGCTTCCTGCGCTGCCACAGCAGGGGCTGAGACCCACGGGCACAGCGGGAGCGTAGGGCTGCAGGTCTGGGTAATTCACTCCGGTTTTGTTATTCTCCCCAAAGATTCCTAGTGCCGTGCTCCTGAAGCCACGGACTCACCTCGGGAGCGCAGGTAGCCGCCGAAGATCTGGTGAACCAGCGTCGTGGCCTGGGTCTGGCGATCCAACCTGGGGAAGAAGCCACGGGTCTCACACCGTCCCTGCACAAGGGACACCCCTAAAGGGCCACCATGTCCCCAGGTGCTGCAGCAGCGGGCGCTCAGAGCCTGGTGCTGCAGACAGAGGCGATGCCACCGCACTGGGACTGAGGGCTCAGGGGAAAGCTGCTCCCCCATGGCCACCAACGGGGGCTGCACCATGCATCACACCCGGACCCCCCAGCAGCCACAGCACCTGGGGCCGCAGCACGGCCACCTCCCGCTGCCCCCCGGTACCTGGTGCAGCCGTTGAGGCAGGCCTTCTGCATGGCATCGATGGTGTAGCGCAGGAACTCGTGCGCGTCCTCCTGGCTGCCGAAGCGGAAATGCCGGGCGATCTCTGCAGGGACACAGCCGTCAGCCCCCGGCCTCCCGCGGCCACCAGCACCCCCCCAGCACGACCCAGGCAGGCTCATGCTGGCTGCAGGGGCAGCCCCACGTGGTGCCGGGGCACCCGGTCGGCTCCGTGACTCATCTCGGGAGAGCTCCCGCCGGGACCTGCCCCGGTCTGAGGCTCTGCTCATGCGTTAGTCAGCGCTGGTGAGCGCCGCTGTGGGAGGGAGGCTGCGGGGGGGTGGGGGGGGGCAGGCATCCTTACTCTTGAGGTCTCGGATGAAGGACACCGGCTTGATGGCGTTGCCGCTGTTGGCAAAAGCCTGGATCAGGTGATTCTGCATAACGCACATCATGCAGAAGCCTCCGTGGTGACCTGGAGCAGGAGGGGAGAAGAAAGGACGTTGGGAACAAGGCGGGAGGGATGGAGGCAGCGCAGGGGAAGGGGAATCTCTGCTCCGGTGCATGGGGGCACGACTGCGAGCCCTGCCGGGGAGCTCCCTGCTACAGCAGAGCGCGGGAGCAGCCCAGGTGACAGGGAGCAGGGTAGAGCCCGGGCTGGCACAGCCGGGGACACAGCACAAGGCACAGCGAACCCGACCACAAATGGCCCCACGCGGGCTGTGCTGTGTGCAGCCCCCAGCCCCCCCCATGGGACCCAGGGGTCCCAGCACAGCCACGAGGACACGGAGCTGCCCCGGCCCCGTGTGCGGGGACAGAGGGGGCATCCGGGGGATGGGAAGGCACAACCAGACCCCTGCACACCCACGGGCAGGGCTGCACGCAGGGGAGCTGAGCACAGCCCAGGACCGGGATGGATGAGCACTGCTCCCCCCCACCCCAACCCCCCCGGGGCCGAGCCCCCCACTCACAGGCGCGGCCGTGCTCCTTGGACAGCAGGTAGTTGGCGAGGGGCGGCGTGTAGGTGAGGCACTGCAGGGTGGCGTTGAGGAAGCACGTGTTGCCCAGGTTGTGCAGCCCGGCGCCCACCCGCGACACCCGCTCCCACCTCAGGGACAGGCGCTCGGCGGGGAACAGCACCTTCTGCGGGGCGGGGACCCCGTCCCCCGGCCCATGCTCACCGCCTGCGGGCACCGGGAGGGGGATGAGCGGCGGCGGGTGGGGGCACCGGGCAGCCCCCACACCCCCATCCCCCCGGTGCCCCCACATACCCTGCCTCCCGGGCGGCCCCTCGGGGGGGGCTGTGCGCTGTGGGGCGGGGGTCGGCCGGGGGGGGTTGAGCAGCAGGTACTTGCCCCGCAGCCCCTCCGGCTGCCCCGGGCCGCGGCTGGCGGGCTCGAACTCGATTTTCTGCAGCAGCACCTTCTTGGCCGAGGCGGCCAGCAGCCGGCCCAGCTCCGCGTCCTCGCCCTGCTCCCGGCGGCCCGGCTTCAGCGCCTCGCGGAGCTTCTCCACGATGGGCATGGCGGGGGCCGGGCTACGGGAGGGGGGCGCTCAGCGGGGCCCGGACGCGGCCTAGGCCCGGAGGGGGGGGGAGGGGGGGAGCCCGGGGCCGCCGCCGCCGCCCGCGACCTTCAGCAGCGGCGGCGCCGCCACCGCCCGGCCCCGGCCCCGGCCCCAACCCCGGCCCCGGCCCCCCCGCCACGTGCGGCCGCTACCGGCAGCTCCGGCCGGGACCGCGCAGCGACAGCGCCCGCGGCGCCTCCGGGCCCCGATCCCGATCCGGGTCCCGATCCCGCTCCCGGTGCCGGTCCCGCCCCCGCCGCCCCGGTCCCGCTCCCCCCCCGCCCCCCGGTCCCCGCGCACCATCCGGGTCCCGGCGGCCCGCACGTGTCACCGCCTCCACGGGGCGCTGCCCGCGGGAGCCCTTCCGGCCCCCAGGCCCCGCCCCTCCGGGGGGCGGGCACCGAGCAGGCCCCGCCCCCAGCGCGCGCAGCCGCCACCCGCGCCCCGGTACGGCCCCGCCCCCTCCCCCCGGAGCCCCGCCCCCCGCCCGGTGCCGCCCGGTGCCGCTGTCCCCGTTCGCTGCCGGTGGCGCGGGGCGCTGCAGGGCGGTGCCCGCAGCCCGGTGCGATGCTGGCGGCCCCGTTCACCGCCGGCAGCCCCGGTTTGTTGGCACCGGCCCCGGTTACCGGTGATAGCCCCGGTTACCGCCGTACCCCATCTGTTACCGTACCCCGTTACCACCGGCAGAGCGGCCGTGCTGGATCCCCACCAAACCCCCGGCTCCCGGTGTCCGCGTGCTCCCAGCCCCAGCCCCGTTCCCACCGGCCGGAGCCACCCCATGGGTCCCCCCCGAGCCCCCGGTGCGGGGCCCACCGGGGACGGCGGCAGGTCCCGGGTCAGTGCCTCCCTCCCTCCCTCCCTCCCTCCCTCCCTCCTCCTCCCCGGGTCCAGGCCCCCGGAGCAGGGGGGAACCGGGACCCCCGAGGTGTGGTTGGGGGGCTCTGGGGGTCCCGCTCGGGGCACCCCGCGGTCCCTCCCCGTCCTCCCCCAGCACAACCCCGGAGGAGAAGGGGCCCCCCCGGGCCCCCCCAAATCAAATCACGGCACAGGGAGGCGGCAGCTGACGGCAGCACGGCAGTGTTAAGGGCAGACTACCAGCGGAGCGGGGCGCGAGCTGATACAACCGCACGGGAAGCGAGCGGGACTCTTACATGGCACTGGTTAGAGGGCGGCTGGGGCTTTTTTTTCCTTTAACCTTTTTTTTTTTTTTTTTTTCCTTTTTTTTTTTCCTTTAATACGTCGAAGTTGCCCAGACTGGTCCAGTACGACATCGTGGAGCCTTGCGGGGACGCCCAGCATGAAATCGCTGCGGCGGGGGCTGCGCGCACGAGCCGGGGCCGGCCGCGCCACCGAGCGCACGGGGCGCCGCCGCAGAGGGACAATGGCTCAGAGAAAGCGGGGCCCGGGGGGGGGACGGGACAAGGGGACGGGGGTCCTGCACCGCAGGGGGGGCGCCCAGGGGGCCCCGATCCACACAGGGTGCGACGGCGATCGGCAGCCCCGCAGCTGGGGGCTCCCAGCCCTGGTGCCCATCCTGCATGGGGACGGGCTCCAGCACGGCCAGGGGTGCCGGCCCAGCCGGGGTGGGGGGGTCTGAGCCCCTCGGCGGTGGCACCGGAGGGCCCCGGGCGCAGCGCTCGCCCACCCCGGGGCTTGCCCTGGGCCAGAGCCCCCACAACGTGCCCGACCGCGGAGAGGAGCGCACGGGCAGCGGGGCTGCAGCCCATGGCGAGGGGGCACCCGGCTGCACCAACGCCCCCCCCGTGGCTTTTGTGGGTGGGTGGGATGCCTGCGTGGGAGCTGCTGGCGCCGTGCACGCCCGCGGTGCCCTGCTGCAGCCTCCTGGCACCCCCAGGGGAGGGACGGGCGTCGGGACGGGGTCTGGTGAGAGGCGTGGGGGCGGCTCCGTCCCGCGGCGGGGCCCCTGGTAGACCGGCTACGCAGACTGGGGACGGCGCCCGCCGCTCGCGGGCGTTCGCTTCCTTCGCAGCTCTCAGGGGCACAAGGGCTGAGCGGGGCCGGGAGGGGACGTGGCCCCGGCGGGGAGGAAGCCCCCGGCCCCGCTGACCCCGCGGGGGGCGAGGAGCGGGGCAGGGACAGAGCTGAGCGCGGCGCCGCACCCTGGGGACCCGCGGGGCCGAGCGGATTTGCATGCTGTCTCCAGGACTTGATATCAGCGTGGACCAGTCTAACATCTCGCAGGTTTTTTTCTACTGGCTACTGGAATGCGCTCGTTTGGCTTAGGGGTCCTCGATGTCGAGAAACTCTTGCTTGGGGGGGGCCATGCCGCGGTACCAGGCGCACGAGCCGTCGCTCCTCTTGATGCAGGCGTAGTGCTTCGCCTGCCGCCCGCCCACGATCTTCTCCATCGCCCAGTCTGTCCAGAGACACTCATCCGAGGAGGAGACGAAGCACGGGATGGAGAGGCAGCGCGAGATCTGTGCACAGCAGACACCGTCACCACCCGCCCTGGGACGGGGGGCAGCTCCGTGTCCCCCCCCCTCCCCCAAACCCAGCCCCGGTGCGCTCACCTTGCACTCGCAGCCCATCTGGTACCGCTGGTTGAGGCTCTTCTTCTGGGTCGGGCTCAGCGAGTCCCAGGTGGCCACCAGGTCGCACAGCGTGATGTGCATCTTGCCGTTGCCCTCTGACTTGCCTGGGGACACGGAGCCGCTCAGACCGTCCCCGACGGCACCCCGAGACCCCCATGGCAGGCACCAGGTGCCCGGGGGTCTGGGGTCCGCTCCTCCCCAGCCGCCCCCAGTCCCTGCCCAGCACCTACCTGCGATGAGGTACTCCTTCTTCCCTCCCGTGTCCAGCGGCTGGCCGCACACCGCTGTGGACGGCGCCGTGTAGATGAACTCGATGTCCTTGTCAGGGCCCTTAAACATCTGGGGACAGAGCGCAGGCGTGAGCGGCCCCCCGCTGCCTCTCCCTGCCCGCCCCAGGCCCAGGCACCGTGCCCCGTACCTTGATCTGCTTGACTTCGTACTGGATCCGCTTGATGGGGTTCCCGTATATGTCATTCCCCGAATCCACCTCCTTGGCGGAGACAGCCTTTGCTCGGATCACTGCAACAGAGGGTGCAGAGCTCAGCAGGGGTGGTGGGCACCGGAGGAGCTGCCGTGTCCCTGCCCATGCCGGGGGCCGTGCGGAGCTCCCGGTGCCACTGCCCCGTGTGGGACCACCCCGCTTCTCCCCCATCCCACCGGGGCACCACGCACCCACCCCGCTGCCCGTGGAGCTGCCGTCACGCGTGGTGCCCAAAGGGACGGCGCTGGCACACGAAGCACCCTCAGCGGGCGGGGACACGGAAAGGTCTGGGAGCAGGGCTCAGGGAGCTCCCGGCCCCCCTGCACCCAACAACGGGGGCGCAGTGTCCGTCCCTGCCCCCTCCTGCACCATGCAGCCAGGGAGCTGTGTCCTGGTCCAGCCCCAGGGGTGCCCGGTGACCGCGGGGCGATGCTCGGCTGCCAGCTCCCTGCCAGATGTCGGCTGCTGGCCGCGGAGCCTCCACGTCATGCAGGCACAGAAACCGCATCCGCCCCGCGCCGCTTCCTGCCCTCGCTGCCTGCAGCAAGCACCCGGCCGGCTGCACGGGGATGCTGAAGGCTGGGGCAGTGCAAAAATGCAGCCAGGTACAGGGGGCGGTGAGGTGGCCCCCGGGCAGCCTGGGCAAAGCCTGCGCTGAGCTGCGCCCCAGCCTGCTGTCCCTGACCCCCACTTTCGGACCCTCCTTTCCCTACCAGACCTGTGCAAAATGCGGCTCCCCGCAGGGCAGCACCCACCCGGGAGAGGGTCCTGCAGGCTGCGGGAGGGGATGGCAGCGTCCCCCTGCACCCCGCACAGACACTGCCCCCCAGCACTCGCAGCGGCACCGCCGGCAGCAGGACGGGCACGGGCACAGCCGGGGACACACACCAGACCCCTAGTGCCTGTGCCAAGGGACAAGGCCGGGTGCCCCCGAGCCGGCGAGGCCGCAGTGCCCCAGAGCCCAGGGGCAGGAGAGCGCTGTGGGGACAGCTCTGCCATGGAAAGGTCCCCGGGGTCACCCCGCCGGCACAGCCCAGGGACACGGGAACCACACGTGAGCGCCCAGCACATGGCCGGGACCTTCCCGGCGGGCGGGCAGCCAGCTCACCCTCACCACAGCTCGGGATGGGGCAGCTGCTTGGGACCTGCCGCACAGCTCTCGGCCGATCCCGGGTCCCTGCCCCGAGAGCTGCGGCCCCGCACCCTGCCTGCCTCCCTCTAGGGCCACCGGGACCCTCCTGGCGGGGACACCGAGGTCCCTTCTGTCCCATCCTGTTGGGGTCTCATGGGCACCCTCACAGCTGGGGAGGGGGCCTGGCAGAGGGCAGGGCTCCCTGCTGTGCCGTGGGGTCCCCAGAGGGGCCAACCCCTGTCTCTGGGGGTACCCAGTGCCTGGGCAGCCCCTGCACCCATGTCCCTGGGGGATGGAAGCAGGGAGCTGCGTCAGCCGGGGCAGGCTCCAGCCGAGCTGGGGCACACGGGTCACGTCCCCACAGAGAGGTGCTGGGGGACGGGGCAGAGCTGGGCAGCCTGGGGACGTGCATGGGGCCGCTGCCAGCCCCGCTGCCCCGGAGGCTGCCTTCTTTAGCCTGGCACAGCTCGGAGAGGGGATCTGATCGCGCTCTATAAATACAGCGGGGTGAGCCGGGCACGCAGACGAGCTATTTAGACTCAAGGTCAGCGCTGGCACAGTAAGCGCTGACTCAGTTTACTCTGGAAAGGAGAAGCCGGCCACCAGCATGGGCTGGGGACAGGGAAGAGCCTGCCCGGGGCAGCAGCCCCTGGCTGAGGCAGGGCACCCGGTGCGCGCGGCCGTGCCGAAAGCCCCAGCCTGACAAAGGGACAAAGCCCTGGGCACAGCCCCCGGGCCCTGCCCTGGCCTGGAGGAGCTCTGCTTGGCAGGATTCAGCCCCCAGGCCCCGTGGGGCCAGCCCAGGCTCCGCGTCCATCAGGGCACCAGGCCCGCGGCGGCCCCGCTCCGTGCGCCTGCGGTGTAACGGCGCTGCCGGCAGCCCCGAGAGCCGGAGCCGCCTCCTGCCCGTGGCTGCAGGCGTGGGGGACGGTTACTGGTTCAGTGGGCTCCAGCCGTTTCCATTCACGTGCTGATGAATCACTTGACAAAAATGCAGCCCAATTCTAGGCGGATTTGTTCTGAACACTGCGGCTTTGTGGAGGGGACGGCTGCGCTGTGCTTTCCCCGCCAAGACCCCAGCAGCGCAGCCAAGCTGCTCCGCAGGCCAGGAACCAGAGCAGGGCAGGGACGGAGGGAGGCAGCGGGGGGAAGCCCAGGTGGGGAGGCGACGCCGAGGTCCCCGGGGAGGAGGAGGGTGGCACAGGACCCCAGCACCTGGGGAGCGGCTCCAGGGCCCCCTCGGGTCTCCACAAAGGCCGGATCACGCAGAGGCCGAGGCTCGGCCACGGCTGCCTCACCCTGCGGCAGAACCGAGCCAGAGGCCCCTGCAGGTCCCAGGCACGACCCCCCCGGCCCGACTGCAAGGCGCAGCCACCTCCCTCCCCCTGCAGACCCCGTGCCCATGGGGGCAGCGCGTCCCCTCGCCACCCTTTGAGCAGGAATGCAGTGTTTGCCCGTAGCTCAGCGCCCTGCACAGAAGCTGCCACCAAAGCACCTCTGTGCCCGCAGCCGTGCCTCGGGAGCACCCCAGGCCCTGCCCGCAGCAGTGGGGCTGTGTTACCCCCCTCCCCGTGCCCCTGGCTCGGGGGATGTGGGGCCGGGATCCAAGTGCCTGTGATGACCCCGCTGCACTGACACAGCACGGCCCCAGCAGCGCTGGCCCCACAGCAACACCCCGGGAGCGGGCGCTGGGGAGGCAGAGGAGGGGGCTTCACCCCTGGGCTGAGGAGGGTCCTGGTGGGATTTGGGCAGGGCCGGCACCACAGCGTGGTGGGGAGCACTTGTGCTGCTTGCGGGCACACAGCACCTGCTTGCCAGGAGCGCTGTGGAAGCCTCATGGGATGGGGTGGGGGTGCCCAGCGCCTCCCCGGAGCAGCTCCCCCAGCCTGGCAGCCGATGCCATGTCCTCAGCCATGCCAGACACCCTACAACGTGCCACTAGGAGCTCGGTGGGTGTTCTCCGGGACGTGGCAGCTTTCCACCTTGACCAGCCTGGGCTGGGGGCTGTAAAGGCCCGGGCACCCCTCGGCACACCAGTCCCTGTACAAGGAATGGCCCCGCACCAGGACACGTCCCAGCCCCTCTGTTTGGGAGACGAGCACGGGACCGGCTGGGACACCACGGCTGAGGGGCAGCTCCAGGAGTGGGGCTGGAGGCAGAGGCTGTCACCCGTCACTGCAAAACCCACTGGCACATCGTGCCAGGCTACTGCGGCTCGCTGTCCGTCACGATCGCCCTTCTGCTCCCTGTCAGCCCCAGGACCCAGCCTGCAGCTCCCTGTGGGGCTGAGCAGGAGGACAAGCTGCTGCCCTGTGCCGTGGGGTGACCACGGGGCATGCAGGGCCACCAAGCCAGGTCCCTGCTGCGGGCAGCCCCTACTGCAGCAGGAGCCACCCCAGGCACCTGGTGCAGACTCCCCAGGGGGCTGCAGGGAGATGCGGGTTCTCCCCCCATTTTCTCCTGGGGGAAGGAGGAAACACGGCTTGGGGCTGTGTGCGGGTGCTGCCCTGCAGCGGGGCGAATCCTCCCATTGCCCACCCCAGCTCCGGAGGTCCCCCCCGCGCTTGCCCCAGGGGCTCAGGGCCAGCACGAGGTGCCTCAGCCCCTGCAGCTCCCCTCCCAGCCAGGGGCACTGCGCGCAGCAGCCCCTCCCGGGACATCCTGCCCCAAACCCACCGCACGGCCCCCGCCCGTGGCCGCCTGGGCAGCGCGGGTGCCCGCAGAGCACGGGAAGCGCTCCCGGCTGAATGGCCGGGGAACAAAGCTCCCTTCTCCGGGGCTGCTGGCAGCCAGCGGAGCCCAGGGGCCGCCTGCCAGTGCCAGCCCTGCCCGCTGCCTGCCCGGCCCCGCTGCGACTGCAGCCCCGGGGTCACCGCAGCCCGCACGGCACCGGCAGAGCCAGAACACAGCAAAACGTCCCCGGGGAGGGCTCCTCCACCCCAGACCCTCAGCATGGGCTGGGGCCAGCCCCGGGCACCTGCCCGAGCCCTGTGTGCAGAGCAGGGCACCCAGCCCCAGCACGCGGCCAGGGCAGCTTTGGGCACGCAGAGGCCGGGGGACGCGGCGCAGCTCGGGCTGGATGGCGGCTGGGGCTGGGCCGGGCTCCCCTTGCTCCCGGCAGCTCCCGGCGGGGAGCACAAGGGCTCAGCCCCAGCCCCAACCCCGCGTCCTGGCCCCGTGGGCAGGGGAAGCGCCCGGGCCAGGCCCGGCTCATCCCGCGGCCTGTGCGGCTGCTGCAGCGTGCGCAGCGCTCCCGAGCGCGGCCTGCGTCATCCCGGCTCTGACGGGAGCGGGATGGGGCCCAATCAGCGGCGGCCCCGAGCCATCAGCCCACGGCCCCGCTGCCGCAGCTGCACGGGAAGGGCTGGGACCGGCGCTGGGAGCTCCCGGCCGCGCGAGCGCAGCGCAGCGGGGTGGCAGTGGGGCGGCACCGGGGTGGCAGCAGGGCTGGCGGCCTCCTGCCCGGCCACGGCTCAGCGGGGCCCAAGGGGCAGCGCTGCCCCCGGGGCCAGCAGCGAGGGCCGGTCCCACTTCTGCTCCCCAAACCTTCTCTTTGCCCCAGTCCCTGCCTGGCCACCAGAAGCCCTCGCCATTCCTGCCCCGATCACTGCGCCCCATCGCAAAGCACCGAGCCCTGGGACAGCCAGGGTCAGCACGGCGCTGCCAGGGGCCGGACCCCAGGGGCAGGCCAAGCACCCGCTCTCTGGCCACCCTGTCACCCCAGCACTGCCCCACACACCCCTCCAGGGCCACCACTGCCCCACGGAGCCAAAGCCACAGCCTGAGCATCACGTCCCTCGCCCTCTGCATCTCCACGCTGCGCGAGAAGCAGGAGCCGGGGCTTCTGCTGCTGCAGCCCCCAGCTGACACCCGAGCAAACCCCAGAGGGCAGCGAGCAGCTGCCTGGGCGCAGCCCCTGCAGGGCACAGCACACGGGGCAGCTCCGCACCCACGCTGAGCCCCTGAGCCCCACAGAAAGTTGCTGCCCGTCTGCCAGGCCGGGAAGCATGAGTGTGGAGAGGCTGGGTCACTTGTCCCACGCTGCACAAGTCTCTAGCTGTGGTGACTCCCAGCCCCTCTGTACCCCGTGGCCAGCAGCACAGCCACATCGCGCTCTCACCACGCTGGAAGCACAGCTCCGGGCTCCGGCTGCTCCAAACCACAGGCGGTGCCTCACAGCCGGCTGCCAGGGCACGAGCGAGGGCAGGGCCCTGGGGTGGCACAGACAGATGGGGGCACCCGGGCACACACGGGGGGCTTCATGGGGAGCCCAGCATGGGGGTCCCAGCCTCCCCCATCCGCTCTCTGTCCCCGTGCCCAGCAGGCGGTGTTTCTGTGGGGCAGCAGAGGAGACCTGGTGGGGAAGCAGCAGCAGCTCCCAGGCCCAGGCCGGCTCACCCCGGGGAGGGAGCTGGCTGCGAGCCTCCCAGCTCCAGAGGGAAGATGAGACGGGAGCCAAAAGGGCAGGGATCACAGGCAGCAGGGACGGGGCTCCTGTTGCGTGGGAGGGGAAGGCTGGCGGGTTCCTGCCGGGATCAAACCCATCCACAGCAGCTGGGAAGGGACCTGGGCTGGGAGCCGGGGGGTGCCAGCACCGGGGGTGGCACCGGGAAGGGGCTGCCTGGGCAGGGTGAGCTGCGAGCGCCAGCGGGGCAGGCACCTGCTGGGGCACTGGGCAAGCGGCTGCTGCCTGGCCCCGGCTTCGCCCTGCCCGGGACTGCCGAGACGCCGAGACAGACGGTGCGTGACTCAGCTGCTGAGTCACGGCCTGAGCCAGCACCCGGGAAGGGCAGGGGAAGTCACCAGAGCTCCGGAAAGATGATCCCGGCGTGAGTGTGACACGAGCGTGACGGGAGCGAGCCTCAGCCCTGCTCCCGGAGCAGCTGCGGGGCATCTGGTGTGCCGGGGACGCCGGCTCACGCGGCAGCTCTGAAACTCTGGAGCTCCATTTTGTCTCAAAACCTCCCCGTCCCCAGCCAGGCCTGGGAGCGCCGGGGGCAGCTGCCGGGTGCTGGGGGGGATTCGCCCTCGTGGAGCAGAAACGTCGCGAGCGGGGCCTGGAAGGGGCGAGGGGAGCCCGGGAATCTCAGGAGCATCCTGGCTGCGGAGCAGGGGCCGGGGCAGGGCCGTGGGCTGCCTAAGGGGTTGGGAATGCTACCTCGCCAGCCCAGCCTGGGAACAGCCCCGCAAAGGAGAGCGTCGGGAACTGGGGCTGGTCTGTTTGTTTAATATGTTAAAATTTAATAAGGGCATTATTCATAGAAAGAGGAATCCAGATCCCGGCGCTGCCAAGCCCTCCCTTTCAGCAGCATCCAAGCCGAACAAAGTGGGACGGGGGAGAGGAAATGCCTGGAAATAAGGAACAGACGGGAGGTGGCCGAGCCCGGCGCTGCTGGCGCTCAGGGGCCGGTGCTGGCTCCGCGCTCGGGGCCGCTCCCGGTGCTCCGCGCAGGACCCGGGGCACTCGCGCTGCCCCCGGGGCTCCCCGCGCTGCCACGTCCCAGCCGCCGCTCCCCGGGCCCGGCTCCTCCGCGCCCCCGGGAGCCGAGCCCCGGCCCGGGCCCCGCCGCCGGGAGCCGGGACCGAGCCGCGCCGGGACCGGAGCGGCCCCGGGGAGCGCTGCGGGGCGCAGCCGAGCGGACCCGGCCGGGCCGGCGAGAGGCTCGGGGAGCCCCGGACACACCCCGGACGGACACACGGACGGACGGGCGGACACACAGACAGCTCCCTGCCGACACACCCCCGGGCCGAGCCGAGCCCCGCACACGCGGGGGGCTCGGGCAGGTGCCGCGGACCGGGACCGGGACCGGGACCGCGACCGCTACCGGACCGGGCCCGGGTCGCTCCGTCCCCGCCGTGCCGCCCCGAGCCGCCCCTTGCCAACTTGCCGCCCCCCTCCCCGGGAAGTTTGTGCGGGCCGGGCCGGGCCGGGCCGTGCCGGGGCTGCCCCGGGCCGGGGCTCGGCGGGGACAAAGCGGGCGCGGCGGCGGCGGCGGCGCTCACCTACATCGGCGTTGCAGAAAGCCTGCTGCGGGTGGATGGGCGAGCAGCTGCAGCCGTCGGCCGGGGGGGCCCTGGCGAGCAGCAGCACCGCCAGCCAGGCCAGCAGGCCGGGCAGCGCGGCGGGCATGGTGCGGGGGGCTGCGGGGCTCAGCGACCCGGCCGACAAAGCCTCATCCACCGCCGGGCCCGGCCGAGCCGCCGCCGACCGCCGCCGAAGTTCGGGTCCGCCGCCGCCGCCTCTCCCCGGCCCCTCGCCGCTCTCCGCCGCCTCTCCCCGGAGCTGGAGGCTGCCCCCGGCCGCCGCCGAGCCTCGCGTTTTAATGCGCTCCGGAGCTCCGCTGCTCCTCCTCTGCATGGCGCGGGGCCAGCCCGGCTGCGCGCAGCTCCCGCCCCTCCGCGGGATGCGGCTCCGCGCCCAGCTCGCCCCCCCCTCGGCCCCTCCGCCCCGCCCGGCACCGGGCACCGGGCACCCGCAGCCCCCCGACCCCCGGCCCGCAGCCCATCGGCCGCCGCCCCGGTTCCACCGTCCCGGTCCCGGGCGGGGCCGCGCAGCAGCCGCCGAGGGGCAGCGGCGGGGCCCGGGATGCCCCCCCGGGGGGGCCGGCACCGGGACGGGACGGGGCTGGGGCTGGGGCAGGAGCCGGGCCCTGCTCGCAGAGCTGGCACCCAGCCCGCAGGCGGGGGCCGTGGTTATGTCTGTGCCCAAGCATTTCCTCTCCTGCCGCCTCCTCCGGCTCATCTCACCCCCTTTGTGCTCCCCGTGCTTCCTCCCCCCCCTCCTGCTCCCACCACCTCCCCTTGGGGGTCACTCCTGGCCCATGACCATCACCGGGGGTCCCACATGGCTCCAAGGTGCCCGCAGCCCTCCAGCCCCTTCCCCGTGGCCCACAGCCCTCTGGCCTGGAGCACATCCCCAAAACCCCCCAGCTCATCCCTGCCCTGGCTGCCGGAGGTGCTGGGGTGCTGCCGGCCCCCCCGTACCCATCCTGCAGGGCCCAGCTCTGCCCCGGGCAGGGCCGTGCAGACCCCAGCGTGGCCAAGCCAGGCACTGCGGGCACACGGGATGGCCGGCACTGCGGCCACACAGCCCGCTCCCGAGGCAGCCTCTCGCCGCAGAGCCAGGTCACGACTGCCCATGGCTGAAGGAGGTGTCGGAGCCTCTGGTGCTGTAGGATGAGAAGGATCAGCGGAAACGTGGGCAGCCAAACCCGGTCCGAGCCCACGGGGAACCTGTGGGAGGTGAATGGTGCTCCTGCTGCTGGCACAGTGGGATGAAAGCTGGCCGTGGGGCTCCAGGGCCCCGGCCTCGCAGAGGCTGTGGCAGCAGGGCCTGGCTCTGAGAGCTCTGTGGGGCTGGGGGTGCAGGGACCCTACAGCCTGGTCCCGTTTGTGCTGTATGGCCCAGCAGCCCCCCAGCCCCTGGGGTCCAGCAGCCCGAGGGGGGGCCCTGCCAGCTCTCGGAGATAAGGGCCAGGCTGGGGCAGGAGGTGATGGGGTGCTGCGAGGTCCCGCTGTCTGTGGGGTGGGGGGGACAGCCCCAGGGCCACGACGGGTGCTGTAGGGCCCCGGGCCAGGCCCAGGGGCTGCGCTGAGCCGGGCACAGGCGAGGGCAGAGCGGTCACCAGGGTCAGAGGGCCGGGGCAGGGCCGGGGCTGGCGCGGGGAGCAGGTTGGTGCCCCCAGACGAGCGCGGCCGCTCGCAGCCGTGAGTCATTGTTGTTTGGGCTAAATGGAAACACATGTCCGGCTGCTAACGTGGTTCTTACGCAGCTCTCCAGAGATGCTGGACACTGTAAACAGGGGCAGAACAGGGGGATGGGACAGGGCCAGCCCAGCTCAGCTCTCCGGAGGCCCCTGGCTCCTCCCTGCGCGCCTCGCCGTGGGTCTTCCCCCCCCCCAGCACAACAAAATCACCCCAGGGCACGGCCCCCCAGTCCCTGGGCACCACCGGTTCCTGCAGCTGGGGGTGGCACAGGGGGGCCTGAGGCCAAGGGACCTGCACTGGACTGCAGCAGCCAGCCCCACGCGTGCATCCACAGCACTGGCTGGCACTGCTGCGTTTGCCCCCTCACAGCCCTGCTCCGAGCTCCTGTGGCAGCCGGGAGGGCACAGGCCCCAGGGAGGGGGTGGCTGCAGGCCTCTGCCTGCTGCTCCGAGCCCAGCCGTGGCACAGGGGGATGTGGTGAGATGGGGGCTTCCCCTCAGTTCCTCCCACACGAAGCTTTCCCCAGAAAGCACGAGCCCAAGCAAACCGTTACCCATTCACTTGCCACATGGTTTATGTGAAAGGGGAAGTAAAACCAGCTAACTGGCAAAAAACAGCCTGATGAAATCCCCGGCAGCCACCACCTCAGCGCTGCCCTGCCCTGGCTGACGCCCTGCTGTGGCCGTGTCCCCCCGGTCGTGTCCCTAACCCGGGGCTGGATCTGGCCAATGCCCCCCTCAAGCACGCTCCTGCCCCCACACTCATGGGGGACATGGGGACATCTGTCCCCACACCTCCTGTGTGCTCTCAGCGAGGTGCTGGGGAGGCCAGGTCAGGGGCTGCCCCCCAGGACACGCCACTGGCACTGAGGGGCCCTTGTGCCCAGCTCAGGCCCCGTCCCCAGGCAGGTTGGGGAAGGCACCGCCCAAGGCCAGGGAGGCTCCGGATGGCAGCAGGGAGCAGAGGGCAGCAGCACCCCCGGCACAGAGCCGCAGGGGTGCGAGGATGGGGCCCCCACAGGGCTGGCACAGGGCAGCGAGCAGGGGGCTCCGTCCTCGGCTGCAACCCAGAGCACGGCCGCCACCAGCGCCAGCAGCCCGCGGAGGTGCCGGGCACCGATGGCTGCAGCGTGGGGAAACCGCCCCGAGCCTGGGCTGGTGACAGGCGGCAGCACCCTGTGGTGGCAGCCCTTTGCCACCAGGTGCCACTGCCGAAACGCTCGCACCGTGCACGCTGCGGCAAGGCCAAGGCTTTCCGTGGGACGCCGACACCGAGCAGAGCCGGGAGCGCGGCGTCCCTCGGAGCGTGCACCTCCCCGAGCGCAGGGCCTGCCCCGCAGCCCCCGTCCTCCCCGCCCCTCTGGTCCAGTGCAAAATCTGTTAAATAAACTCAATGCCCTCGTATTTCACGCTCCCGATCCTGGTCTCCGGCAGGAGAAAGCGTCCGTCCAGCGTGAAGGCCATGATGTAGCTGGCGATCTTGCCGTTGTCCTCCTCCGACTTCAGCGCCACGATGATCTGGTCATCCGTGTCCGGGATGAACTTGAAGGAGGAGAAGCCGTGGGTGGGGACCACCTCGCCCACCCGCCCCACCGTGATGTCCCCGAAGTCCTGGCTGGAGCTGAGCAGCAGGTTGGTGCCTCGCCGCTCGTCTGCCTTCTCGTTGTAGCGCTCGTGGCTGGCGCGGCGCGGCAGGAAGAACCAGCGCTGCAGCGTGTCGCTCCACGACGCCGACTCGTGGATCAGGTAACCTGCAGCAGGGAGCAGGGACTGTGGCAAAGGGCAGCACAGACACCCACCTGTGGGGCAGGACCAAGCCCCGTGCAAAAAGACACCACTGTGGGGTCGCAGCCACACACAGACCACAGCTGCCAACATTTTGGCTGCCTCCTGCCGGGTGCTGGCCCCCTCCTGCTGCCCCAGCACCAGCTGAGCCACCCGAGCTGCTCCCAGCACAGACAGGAGGAGAGCACCAGGCAGGGCAAGCCCCGGCTTCCCCAGCCTCCCTCAAATCCCAGCCGGTCCCGCTGCCTGTGGGGAGACCCCGCCCCAGTCCCAGGCAGGGCGAGGGGCGCACACGGAGGGGAGGGAGCCCGGCTCGGTACCTGGGGGTCGGATCCCAGCCGCAGCCCTCAGCGCGTTGTAGTTTGCCACCCAGCTCTCGTGGCCCACGTCGCCCTTGTAGCCGATCACCTTCACCCACTCGGGGTTCTCGTTGACCACCTCGCCCGTGGTGGTGGTCCACTCCTTGCCCAGGCCCCCCACGTACAGGTGCTCGTCCTTCACCGCCAGCCACTCCGCCTTGAAGCCTGCAGCACAGAGAGCAGCACAAGCACAAAGCTGTTAGGCCACCCCATGGTTCCGCTCCCCCAGGCGCCAGGTGGGACAGCTTGGCGCTGCACGCAGCCCCCCCAAGCCTGGCCAAGCTCACGGGGTGACAAGGGACGAGGGTTTCACTGCTCTGCACCCGCAGCATCAGGTGGAGCGAGCGGGGTGGAGGTGCAGGGGGGGCTCACCTTTCCCCACGGAGCCGTCCCCATCGGAGAGGATCACCCAGGGCACCACCTTGCTGCCCTCGATCTGGTAGACCACCCCTGTCCGGTCATCCACGGAGTACAGCTTCCCGTTGAAGACGACGAGCTCGGAGAGCTCCATGCCCCTGCCCTTCTCGGCCAGGTGGGACCGCAGCACGCTCTCCTCTTCGTCCCACTCCACCGTCACGCTGTCCCCGCTGGCCGACAGCACCAGGTAGCCCTTCTTCAGGTAACTGAACCAGGTGTGCTCCTCGGAGCCCCGGGACTGAGTGTCCAGGTCCGCGATGACCCCGATGCGGTAGCGCACGCCCTCGGGGTTCCTCTGGGGAGGGGACAGCGGGTAGGTGTCATTGTAGCGGTCCTCTGCCCGCAGCCGCAGCTGCCAGTTGTGAGCGTTGGGTGGGACGGGCCGTGCCGGGGACGGCCGGTGCAAGCAGAAGAGCAGCAGCACGAAGGCCACGCAGGCTGAGGACAGCACGATGGCCTTCCAGCGCGGGCGGAACCGGGGGTCGGCGCCCTTGGTCATGGACGCGAGGACAGGCAGGCCGCCCACGCTGATCCGCAGGGGGCTCATAGACTCATTGCACGCCGGGACGGGCATCAGACTGGGGCCGAGGAGATCCTGGAAGCACAGGGGGGGAAGCAGAGGGTGAGAGCTGGGGCCTGGAGCCCCGCTGAGCCTGGGGGGGTGGCAGGGGCAGCCCCAGCCCCAGCCCACAGCAGAAGGCACCGCTGTACCGTGCAGGGCAGCAGCAGCCCCCCGAGGGGCCTGCTCTGCTGCAGGAGCCCTCCTGCCATCCTCAGCCCTCCTCAGCCTCCCCTTGGCCCCCCCAGACTGGGCAGAGCCCCAGCAGGCAGGCACAGCCGGCCCAGCACCGCTGCCCACCCAGAGGCCTGCAACACAGCGGGCAGGCAGCGAGCCCCCAGCCCCACATCGGGGCGTCCTGCTGGGCAGCGTCCTCAGTCCTCGTGCTGCCCGGGGCGAAGGAGGCTCCTCACGGCAGCGCTCCCTGACCACAGGACGGCCCTCACCCCAAGGGTGAGCGCAGCCCCAGGCCCATGGGGACGCGGGGACATCGGGGACAGCGGGGCCACGTGGCAGCTCCACCCGAGCAGGATGCCCCGGGCCGAGCAGGAAGTGCAGCGCCCAGGTCCAAGGGACGCGCACCCACACCTGCCCGGCCCCACAGCTGGTTTTAAACAAATTCCGTGGTGCCAGCCCCCCGGCACCACACTCACATCACCACCACGGGCAGGACGCGGGGGGGGCACCTCCAGCTCGCCCCCGCTGTGCCCACCGGGGGTCCCGGCCGTGCCGCCTCTCCGCAGGGCACCGTGGCTGGGCGCTGCCCGGTGCCTCCCGTTCTCACCTCACCCCACGGGAGGGGACGGGGACGGGACCCCCACCGGGCAGGGACCCCCCCCCCGGGGCTGGCCGCCCCCAGGGGCCGCACACCGGGCGCTGCAGGGCCCCAGCCCGGTGCTGGGCTCCCAGCAGGACCTGGCGGGGGGGGGGGGGTGGCACCGGGCAGCCCCCGGGCACGGCGGGGCCGCGAGCACCGGGAGGGGGCGGCCGTGACGGGGCAGCCCCGGGGGTCCCGTCCCGGGGGGGGAAGGGGGCGGCCGGACACCGGTGCGGGGCCCAGCGCCCCCGGGACCCCCTCCCGGAGCCCCCCCGGGACCCCGAGCCCCCACCCGGGGCCGCAGCATCGGGGGCTCCGCTGCCCCCGCCCCGGGCAGAGTCGCTCGGGCCCCCCCGGCGCCCCCAGCCCGGCCCGGCCCCCCGGGACCCCGCCGCCGCCCCCCGGTGCCCCCCGGTGCCCCCCAGCGCAGCGGCCCCGGCAGCGCCGGCCCCAGGCCCGGCCGCGCAGCCTCAGCCCCCGGTGTCCCCCGGTAACCGCCGGTAACCCCCGGTACCCCCCCGGTGCCCCCCCCGTGCCCCTCTCACCGCGGCGCCGCCCGAGCGCAGCCGCCGCCGCCTCCCCCGCCGCGCGCAGCCGCCGCTGCCGCCGCCTACAACTCCCAGCAGCCCCCGCGCGCCGCCCCGGCTGCCGGCGGCGGCCGCCGCCAACCTCCCCCGGGCCTCACCCCGCCGGGACAAAAACTACCGCTCCCAGCACCCCCCGCGCCGCCACCGCCCTCGCCGCGCTGCTCGCTGCACCGCGGAGACTGCTGGGAGCTGTAGTCCAGGCTACCGGGGGGCTGCCCTGGGAATGGGGGCAGAGGCTCCCCGAGCTGTGTGTGCCCCGGGGGGGGGGGCTGGGGACGGCCCGGAGCCCCCCGGCTCAGCCCCGTGTCCCCCCGGATCACCCCCGGCCACCGCCCCGCAGCAGGGCCCGGGATGTGCCCAGTGCCCCCCAGCACCCCGCTGAGCCGAGCCCCAGTCCTGCCCGGGGTGGGGGGCGCTGCTCGGGGGCTGCCCAGCACCGGGGGCACCCGGGGGAGCCCCGGCCCTGGGCAGGGCTCTGTGGGGCCCAGGACCCTAAGGGACGGGGCTGGTCGCTGGGCCAGCACAGGGAGACCCTGCCCCAGAGCAGAGCCACAGCCTCTGGGGACCCTGCCCCTAAAATCTGGGGTGCTTCTGCCCCACCAGCCCCCTCCCCGGCCTTACAGCCCCGTCCCCGGCCTTACAGCCCCCTCCCTGCCCTCACAGCCCCCTCCCTGCCCCCGGGCCCATGTCCCGCTGGCGGCAGGCCCAGGCGCGCACACGCGCTGCTGCGCTGGGCTGCATCTGGCAGGGGGAGGGCTGCTGGCTGTGTTTATCCCGCTGCTGCTTCTTCGCTCCCCTCCTTTTGCTTCCCAGAAAGTTTCCGCCCGGCCAGGGGAGGCGAGGAGGCTGCCAGAGGCAGGGAGCGCGGCCGCTGCGGGCTCTGCCCTGCGCCTCGGGGCTGGCGGCGCGGCTGCGGGGCGATGCTGTAGGGCTGGGGAGGCAGCGCCAGGACAGAGCAGCCCCAGAGGTAGGTGTGGGGCAGGGCTGGGGGCGGCTGCCGACCCGGGACGAGTGCCGTGGAGCTGTGCCCCTGTGCCTGCTGTCAGCGGCGGGCTGCCCAGCAGCGGTGTGGACTCACCCAGGAGGTGGCGTGGGTGCACGGGTGCCCTGGGGCAAGTCCCGTCCCCTTGGCCGTGCCCCAGGTAGCCGGGCAAGGACCTTGTCCTACCCGCAAGGGGGTGGTGGGGACCGCAGGGCTGAGCCTCGCGTGTCCTTTGAGGGGACAGCTCAACCTGCAGCAGCCCTGGGAGACTCAGTGCTGGCGCCTGCAGATCAGGCCCGACATGGTGTGGGGTCACCGCAGCCCCCCCAGCCCTACCTGAGCCCTGTGTCCAAAAAGTCGGCCCCCACGAGCATGTCAAAGCCAGGGCTGGGCCATCCCCGGGCAGCTGCACACTGCAATTACGGGGTGCCCTGCACAGCCTCCCACCGGCACTGCCCGCAGGGGCTGGGGGGCTGCACCCTCTCCGTCAGTCCCTGGCTGCCCCCTCCCTGTGCAGCTCCAGCCCCGCTGCCCGCCGGGTCTGGGCTGCTCCCAGTTTGCAAATGGCTCCGCAAACATCCCAGCTGCTGGGGCGAGAGGCTGGGGGGAGCCGTCCCTCCAGCACATCCCTGGACGCCAGAGGCATCCCAGCTCCCGTTGCTGCGGCTCAGGGGGGGCTGCGTCCACCATGGGAGGGTGAGGAGGGTGAGGGGGGGCATGCCGGTCCTGCAGCGCTCTGAACCCCCTCATCTCTCCCCGGCATTTGCTCTTCTTTCATCCTGCTCTTTCAAGCTGCCTGGAATGTTTTCAGGATGTTTTGACTTGCAGTCCCGGGGCTTCAGCAGCCGCTGGATTTAAATCTCCCAACTGCTCCTGGAGAGCATCCAGCCCCGACAGGAAAAAACAGAGTCCCTTCAGCAAGACCGGAGATGCCCGTGCATACGTGCGTGCTGCCTGGCCGCCGTGCCTGCGGGGCGCGGGGGGGAGACGCCTGCTGGGGGTGCTGGGGAGCCCCGCGTGCTGCAGGCAGCGCCACGTGCGCAGAGCGCGCTCGCCTCCATTTGCAGCCCTGCAGCAGCCCGCAAGCAGCCGGCCTTTCCCAGGGGGAACATCCTGGCTAAGGATTTCTCCTCCCCGCTGAGCAAAGCTGTGTGCTCCCTGGGGCTGAGCCTGCTGCAGGTTCCCGGGAATCGTCTGGCTCAACGGGAGGCCTGAGCACCGTGGTCCTGGGGCGGGGAGAAAGCCAGGGGCTCCCCGGCAGCGGGCTGCCATCGCCGGCATATGGCTGGCACAGCTGGAGGCCCGGCGGGGCTCAGGGAGCCGGGGCTGCTGCTCCCCGGCTGCTGCCTGCTCACGAGCCCCAGGCTGGGGCTGCTCCTCGCTGCTTCTCCCTGCACGTGAGGCCGTGCGTGGGCAGGCGGCAGGCACGGGGAGGGAGGACACGGCGCCAGGCTGCCCATGGTGCCGCCAGCCCTGCCTCCTGGCAGCGGGATGTGAGCCAAGGTAGGGCTGGGAGCTGGGGGACAGCCCGGCACCGGGGCTTCCTTGGGGCAGGGCAGGCACTGGAGAAGCACGTGAAGGGCTTTGCAGAGGGCGTGAGCGGAGGGAAAGCCCTTTGGAGATTTTCCCCATCCCTCCGCCCCTTCCCTGTTCCATGGATGTGAGTCACCAGCCCGGCATCCTGCCCTTGAACGCCCTCCCAGCCTGCAGCCGGAGCGCGCCTGCCCGGGTCCCCGCAGCCCCGTGCTCTGGGGGCAGCCAGCCCCGGGCTGTCCCACCCTGACAGTCACTTGAGGACCCAGGCAGTCACCAAAAGAGTGGGATTCCGCCCCAAACTCCAGCGAGGCTCCCCACAGCCTCTCAGGATCCCGCTGCCCGTTCACCCCTGGCACTTGGGGGTGCGCTCCCGGTGCGGACCCAGGCCACTGCCCGGCTGTGCCCCAGTGGGACACCGGCTCCTAGCAGGAGCCCCGGCACAGTGCCACTGCCCTGGGCCCCACAACCATGGGTGTGGAGCAGCTGGGCAGTGCCACACGCTCACCTGGCACCTTTGGGGCCATAGGGCACGGCACACCCTGCTCAGCCCCATGGCTCCGCGCGGCCCCAAGCTGATACGGGGGTGATAAAGCAAGGAAGGGCAGGAGCCAGGGCTGGGCCGGGGTGCCACCAGCTACTGCAAATATTAGCTTGGGCCCCACGCAGGATGTGGGCTCCCAGCAAGGTTTCTCCTGGGGGTGGCTGGCTCCCGGCAGCGCCGTGGCTCTGGGGCAGCAGCTCCTGCTCCCTCCTGCCAAGGGCCAAGGCACAGCGCTGCAGGCTGGGGGCCAGCAGCTCCTGGGGCAGGGGCAGCCCCTTCCATGGGGTTTGCACAGGGATCCCTGCACAGCATGGGGGTGGGAGGAGGCGTGCAGACCCCCATGGGCAGGGCTGGGACCCCCCCAGGACAGGCAGCGTTGCCGTTTGCCCCGCAGCAGCCGGAGCCACCTTGTTTTCCAGGTGCTGGGGCTCCAAGCTGCTGCTCCTGGGGGTCAGCGGGGGGCAGTCGGAGCAGGGCTGAGCAGGAGCAGCCTCTTGGCTCTGGGCTTGGACCTTCAGCCCAGGACCCCTGCTCAGCCCCACCCCTGGATCCCCAGGACCCCAGATCCCAGTTTGATGGAGAGCCCTGAGCCCCCACGCCACCCTAAACATGGGTATCTCCAGACACCCCCTGGAGCATCGCTGAGGCCAGGTGGGCCCAGGTGGCTGGGTATTAGTTACAGACAGTCCCTGCAGCTGCGGGATGTGCCCCCACACTGTGGGCTCTGCTGGGGAAGGGCTGCCACAAGAAGAGCCTTTTCCAGGCTGGAGCCACGGCTGTGCCCTGCCCGGGGCTGCGAGGTGCTCCAGGCCCTGCACTGGGGACACTGCAGGGCACAGCCGTGCCACCAGCCCTCAGAAGGGCCGAGGGGAGCCACAAAGCCCACCAGCTGCCCCCCCATCCCGCCATGGGGCCGGGTCCCTGCCTGCCCCCTGCCCACCCCTGGGTGCTGCTGGGCTTTGCCACCCCCTCAGCCACCCCCGGTGTCTCACAGGGCGCTGCTGCAGCATGAAGGGGCTCGGGGTGCTCGGTGTCCTGCTGCTCTCCTGCCTGTCACTGCCCTCCCCTGCGGGCAGCCAGACCAGCCCCAGCCCCAACCCCAGCCCCAGCCCCGGCCCTGATGGGCGCTCCATGGACCCCGAGGAGGCTCCGTCCCAGCACCACGCTGCCAGGTGAGGGGGCCCCAGGGATGGGGGCGCTTCGTGGGGGCACAGAGCAGGCCTGGCACCATGAAGGGCCGCTGTCCCCACACGTAGCTCCCCGTTGCGCTTTGCTTTCTGCCTCCCCACAGGCCCCCATGGGAGCAGAAGGCTGGCGGTGCCCAGGAGGGGCTGCCCCCCCGGCCCCGCTGCGTTCGCTGCTGTGAGCCGCCCGAGCAGCGCTTCTCCTACCCCCAGTACCAGCCCCAGATCAATATGACCATCCTGAAAGGTGAGGGCTGGGGGGGGGGCTCCGTCCCCAGCCAAATCCCGTGCTGCAGGGCACCGCCAGCCCACCTGCAGACCCCGGGAGCGGTGCAGAGCTGGGCTCCCGGTGCTGGGGTTGGAGCTGGCACCCCCCTCTGACACCAAAACCATCCCCTCCGCTCTGCCCAGGTGAGAAGGGAGACCGAGGCGAGCGGGGCATGCAGGGGAAGTACGGCAAGATGGGGGTGGCCGGCAGCAGGGGCCACACGGGGCCCAAGGGACAGAAGGGCAGCGTGGGCGCCCCGGGGGAGCGCTGCAAGAGCCACTACGCTGCCTTCTCGGTGGGCCGCAAGAAACCCCTGCACAGCAATGACTACTACCAGACCCTGATCTTCGACACGGAGTTTGTCAACCTCTACGAGCACTTCAACATGTTCACGGGCAAGTTCTACTGCTACGTCCCCGGCATCTACTACTTCAGCCTGAACGTGCACACCTGGAACCAGAAGGAGACCTACCTGCACATCATGCGCAACGGGGCGGAGGTGGTGATCCTCTACGCCCAGGTGAGCGACCGCAGCATCATGCAGAGCCAGAGCGTCATGCTGGAGCTGCAGGAGCAGGACGAGGTCTGGGTGCGGCTCTACAAGGGCGAGCGCGAGAACGCAGTTTTCAGCGACGAATACGACACCTACATCACCTTCAGCGGCCACCTCATCAAGTACAGCGGGGACCCCTGAGCGCCTGCTGCGCCCTGCTCCCCTCCCCTGGGGCGTGGGGACCCCCCAGCCCCCCGCGTGCCGCTCTGCATTAAGTTGTTAGCCCTCCTACGTGCCACTACCCCAGCAGCTGTGTGAATACCCCCCGCTCCTTCCGAGGCCGAGCAGATGCACCCAGAGGAGACAGAGACACTTCCAGCCTCCGCTGCGTGCGTGCCCTGGGAGGTGGCTGCTGGCCTGGGGCGGGCAGGGACCACAGCCCCTCCTGTGCCTGCTGCAGAGCTGGCTTTGCTGGGGCACAGATTCGTGCGGCTCTGGCCGTGAGCTGGCACCAGCCAAAAGGGTTTGGCCACCAGTGCTGTGTGCGAGGGCACCTCCATCGCCCAGCTCTCAGTGACGTGCTCTACAGGCCTTGTTCCTAGAAACGGGCAGGGGGTTCTCAGTGCCCCACAGGAAAGATAAGGGCGAGCAATGATAACAGCACTAACGGCCACTCTCCTTCCGCAGCACTGGGCCCCAGCGAGGAGGAGGCCGCAGGGCAGCGCTGGGGTGTCCCCGGGCTGGCAGCTCCCCTGTGTGCACCCAGCGGGGAGGGGGCTGCAGCCATCCCCTTGCTGGTGCCCTCCTTGCCCCCGTGTTGCAGCCTCTTCTCATGCTCCACACCTGCTGAGGTGGGGGCTGGCTCCCGGCCTTCAGCCTCAGCTGCTCCTCTTCGGTTAGGCTATGTGCTGGCCAGGCTTTTTGTTTTCCTACACGCAGCAGCAGAGCAGGGCCTGGGGCAGCGTGCTGAACCCCACTCCCTGTACGGCTTGAGATCACATTAAACACCCCCGGGTCAGGTCCCTGCTCACACCTTTGTGCTCCCTGTTCTGTGCCTGCAGGCACTCAGTGTGGGGGCTCCCTGAGGACCACGGGCTGGGCTCCTGGGAGGACCGGGACCCCCGGGACGGGCTGCAGGAGGGCCAGCAGCACCCCAAGGGCCGGGGAGACGGCGCTCAGGGTGTGATGAAGCCGGCAGTGCCTGTCCTACAGCTGCTGAGCGAGCCGGGCAGGGCAGGCCGGGGATGGCGGCTGGGTCACCTGCAACATCCACCAGGTCCCGTGGGACATGGGGCAGCCCCGAGGGGAAGCCAGGGAGGCTGCGGGATGGGGGCTGTGGGATGGAGCCTGTGGGATGGGAGGCTGCGCGATGGGGTCCCTGCAGGATGGGGGTCCCGAGCAGTGGGCCCACAGCCAGGCAGGGCTGAGCTGGAGACCAGCACGGCTCCAGCACGGCTGGGGGAGGAAACACGGACTGGGGCTGAGCTTAAGCAGACCCCAGCGGGGGCTGGAGGGCAGCTCAGGGCCCATTAGGGCCCATTAATTAGGGCCCATTAATTCGGGCCGCGGGCCCACCCGGTGCCTCGGGGCTGGCGGGGGGGGGGGATCGAACCGGGCCCAGGCCCATGGGAGGTCCCCGGGGGCGCTCGGGGGCCCGGAGCCGGGGCGGGGCCGGGCCTGGCGACGGGGCCGGGCCGGAGCCGGGCGGAGCTCGGCGGCCGCGCCCCCGGCAGGGCCAGGCCGGGCCGGGCCCCGCGGCCGCCAGTGCGGGAGGCGGCGGCGATGGCGGCGGCGGCGGCGGCGGCGCAGGACGGGCCCGGGCGGCGGGGAAAGAGGCCCGGGGCCGGGGAGGCCGAGGAGGAGCGGGGCGGCCGGCGGCGGAGGAGGTGGGCGGCGGGACGGGGACAGGGACGGGAGCGGGGCCGGGACCGGGCCCGGTGCTGCTCGGGGCTCGTCCCGGAGCGCCGGGCGCTGGCCACGGTGCTGGCCCGGCCCGGCGGTGCTGGGCGGCCCCGGCCTCATCCCCATCCCCGGGCAGCCTGCAGCCGGCGGCGGAGCACCGGGGGACCACGGTCCTGCACGAAGCCATCAGCACCCGCCCGCAGCCCCTGCCAGGTGAGGCACCCTTGGGTGGCGGGGCCGAGGCACCCACGGGTGGCGGTGGGACCACCCCGGCCCTGCTGAGCACCACTGCCCCGCTTCTCGCCCGCCGCAGCCCGGCACTTCGACACCGGCACGACGGAACCCGTCAGCTTCTTCTTGTCCGGCCTGGAGGAGCTGCTGGCCTGGCAGCCCGACGCCAACGACGACTTCAACGTCGCCACCGTGCCGCTGGCCCAGCGCCAGCCCCCGCTGAGCAGCCGGAGGCCCCGGACGCTGGTGTGCCACGACATGCGGGGGGGATACCTGGAGGACCGGTGGGTGCTGCCGGCCACGGGATGCGGTGGCTGGATGCTCCGTGCCCGCTGGGTGCGCTCCCAGCCCGCGGCCAGGCAGGGCTGTGCGCTCTGCTGGGCTGCTCTGAGACAGGGTCCGCAGGGGTGGCAGTGCCGCTGCTCTGCCCGGCTCACGGGGAGTGAGTCAGGCTCCTGCCCAGCCCTGCAGCTGGCCAACAGCATCGCTCCCGCATTGCCTAACCCTCTTCTCTTTCCTCTGCTGCAGGTTCATCCAGGGCTCAGCCACGCGCAACCCCTACGTCTTCTACCACTGGCGGCACATCGACATCTTCGTCTACTTCAGCCACCACACCGTCACCATCCCGCCCGTGTGCTGGACCAACGCGGCTCACCGGAATGGTGTCCCCGTGCTGGGTGAGGGAAGGGCTGGCGGCTGCGAGGTGATGTGGTGCCGAGGCCCGGCACCCCGGGCTGCGTGGTGAGTTCACCGGGGCATGCACTGATACTGCCCTCGCCGCCTCCCCAGGGACCTTCATCACGGAGTGGACGGGTGGGGAGAAGGTGTGCGAGGCGTTCCTGGCTGCTGGGGCTGAAGCGTACGGCGCCGTGAGCGACCAGCTGGCCCGCATCGCCCAGCACTACCGCTTTGATGGGTGGCTGATCAACATTGAGAACACGCTGAGCGTGAGCAGCACCCGCACCCTACCTGCCTCCTGCCCCCGCTCCCTGCCTCTTGCAGGGGCTCAACCCCTGGCTCCGGGGCTCACACGCTGCTCCTGTGGCCGGCGGGTCCCTGTGCAGGGCTCCCGTACCCGGCCCGTGTCCAGCTGCCCTCTGCTCTCTCCTGCCAGGCGGTGGCGGTGGAAAATTTGTCCCCCTTCCTGCGGCGTTTGACCGCGCAGGTGCACAGCGCCGTGCCCGGCGGGCTGGTGATTTGGTATGACAGCGTCCTGGAGAACGGCGCGCTGAGATGGCAGAACGAGCTGAACGAGCAGAATAGGTGAGTGGCTGGGCACACGGCTGGTGTGCTGCTTCACCTGAGCAAGGACAGCCCGGGGAGGGGCCGTGAACCCACCCCACACCTCAGTCCTGGGCTGGGGTGGGCAGGCCACGGCCAGCACAGCCCCTCGGTGGGGTGTCCTGTGGGGAGCAGGCACAGCATCCTCCCTCCCACGCCACCCCTTGTCCCCAGGGTGTTCTTTGATGCCTGTGATGGGCTGTTTGTCAACTACAACTGGAAGGAGGAGCACCTGGAGCGTACGCGCAGGCTGGCCGGGCAGCGCCACGCCGACGTCTATGTTGGCGTTGATGTCTTTGCCCGTGGGGATGTGGTCGGTGGTGGCTTCGACTCTCACAAGGTGCGTGTGGTGAGGCTGGACCAGAGCAGGATCCCAGGTCTCCCCCTGGTGCCGGGCTCTGAGCTTGCATCGATGGCTTGGCCGTACCAGGCTAAATCAGGACGGGGCGGTGAAGTCTGGGCGCTGCCGGGCTGGGAGGTGTGCACGGGGAGGGAGCAGGGGGACCGCGGTGCTGCAGTGCCTGGAGGGGGAGATGCTGCAGGATTTCCTGCGGTGTGATCCTACCCCGCTGCAGGGCCAGCAGGACCTGGGGGGAGAGGGGACGGGGCAGGTGACGAGGTGATCTCGCCTCGTGCCCGTGTTGCTCACAGCTTGTCTCCGCAGTCGCTGAGCCTGATCCGCAAGCACAGCTTGTCCGCGGCCATCTTCGCCCCTGGCTGGGTCTATGAGCACCTCGGGGCAGAGAACTTCCTGCAGAACGAGAACAAGTGAGCACGGGCATGGTGGGGCAGGGGCTGGCCGTAAGGGGCTGCCTGGCCCCCAGGCCTCGGCTGAGGCAAGTGTCTGCTCTAACAACCGCCTTTCCTCCAGGTTCTGGGGCTTGCTGGCAGACTACCTGCCCACACACCGCATCTGCACGCTGCCCCTTGCCACCTCCTTCAGCCTGGGCATGGGCACCAGCAGGTTCCTCACCGGGAAGGTGGGTGCGGAGTGCAGGGTGTGGAGCCGTGGCTCTGCTCCAGCTGGGGAGGCAGGGTCCTGCTCCCAGCTCCCTGCCTGACCCAGTGCTCCCCGTCCTGCAGGAGGAAGAGCCCGGGCCCTGGTACAACCTGAGTGCTCAGGAGATCCAGCCCCTCTACATGGAGAGCAAGGGCCAGCTGCTCACCAGCTGCTGCCTGCAGGACGCCTGCTGCGGGGGCAGCTCCCTGCGGGTGCAGGGGACCATCCCTGCTGGCGAGGAGCGCGTGGCCATCCGGTGAGTTGGGTGACAAAGCCCCATTTCCACCTCCTGAGTGCTGTGCTGGCACCGTGCCGGCCTGGCTCAGCAGCCGGAGGCCTGGGCAGAGCTGTGCCAACCCCGTGGGCCTCGCGGTGAGTGTGCCACGGGGTGCTCCAGCAGGCGCTGCCCAGCAGACCTAACCCAATGCATCTTCTCTTTCTCTCCTCTTTCTCTCTCTCTCTCTCTTTCTCTGGGTGGACTTGGGGTCATCAGCCTGTTCTCTTTCCAGATGCAGGCGCCCCCCAAGCTCTTCCTGAACCTGCTCTATAAGATGGAGGGGCCGCACCGTGACGAATTCACAGTTGCCCTGGAGCTCACCACCTGGGACTCGGATACCTGCCACGAGGGCCACATCACCCCCCTGCCCGGTGAGGACCCTGCCCACCCACCTGTGCTGCCTGCAGTCAGTGCCCCCTGTAGGGCACGGCTCAGCCCCTCGCTCCCCTTCTCGCAGAGCCCCACGGCCGACACCACCCCCGGCTCCTCCCAGCACCACCACCTGGCCTCTCCGCACTGCTCGCTGCCTGCAGCCGCGGCTCCGAGGGCTGGACCAGCCGGTGAGTGCCCCGCAGGTGCCCTGCGCCTCTGGGTGAACGGGGGCAGCTCCAGCCCTGTGCCAGCTCTGCCCCTCTGCTCCCAGGTGCTACGAACTGGAGCTGCAAGGCTGCGTGCTGCGCGACCTCTCCCTGCTGGTGTCCCGCCAGCAGTCCAGCCCGCAGGAGACGCGCTTTACCTGCCTCCTGGGGGAGGTCCGGGTGAGTGCCCCACGCACATCCCTGCACCAGGAGGCTACGGGAGCAGGCTGGGTGCCCGGCTGCTTTCACACCTGCCCCTGATGGTTCCGTGCTCCCTTCTGCAGGTGCTGGATGCGGCCAGCGTGGCAGCCTCCCCACCACAGGTGCAGAGCCTGACGGCCTCGCAGCTGTGGTGGCAGGAGGGTCCCGACGCGCAGCAGCTCTCCCTCAGCCTCACCCTGCGCTGGGACTTCCCTCCAGGGCGCGCCAACCATTTCCGTGTGCTCAGCCTGGGCACGCGGTGCCGCCGGGATGAGCCGCAGCAGCCCCAGCTCCTGGGGCTGGCGCACGCCTGCCTGTTCCGCGTGGTGGGGCTGGCGGTGCCGCGGCCGGCGGCGGGGCAGTCCTGCCAGCTGGAGCTCCTGGTGGAGCCGGTGCAGCCCAACGAGCTGCCCGTGGACCCGGACCGCTGGGGGCGGTTGGTGCTGGTCTACTCCGAGCCGGCTGGCGACAGCAGCTGAGCTGGGCATTAAAGGCAAGCGTGGCACAGCCCTGCCTCCGTCTCCTTCGTGCCGGGTGGGCTGTGGGGTGGGGGATGCAGGGGTGCCACCACTCAGGGCTGAGAGGGTTGATCGAGGCTGCGTTTTGGGGCCGCTCTGCTCAGGGCACCCGGTCACTGTGTGCATCCAGGCTGGGGCATCTGCCCTGGGACCCCTCCCCAGCTCCCAGTCCTCCTGACTGGGGACCAGCCCTGGTGCTGGTGCAGAGCTGCCGGCACGGGCTCCACTTGCAGCCCCAAGGAGCCGCTCTCTGCAGGCAGCTGCTGCTCCCCCCCCCTGCACGGCCCTGCCTTGGCTCTGCCTTGCTCTTGCTGCCCTCTCTCCAGGGCTGGCAGGCAGCGGTTCCACCCGCGCTGCTTCCCCTGGATATCTTATGCAGGGAAGGAGAGAAAATTTATAGCAGCAATTATTTTATCACAGTCTGGTGAGCAAGCAATTAGCAGGCAGGGACGTAGCCGAGCGTGCCGCACAGCGGGGTCGCGCAGCCCCAGCTCCCTTGGAGCACCGGCCCCAGTCCCACAAACAATACTGGCTCCCGTTCAGGAAAATTAATATGTCAGCGTTTAAGCTGCTGCGCCTTCGGTGGGTGAATTGCTCTGAAATAAATTATCTGATGGTTTGAAAAATGAAGGGCTCAGCACTGCAAGGGCTGTGCTCCTGCCACTCTGAGACCCTGCTCTCTTGCTCTGGGGGGGGGAGCCCCAGCAGTGCCCCCCTTGCCCACCGCAGAGTGGGTGATGTGGGTGCAGGGTGCAGTCCCCCCGTGCCCCACACGCGCGCCCCAGTCAAAACCGGAGTCGTCCTGGTTGAAGAAAGAAATCTTTATTAATAATTTCAATAATAATAATAATAATCCTTGTAGTAATAATAATAATAATAATAATAATACTGTTTATTAGAATGGTCACACCTTTGAAGCATACAGGATGGGCCGGCGCCAGCCTGCGTGCCGGCAGCCGGCGCAGGGGCTCTGCTGTAAGGAAGAAGCCAGTACAGCGATGGAGGGAGCTTTGTACAGGGGAGGGGGCGCGGGCCAGGGTGGGGGGGCTATGTACACCGGGAATAGAAAAGGGGGAGCTCGTTGCTGGAGCATCGGGGTGTCTGCAGACTATAAAGTGAGGTTTGACGAGTGGCGGAGCCACGCGGGGTGGTGGGGCAGGGGCTGAGCGCGGCGAGGCCGCCCCGGCCGTGGCGTGGGATGGGGCTGCACCGGGGGGGGGCTCCGTGGCACCCTGTGCCGCCCAACCCTGGCTGCCACAGAGCCACCCCGGGGGCGATGCAACAGCCGAGACCCCGTGCCGAGGGCCGGCAGGGTCCCTGCAGCGGGGTGGGCGGGGAGGGGGTGGCCGCGAGCACCCCGCACATCCCCGTCCCGGCACAGCGCAGGGGTCCCAGTGGGCGGCGTGGGTCAGGATCGCTCCCTGCAGGGTGGGAGCCCCGGGTGCGCCAGGGATGGGGCAGGAGGGGAGGGAAGGGGAACGGGAACGCAAGCGAGTTGCAAGCTCCTCTTAACAAAAATTCCCTTTAAAACGCAGAGGCTCGTCCCCCTGCAACGCCCAGCGCCTCAGCAAAGCTCCGCTCGGGAGCCGCGGCCTCGCACCCTCGACGCGCTGGCGGCCGGCACCGGGGCACCGGAGCCCGGCGACCCCCAGCGCGGGCAGGGCGGTGTGCCGCTGCGCTCCGCCGGCACCCCGCGCCGGGCGGAAAGGAAGACGTGGTGCCCGGGCCTGTGCCGCGGGCTGCCAGGGGCCCCGCGGCCGTCCCCGTGCCTGGCGGCAGCGGCTGCGCCGGGGGCAGCGCTGGGTGCATGCGGCCGGTCCGTGCGCTCCGCGGGCTCCTCCGGGACTCGCTCGCTCGGTGCATGTGTGTGGACAGGATGGGACTTTCACGTCGTTGTTGCCTCTTTGCTTTGTTGTTGCTTTGCGTTTATTTTTTTTATTTTTTTAAATTTTTTTTTTTTAGTTGTGTGGGTGTGTATGTGTGTGTGTGTGTGTGTTTTGTTTTTTTATTTTTTTTTGTTTTGTTTTTGCTTTTTTTGCCCTTCCCGGTCCCAGAAGGAAACGGCTGCAGTTTCACTACAACAGAAACAGAAAGGCAGAGCTGTCGCTGGAGCAACCCCTGGGCACGTGCCCAGCCCCGCACCCCGCTCAGCCCCCATGGCCCTGGGGGGCACCACGCTCGGCCCCGGGGTCCCCCCGCGGCTCAGCCCCATCCCCATGGAGCGTGCAGCAACTGCCTCCTGCCTCTCCTACGGGGTGCAGAGGGGCCGGCTCGGGGCTGCCCGTCCTGCCCTGGGGGGAGACAAGCCCAGGGACCCCCGCGAGCCCAGGCTCCGGGCACCCTCGGCGGGGGGGAGGCGCCGTCCCCGCTCCCTGCCGCCCCCGGGCCGGGCAGGATGGACGCGGTGGGCAGCGGAGGCCGAGCAGCGGGACGGAGCAGCTTGAGGTAAACCTAGCGGAGAGCAGAGCCCGCCCGGGCAGGGGCCCTCAGGTCCTCCGGGAGGCTCAGCCTGGCTTAGTCTGCCTGGTTTGGTTTGGTTTCTAGTGAGCAGTCAGTGTTAGTGCTGTGAGGGGCTGGGTCTGTCTTGCTAGTAGGGAGTGAAGCGGCTGTACCCTCCTCGGTATAGACTAGCCTGCAACATCAAAGATGAAAAAAAAGCCAATCAGTATTCGAGAGAGAGGCAAAGCCCATTTCTTCCCTTTTTTTTTTTTCTCCTTTTTTTTTTTAATTTTTTTTTTTTAAAGTGACACCAAACTGCCTCTGTCTTGGGGGTTGTGCGGGGTGGGCACAGCCAAGGGCCCCCAGCGCTGCCGGGGCTCACTCGGGGATGGAGACGGCGCCGTCCCCAACCCCGCTGCCCCTCGGCACAGCCCTGGGGCTGCCACGGCCGGGGACCTGCTCCCTGGAGCTGGGCTGGTTCCTGCCCTGCCCATCCCGCGGACAGAGGGGCTGCGGGGCCGGGGGTGCCGAGGGGTGCTTGGCACAGCCAGGCCCCAGCCAGGGGGACACAGGGGGGGGAGGGTTTCCAAAAAAAAGAAAAAAAAAAAAAAAAAAAAGGAAGAAAAAGACCATTTGGCTTTGAGATCCCGCCCACAAGGGGGATTTTTCATCTTTGATGCTGGTTGCAAAGCTAGCTACAGACCGCAGCGAGCACGGTGAGCACGCTCGGGTGCCCCCCGCACGCTGCTGATGGGGGCACGGCCCTGAGCCCCCCACACCTGGGGGAGGAGGGGGGGGTCCTTGCCCCCCAGCCGGGCCCTGGGGGCTGCACAGGGCTTCCTCCAGCGGGGGGCTAACGGGGGGGTGTGGGGACGGTGCCCCCTCTCCCTGGGGCCAGCCTGTGTGGGGGCTGCGCTGCTCCTGCCCCCGCCGAGAGCCCGTGCTCCCCCTCCCCGCGGCCCCCAGACCCCCCCGGGCTGGCTGCAGCTCGCGTGGGGCAGGTGGGGAAGCAAAGAAAGGCAGCGGGGGCTGCGCTTACCATGGTGCCGATGCTGTACGTGGCGGCGGGGCCGATGGTGTGGTGGTAGGGGTCTGCCGCTGCGTACACTCTGCCGTAACTAGGAGCAAACACGGGGGGGTGTTAGAGACCCGGGGAGGGGTCCTCCACCCCCAGCAGCTCCCCAGAGGCTGCTGCACCCTATTTCCACCCCCCACTACCCCACGGTCTCCCCACCAGGGCCCCACCACGAACAGCCCAGACCCAGGGGGCACGGGGAGCCGCGGGCACCCCGATATTGCCAGCTCCATCCTCATGGCACGGGGCACGGCTGCTGGCCTGGATGGTGCAGGGGGTGAAATGGGCATCCCCCCCCCCATCCCCCCCAACCCCCCCGTGGGCAGCGGTGCCTACCTGTCGCTGTATGCTGCTGCTGCTGCTGCGGGCTGGGCGTATCTGTAGGCGGCATAGCCCCCCTGCAGTGGTGGGGGAGACAGAGAGAGGCGGTCGTGAGGGTGGGGGCAGCACCCACCAGGCCCTGCCGGGGGAGCTCGGGGGGGCCAGGGCAGCCGGGCACCCCCAGGCACTGGCTGCAGGGACCCCGGAGCAGTGGCAGGACCCTGCGGGGAGCCGGTGCTGGTGGCACCAGGCACACACCAGCCTCATTACCATTCCCCAGGGGCTTTCACAAACATTAACCTTAAAAAATTAAATTTCTAGAGGAGAGAATGTCACCTCCCTGATCGCTTTAATGAGGTGTCACGTTAGATAAATCCTTCAGCCGCCCGCCTGAAATATCGCCAATGGCTTTTTAAACACGGAGGTTAAATGCTGGTGGGAGGCAGCGCGCCGGCGCTCGCCGAGGACATAAATCCCTCGGGGTGCTGCCCCTGCAGGGGGCTGGCCGGGGGCACAGGACCTGAGCGGTGTCACCCAGCACGGCCCTGCCTCGGCTGCCCCCAGCCCCTCACCCGTCCCCCCTGCGCCACGATGCCGAGCCCCAGGAGCCGGGAAGGGGCCGCAGGCTGGGCAGAGCCCCCCGGGGAGCAGCAGGGGGCTGATGGCCCCCACACCCCCCAGGACAGGGTCCCCGGAGGTGGCACCAGCCCCAGTGTGGCTGCACTTACGTAGATCTCGGCTCCGTAGAACCCGTCCTGGTAGACGACCCTGCAGGGAAGCGGAGGGCTCAGTGCCATGGGGCTGCTCAGGGCGCTCGCGGGCACCGCGCTCACGGCCGAACGCCCACCCGGGGTCACACAGAGGGGACGGGGGGAGGTCATGGCAATGGGGGGCTCAGCGCACTCAGCACCACTGGGCACAGGGCTCCAAAACCCGTGGGTGGTACCCCGGGGTTGGGAAGCATCAGGATTGGGGGGTGGGGGAGAACAGGGGATGGACACGTCCCACGCTTGGAGGGCAGGGACACGAGGATGGGCAGAGCACAGCCCGAGGAGCTGACCCGGTCCCGGGGGGGCTTTCAGAGCCATGGAGGCCGGGCAAGTGCTCAGAGAGCTGTGCCTCAGTGCACAACATCCCGGCAGTGCAGGCACTGACAGCAGCAGAATTGAGCAATTCAGCACCAAACGCGGAGCCGAGCACAAGGCGCCTCCTGGGGGGTGCCCAGGGGGGCAGAGTCAGCAGCGCAGCCAGCCAGGAGGCAGCTGCTGCAGGGCGGAGGGGTGCTGGATGAGAAGGGGCTGAGGGGCCCCGGCTGTGCCAGACCGCAGCCCAAGGCGGGACCCCCACCCCAAGGCGGGCAGCACCCAGGGTTTTGGGTCCAGGTAGCGCCATGCCCCCGCCAAGCCCCCCGTGCCCCCCCAGCCCCGGGTACTCACGCGCCGTAGGTGGGGATGGGCGGCGGCGGGGGCGCAGCCCGGAACGTGTTGTAGACGGCGCGTCCTCGGCCCCGTAAGTGCGCCCCTCGGTAGGCCACAGCCGTCCCCGTGGCAGGGTACGGGAACCCCGTTACTGCAGGAGGCAGGGGACAGACACGGGATTTCTGCAGCAGCCCCCGACAGCAACGCGCATGGGGCCTCGCGGTCACCGCGGGGCACCCCGAGCCAGAGCATCCCTCTGTGCCCGCAGCGCTGCTCCGGGGATGGGGCTGCTGGGGAATGGCCCCCGGGGGGTCCCCAGGGTGAGGGTGATGGAGGGGGGAGCGGTGCATGCCATGGGCAGGGGGAGAGGGGCTGGGGGGCACTCAGACCGCGGCAAGGTGGAGCACGGCACAGCCACAGTGTGGGGTTGAGGCTCGAGGAGTTACCTGCATAGAACTCGGGGCCGTAGACAGCTCCCACCACCGGGTTCAGCTTCCAGCCTGCAGGCAGGGAGGGGTGGTGAGCTGGGGGGGAGCCCACCGTGCTGCACCCCGTCCCGGTCACCCCACCACGGCTCCCAGCCCCAGGGTGGCTGCAGGGCACGGGGCACCCCATAGGGCTGTGCCCCACTGTTCAGACAGGAGCAGCCACCCTTGTTTCTGGTCAAGCACCGAGGGGCATTTGCTGCAGCAATGGAGATGCGCCCTGGGGTGCTCAGCCCCTCGGGCTGTGCCCGTGCCAGCCTGGTCTCGGCGTGCTCCGGTTCTTACCGTTGGTGTAGGGGTTCGCAGCCTTCTTGTTCGTCATGACCCGGGCCGTGGCGTTGTTCACCTGAGGAGAGAGGGGACGAGAGAGCTCAGCGCCTGCGGGCAGGGGGCTGGCGAGGCCGCGGTCCTGGCCCGTCCACTCTGTGCACGCTGCTGCTGCTCGGATCGCTGGAGGCAAGGACGAGGGGAGCGGGGACAGCAGGGGGAGGGGACAGCAGGGGGAGGCTCTCCTACAGCTGCACCGCGCGTGGTGCCACCCTGACACAGCGCCGCACCGAGCATCCCTTGGGCTGCTTCCCGATGCTGGGCTCAGGCTGAGCGGTGCTGGGCTCAGCCACCTCCTGTCCCCACCGCACGCCTGCTCCTGGCTGCAGAAGGGATGCAGGAGCCCTGGCAGCTCCCGCCAGCACCTGAAGCTCCTGCCTGGCCATGGATGAGGGCCACATCCTCAGAAGGCAGGGCCCGTCCGTGGGTAGCGCTGAGCCCTGCCGGGCTGCCCCTCCCTGTGCTCAGCGCTGCCGGGGTGCCCGTGTCCAGCTCCCTCCAGGCACTGCCCTGCTTCCCCCCCTCCTCAGAGCTCAGCTCGGTGCCACGCAGCCAAGGGGCAAACCTGCGCCTGCCCGGCTGCCTGAGCAGCCTCTGGGTTGGGAAGCATTGGGTGCAGGAGGGGAGCTGTGGGGAGCACCCTGCCCGCCCCTACAAGGGGAGCTGGCACAGGCACGCGTCCCCGTCCTCCCTGCCACGCACGGGGCAGCTGCCCCCCACCAGGCAGAGGGGCTGGGAGCCTGCTGGGCTCCCCCGGTACCGTCAGGGCACAGCCAGCCCCCGGCTCAGTGCCCCCCAGCTCTCCCTGGGTTCGCCTGAGCCAGTCCCTGCTCGCTGTCTGTGGACACCTCCCTGCAGCTCCAACGCATGCTCCCCGTGCTGCATTCACGGACGCATGCACGCGCCGGGCAAGCACCCCCAGGAACATGCGGGACCCCCGCAGGCTGAGCCGGTGGCCCCGGGGCCGCTCAGCGTGCACGGCCCTGCCCGGGCCCCCCACCATGGGCGCGAGGGCACAGAGGGCACAGGCAGCGCGGGGCAGGGGGGAGCCCGCGCAGCCCCCGGGCAGCTCTGCCCTGCCTGCACCCCCGGCCGGGAGAGGGGCTCGGGGCAGCGCGGGGGATGCACAACACACGGCAGGCAGGGCACTAGCACACTTATCTGAGCACCTCAATCTTCCGGCCCTCTACGATCGTGCCATTCAGCTTCTCTCGTGCCCGGTCGGCATCTGTGCTAGTTTCAAAAGTTACAAACCCAAAACCCTGTGAGCAGAGGAGAAAAGGAGAAAGAAAGAGACAGAGAGAGACAGAGAGAGAGAGAGAGAGAGAGAGAGAGAGAGGGTGTGGGGACAGAGAGAGAGAGGGGGTGAATCAGGAGAGCTGGCAGAGGAGATGAGGCTGCCGCTGTGCGGAGACGGAGCGCCCGGGCCAGGTCCCCGCTGCGCCCGGGGGTCCCGGCTGAGGGCCCGGCATCGCCCGCGAGCTGGGAGAAGAGTCTGGGAGAGGGGCACAGAAAGCAGGGAAGATACAACAGAGACATCCACACACAGAGGGACACGAGCCGCCTCGTGCAGGCGCGGGACAGAGCGAGCCCCCCCCTCCCTCTGGCGCTGGGGCGCAGACACCCACGCGTCCCCTCCGGCTGGCACAGGGCACCAGGAGGCTGCTCCCCAAAACCGGGCACCCCGAGCCTGGGGGCTGCTGGTGCCTGGCCCTGCCCCGGTCCCGTGCCCACCTTGGGGTGCTCCCAAGGGGCGAGGGGCAGCAGCGCAGGGAGCAGGAGGGGAGGGGAGAGCGGGCAGAGCAGCCCCCGGGGCACCCCGGGAGGCACGGACACGTCCCGGGTGAGCCGTGCCCAGCCCTGGGGCTCGCTGCAATGGCCCCGGGCTGGGGCAGCACCCACCTTGGAGCCCCGCTCATTGAAAATGATCTCCACGTCAAGGATCTTCCCGAATTGCTGCAAGCAGAGAGAGCAGAGGGTGAGTGCCTGCAGAGCCCCCCACGGGGACTGCTCCTGGTGGCCCCTTGGTGCCCTGCAGGGCTGAGCCTGAGCACAGCCCCGTGTCCCCCCACGGTAGCCCTCTTTCAGGATCTGGGGGGTGTCACTTTACAGCTAATTAACCTTCCACCACTCTAAATCTTAACGAGGACTGGGAAGGGGGTGAAAGGAGAGGGACAAGGGCTCTGTTCTCATTCCTCCATGCATGGGCCTCGGCCTGGCTGTTAACCAGGGTGGAAAGCCCACTGCCCACCCCCTCTGGCCAGCAGCAGGGGGAGGCTGGAGGTCCTGCAGGCTGGCCCAGGACCCCGCTGGGGCTGTGCAGAGGGGACCCCCAGGGAAGGACGGTGCCAGGGCCCCCGCGGTGACCGAGAGCCGGAGCTGAGGGCAGCGGGACGCGGGTGGCTGCACGGGGCCAGACTCACCCCGAACATTTGCCGCAGGTCGGGGTCCCGGAATCGGAAGGGGATGTTGGAGACGTGTAACCTCTTGGGCTGCTGCTTGTCTGTGTTGTCTGAGGAATGTAGCTGCTGGCTGTCTGTCTGTGCCGCCTCGTCTGTCTGCTGCGGGAGCACCAGCACCTCGTCAGCCCCATGTCTCCTGGGGGGGCCCTGCCCCCTAATCCCCTGCTTGGCCTTGCAGCCCCCAGGGGCACCCCCAGCCCCGTGGTCCCCGCTCCCTGGGCAGCACCGTGCCAGCCTCCTGGGTCTCTCCAAGCACCTGGTGCTGAGCAGGGGCCCCCACTCTCGGGAGGGTGCAGAGAGGGTCCTGGTGCTGCCCTGCGAGCTGGGGGATGCTGGAGGGCAGCTCTGTGGGTCACAGCATCACCCCATGAGCAGCACCCGCCCCATAAACAGCACCAGGGAGGAGAGGCTGGGAGAGGGAGGGCAGGAGACCCACGGAGATCCAGCCAGCACCGCGTGGCTCCGTGCCCAGGGACCAGCACCGCAGCACGCGTGCGTGCCCAGGGCAGGGGGCCGGGAGGGGCAGACCCCACACACGAGGCTGCGGTGGCCAGGCTGGGAAGTGCTCAGCTCAGCACTTTCCCCCCGAGCTGCATTACAACCACATAATTGAAGCTATCTGATTGGAAAGCAGCCAAGCAGGTAGATTACAAGTGATTAGAAATGACAGGGGGGCTGCAAGGGAGGCAGGCAGCCAGCGCATGCTCCTGCTGCCCCCGGCCACTGCGGGGACGCGCGGCCCCGGCCCCCTGAGGGGCTGCAGCCCGCTGGGTGCCGCCTGCCCCCACACCCAGCCCGCAGCCCCCCCAGACCCCGTGCCTCTCCCTCCCTTACCGGTACCGTCTGCGTCCCTGCTATGGACTGTGTGCTGGCGTCGGTGCCCGGCTGCTCGGCGTGGCTCTGTGCTGGTGTGTAGAGGGTCATGGCGTGCTCCGGTACTGTGCTTTGCCCCGAGTAGTCCTGCGTGGGGTGGGGGTGCGGCGGCGCGTACTCTGCGGGGATGCCGTTCTGGGGGGGCGGGGGGTACTGGGCCGGGGGGTAGGGCTGAGCCATCGCGTCAGGTGGAGCCGTGGCGTCCTGGTTGCCCTGCAGAGACAGCAGCGCCGTGCCCCTTACCTGCTGGCTCCCGCCACCCTCCCCGAGGTGCCGGGGCTGCGCCCTGCCTGGGGAGCGCTCTGGGGCTCTACAGATGGACCCCAGAGCCCCCCGACCCCCCCACCTTCGGACAGGACCCCCCCTGCCTTCGGTCCCCACGCCAACCTCTGTGCCATCCCCGTGCTGCAGCAGCTCCCGTGCCGCATTCGCCCGCTGTGCCTGCCCCAGTGGCTGAGCCCCTCTCCGCTCCCCACTCCGAGCAATCCGTGACCACCCTGATGCGCCTTGGGCAGGGGGAGGATGGGGGGGGGCTGGGGGGCAAGGCATGGAGGGGACCGAGGCCATGGCTCCAGTGGGGACTAGCAGGGGGAGCCTGCACATCGCCCTCTTGGAGATGGAACCAGGGCAGCCTCAGTTTGAAGGCCAACACGGGGCAAAGCGCAGCGGCAGCACCGGCACCCGCCAGCCATCCTGCACGCCCTGGAGCCCGGCCAGGAGGGCACTGAGGAAGGAGGGCAGCAGGGAGGGCAGGGCCGTCAGATAGCCTCTTGGCAAGCAGCAGGCGGGCATCAATTAGCTGCTAAATATTTGATGAGGCCCTTTGCTGTAACGCAGCTGGCCTGGCCACCCTGGTCAAACGAGGTGAGCTGTACCTGTGCCACTGGCCCCGGGGCTGCTCCACGGCTGCTGCGGGGCTGGGGGATGCCGTGGGGCTGGGGGATGCCGTGAGGCTGCCCTCCTGCCCCCCTCCCTCCTGCACAGCCCCCCGGCCCCGCATGCACCCGCAGGCTCCCGCGCCCCCCACGCACGTGCCCCGCACGCAGGCACCCAGCGCCGAGCGCAGCGCCGGCAGCCCCGCGGATGCTTTACAACCCGCGGCCGCCTCTCGCCCATGAAATACATCTGCGGCTCAGAGCGTGGAGACAAGCTCCTTAATTGTGTGTGTGGCCGATTTATGGTGCGGAGGGACGCTGGGGAAGGGTGGAGAAGCAGGGGGGGGGCCGTGCCGCCAGCCGTGATCCCCCACCTGCCGCGGCCGTCGCGCCTGCAGGGGAGGCAGCAGAGCCTGTGCCGGGGGGGCACGGGGGGGGGACCACATGCAAACCCAGTGTGAACGATCCCGCTACAGATCTGCAAGTCATTCACAGGCTCGCAAGCGTCTTCCCGTGCTGACTCAGCTGCCCGGGGCCGCGCCAGCCAGCTGCGCCTGCCAGGGGCTGGGGCTGGCGGTGCTGCAGGGCGGCGGAGCCCCGGCCCCCGGCACTGCCCCTCGGGGCAATGCTGCTGCCTCGCTGCTCGCCCCGCTGCTCGGCCTTTCCCCCACGCACCCTGTGCCTGAGCCCGCTTTGGGAAGCGATGCAGCCACCCCGGCCACGCTCCCAGCGCCCAGCTCTCCCTGCCAGCATCCCCAGCACGTGCACGGAGCCGGCAGCGGGAGCATCTTGCAGGGCTCCCGTGCCCCCCTGTGCTCATCTTTGCTGCCACCACAACCAGGATCAGCCTCCAGCATGCAGGCACTGAATGGCCTCCTGTGGGGGCTCAGCTCGGCCCCTTCTCCAAGCCTTCAGCAGCGAGGTTTTTAGTTTGGGTGGGCAAACCCAGCCCAGACGGCAGAGCCAGTCCCTGCCCCACTCCGTGCCGGTGCCCGGTGGCAGGGCTGCATCCAGCCCCAGGAGCTGGGCACCCCGGCCCCGATGGCTGCAGGCGGCGAGAGCAGAAGCCCTGGGGATGGCCCAAGCAGGAGGAGCTGCGGGGTGGCAATGGGGACACGGACAGGGGCTGGGGCAGGGGCCGGCCCCACCTGCACAGGTCTTGGGCCCCGCTGGCTCCTCGCCAGCCAGCCCCGACAGCCACGTTCATATCCGTTATTAATTAGGGCTGTCGCAGTGCTTGTCAGCCCAAGTATTATTTCATTCAGGGACCATTAGGTTCCCCTGTTTTGCTGCTTGCCATCTCCAGGGCTGCTGGTGCTGCAGAGGCGCAGATCTACGGCTCCCGTGCGCCTCCCTCCCACCACGCGCTGCCCACCAGCCCTGGCCGGGACAGGAGCTGCTCCCTGCTCTGGGGGTCCTGTGCAGGGTTTGGGGTGCTCGGCTCCACGGTGGGCTCTGCAGGGAGAGGGATCATCAGGGGTTTGGCCTGAGGGACACCCATTGCTGCCCGCTGCCGCTCAGCTCTCCGCACCCAGCGCTGCCCTGTCCGCCCGTGCTGCCGGCTCCAGGCTGCCTGGCAGAGCCATTGCCAGTGCCCTGGCGGGGTTTGGGCTCACAGAGCACAGCCATGGGGTGAGGACGTGGGGACCCCTGCAGCCAGGTGCCCCCATTTCGGGCCTGTGTGGCCCGTGAAGTGGTGCCAGCCCCTGGGTGTCGGGGCCGCGGGGCTCCGCCGGGTGTCCCTGCTCGCTCACCGCAATTCCCTGCTGGGGCTGCTCCCGCATGGCGCTTTACAGGGCGGCTTTCCGCATTTTCATTAAAAGATATTCTGGTTATTAATGGCCCGTAGCCCTCATTTAGTAAATGAGACAGGAGATTAGCGCGTTGCCCGAGACCGAGCGTGGAGCAAAGCAGGCGGAGCTCAGCACGGCGCAGGGGGTGCACGCGGTGCCCAGCCGCCTCTGCTCCCCGCACTGCCCAGGCAGGATGAGACCCCCGGGCCCAGCCCCTGCCCTGTCCCCCTCATCCTGTCCCCCTGCCCCGTCCCGCTGTCCTGTCCCCCTGGGCCCTGTCCTCCTGCTCTGTCCGCAGCTCAGCCCCATGCAGTCACTGCTGCAGCAGGCCGGCGCTGCCTGCACCCTGGCAGGCAGGGGGTGGATATCATCTTTAGCTGATTAAATGTCCCTCATTAACGAGTTTCTTTAATTAATGAAGTTTTTTTTGTTTGCTCCACTTGCTTTCTCCCCACCGCACTCTGCCTCCTCAGCACAATCCAGGCCATTTCCTTTCAAGTCATTTAGCGCGTGGGGCCGGTTCCTGCCGACGCCGCACTTTGGTGATTGTGCCTGTCAGCGCGGGGCTGACGACGCCATTTTTAACATTTTCTCCTTTTTAAGAAAATAACGCACCAGAACCCCACGAGCACACGGGAGGCGTCCGCACAGCCGGCCGAGCGCAGCATCACGCTCACGGGAGGTGCCAGCGCCCCGTGGCACGGCAGGGAGCACTGCCTGCCCCTCCAGGGTCGGTGTCACGCCTGGCTCCCGAGCTCACGGGGTGTTCCCGGGGAGGACAGGCAGCCCGGACAGCAGCGGCTGTGCTGCTGCAGCGAGCCGTTATCAGCTGCTTGTGATAAGGATCTCCCCAGGCCACCAACCTCGGGCAGGCAGTGCGGTGGCCCCGAGGTGGCCGCAGAAGGGGACGCGCGCATTTCTTCACTCCATGCACGTGTGGTCACGGGCTCAGCGCGCTTTGCACGCCACCTGTGGTGGCACGGGGACTCCTGCGGCACTCAGACCCCAATCCCGGACAGCTGGGCCAGGGTCCTGACCCCACCACAGCACCAAGGCGGCCACGAAGCAGCCGCTCCTCCAAGCCACGAGCCCGGGTGCTGTGGGGTCAGCCCCGGGTGCTGCTCACAGCCCCTGGGGACCCACCGCCTGCTGCCACGTGCAGGGAAGCAGCGAGGAGCCTTTGCACCCAGAGCAAGGGGAGGCGCAGGGGGCAGTGGAGCTGAGCTCAGGCAATGCCCTGGTGGCAGCAAGACGAGGGTCCCGGCACGGCCCCGGGGCTGCCCCAGCTCCTGTGCGGGCGCAGCGCTCCCGTGCAGCGGGGCTGCCACGAGGCTGTGCCGCTGCGGCCGCCTGCGTGCCAGCCACGCCGTCTCCTCTTCGATCCAGCCGCTCTCTCATGCTAATGACTGTCAACATGAAACAGAGGCCGTGAAGGGGAAGAAAATTACTCCCTGAAAAGGAATTGACTGATCCCCGTCATTTCTCAAGGAATCACTGACCTGTGAATATTTCATTACCCAAAATGCTGCGCCATCCATACAAAGCAGAGCTCCGGGGCCCTGGGGCAGCACAGCCGCAGATTCCCAGGCTGGAGGGGGCGCAGGGCCCCACGCGTGGGGGGCTCACAGCGGGGACGTCCCGGCCGTGGGCAGCCCCTTCCAACCCCACGCTGTGGCACAGCCCACAGCACCCCTCGGCCAGGGAAGAGGCAGTGAAAGGAGGCGCGGAGCTGGGGGCGGCAGCCGCGGCGCTCAACGTCTTCATTAAGGACATGGCAGGGGAGGGGTGAAGAGCCGGCTAATGGCAGCTGCCAAGGATGCTCCGCTGGGGAGCTCTGCAAAGAGCAGGGAGGACGCAGATTCGAGCAGGCAGGGACCCCGCGGCAACACAAGACTCAGCCTGGGACATGCGGCTGGAGGAGCAGGAGGGGACGCAGCGCAGCGCAGAGGAGCCACCTCCTGGGTGCACCTCCGGCCATGGGGGAGCCCACCCTGGGCTGGGACCCTGCCGGGGACATCTCCCCTTGCAGCAGGGCTGGCTCCTGCTCGTGCCGTGAGCCTGGGAGGCCGGGTACCACCGACAGCTAGGTGGCACCCGGCGGGAGGGAGGTGGCCACGGAAGCCAGCACCGTGCGCCGGCACAGCCGCTCCGGGCACAGCTGGTGACACATCCCTGTCACCTCCGGCACAGGGGGGACAGGGCAGGGGGGGACGGGGTCCAGCATGGGCTCCTGCCTCCATCAGCCGGAAACTTAGGAGCTGAGGCTGCATGAAATATTCATGAAGTAAATGGTGCAATTTCATCTGCATTCAGCCAACTTCATGTATATTTCAGAGTATTATGAAATGATAATGTTGTGTAACTGAGGCGAGACGGGGGTGCTTCGCGGGGGCTCCGGGCTGCCGCCACCTCCCGCCCCCCCCGCACCCCAGTGACATTTCCCGGGCTCACATGTACCTGTGTGGGGAGGGACGGGGCTGTGTCACTGCTGGAGACGGGCCAGGATCCGGCCTGCCCAGGGCTGCACCGAGCGGCAGCACCAGGACGCACGGCGCTGCCCTCCGCTGCTGAGCGCTGCCGCCGGTGCCAGGCTCACCCCGCGCAGCCCCAGCTCCCAGCCTGCAGCTCTGGGGATGCCGCCGGAGAGCTGCGTTGTGCTGCCCCCCCCGCACGCAGCTCTTCCTGCAGGCATGCCAGAGCAGCGCAGCCCCAGCGTTTGCGTACACCCGCCAGGATTTCCAGGAGCGCTCGGTCTCCAGCAGCCACTAAAGGGCTTGGGAAAGCCAGGCACACGAGGCACGAGCGTGGCTGCAGAGTCCTGGGCACTGGGACAGGCTGGGAAAGGAGCCGTGGCCCCAGCGGTGTCTGCCCCAGCTGCCTGCTCCTGCTGAGCCCCTGCAAACAGCTGTGCCGCGGCTGGGCACTGCCTGCTGCTGCTCCAGGGCTGGCACAGACACCACCAAGGCTGGTCCCCGAGGCTGCTGGTGCTGAGCAGCACAGGGAGCCCCGCAGCCTCCAAAGAAGCTGCTAGCACCAACACCTGAGCTGCAGCAGCCGTGCATCCTGCACCCTGTCCCACTGTGGGGACAGGCACACCTCCTGCTCCCCACAGGAACCATGCACCCCTGCAGCACCACCAGGTCCTGCACAGCCCTGCCTGGGAGGATGGACATCCCTGATCTCTGGGTCCCTGCCCACGCTCTCCTCACCCTGCTGGGCAGTGGTGCTGGGCTGGGACCCTGTGCCCAGCTCCCAGCCTCAAGCACCAGCATCAGCAGGAGCCAGCAGCTGTGATGTTGGTTGGTATCAGCACCCCCTGCGCCCAGCTCTCCGGCTGCTCCCTGCGCAGTGCGCGCAGACCCCACGGAGCAGAGCCCAGGCAGGATGCGACAGCGCAGGACTCGGCGAGTTGCAGCCCCGGCAGGACCCAGGGCCTCGTGCCTCCCCTGCGAGCACCAGCAGCAGCTGCAGCCCACCCGTGCTGCCCAGTCACAATTTGCACCCTGCAGACACAGCGAGCGTGCAGGGACGGTGCAGGACGGGAGCCAGCTGCTCACAACCCTCCCGATCTCATTTCTGTGACAGTGCCCCTGTGACAGCCACACGTCCCCTGCCACATCCCACCTCTAGACCCCTGCCACCACCACAGTCACTGCGATGCTGCCGCAGAGCCGCCCATGGCAGGCCCCAGCAGCCGCACGTGGAGCTCGCCGGCACGCAGCCCGCTGACCAGGCGCATGCGCGCGGCAGCAGCGTGGGCGCTCGGTAAACACGCACCCGCGTGTGCACGCGGAGACAAGCTCCCTCACGCAACCCTCTCTAATAGGCAGTCAGGAGCATAATTTTTCCTCTAATTACATATTCAGCACTTCTGAGAAAATGAGATTTTGGTAATTCAATTGGACTGAGAAGCAGGGCTATAATAAAATGAAATTTGTAACAATCGCACAGTTAAATTAGTTAAATGGAGAGGAAGGAGCTGTGGAAAATTGACCCCTCGATCTCCTAAAGACTAATCAGACATTTGAACTGAGTTGTGCTAACAAAGCCCCTGGGGTGTTGCAGAGGCAGAGAGAAGGGAGGAGATCGGAGGTGTGCGAGGGAGGAGCTGGAAAGCAGCCAGGGTGCGGGGTGCCACGGGGCCCTCTGGTCCCGGTGCCGGGTTAGGAGGGGTCTGGCGGGCAGGGTACCAGGCAGTGCCGGTGCTGTGCCCTCTGCAGCAGCCCCACGCTGTCCCGGTGATGCCTGCCCCGTGTGGCCACCAGCTCCCAGCATTGGCCAGCGCCACGGCAGGCACGCGCCGCATCCTTGCCGAATCCTTGGGGCACAAAGGCGCACGGACAGGCAGCAGGCGGCCCCTCTGGAGTGGGAACAGCAGGGGCACGGGGCAGTGGTGCCCAGCGGTGGGACCACAACCTCGGCACAGCAGCACAGCACTGGCCAGAAGCAGGGACAGGCATGGCATGGCACGGCACAGCAGCACCCCCATGGCACGGCACAGCTCGGCACACCGGGTGGGTGCGCTTGTCCTGGGGGGTGGCGGGCAGAGGGGCGTCCCACCAGCTGGAGGGGCTCTGCAGCAGGTACAGAGTAATTAGCCTCAGTATTTATCTTGTTCGTCTTCTTATTTTTTCTTGTAAAGGAAAAGGAGAAAAAGGCGAGTTTCTCATTTGCAAGTTAATTAGTCTAATTAGCTCTAATTAAGAGCTCCCCACACAATGCAGATCACAAATAAGCTGCAA